CAGTGAAAGAGCTTTGTTGGAGGTTATAACTGAATTGGGTTACATCAAGTAAATCCACTCAATTGTCCTAGTTCGCTATGACATAGTGTCTGAGATATTCTTCCAGCATTGTATTAACCCACTCAGTCTGTCCATCTGTCTGCGAATGATTGCTGGTAGCAAGGTTGAGTTGTGTGCCCAACAGTTCAAATAAAGCCGTCCAGAACTGGCCAGTAAACCGAGTGTCCCTCTCGCAAACTATGTCCAGCGGAAGACCCTAAAGCTTCACAATATGCTTAACGAACAACTGAGCAGTAATTTCCGTTGTACATACTTTTGGGGCAGCAATGAAAGTGGCATACTTCAAAAATCTGTCTACAACCACAAATATTGAAGTAAAATCGTTCACCTGAGACAAGTCATTAATGAAGTTCATGTAAACACTCTCCCAAGGTCTGCTTGGAATAAGGAGAGGTTCCAACGTACCCACCGTCTTCTTCTTTTCTATCTTGTGTTGCTGGCACACCAAAGAAGTGCGCACATACAACTCCACATCTGCTTCCATGCGGGGCCAATAATAATTTTCTGCTAGCAAGGCAAGAGTTCGTTACTGCTCTGGATGTCCTGACCACAGAACATCATGAGTTTCTTTCAACAACATCTGTCGAAGTCCGTCTGACTTCGGCACATTGGGTCTCCTTCCTTGGGCGTAGAGAACACCATCCTCTACCCAAAATCGTCGAGTCACCCCTTCGTGGACCTACTTCAACAATAAGCTAGTCACTGGATCATCTTTTGTCTAATCCTAAATTCTCTGCAGTATGTCTCCTGCAATCTGGTTAAGTGCAGCAACCGTCCCATCAATAACTGGGATTCGACTAAGAGCATCAGCAACCTGATTTGCACTGTCAGACTTGTACTTCAACGTGAAATGAAATTAGGCAAGAAAGTCCTGCCATCTTGCTTGTTTTGGTGTCAGCTTCTTAATAGAATTGAAGCAACTGGTAGCCACATTATCTGTCAGTACAAGGAAATGCTTCTCCAATAAGTAATGCCTCCATGTATTGATGCAGTGAATGACTGTTGTCATCTCCTTCTCATGTACTGAATACCGCCTCTCGATATCATTCAACTTCCTACTTTCAAATGCCACCGGATGCCCATTCTGCACCAGCACCCCTCCAAGAGCAAAGTCTAATACGTCTGTATGGACTTCAAAAGGCAAATCAAAATCAGGTGACCATAAAATTGGGCTAGACGTCACCACTGCCTTCAACCGATCGAATGCTTCCTAGCATTCGTAGGACCAATTTCATGTCCTATTCTTCCTTAGAAGATCAGTCAGCACCGCGATCTTCTTTAAATAATTCTTCACAAATTTTCAATAATAGTTTATTAAACCAAAGAAAGAACGTAGTTCAATAATTTTAGTACGGATAGACCAATTTGCAATGACCTCAACTTTCTTCGAGTCCATCTTCATCACGCCCGCAGAAATAATATGTGCAAGGAATGAAATTTTCTTCTGTGCAAACTCACATTTTTCTAGTTCCAGATACAACTGGGTTTTCCTCAACTTTGTCAAGGCCAGCCTAAGATGCTCAACATGCTCCTCAAAAATCTGGCTGTAAACAACTATGTCATCCAAAAAAATCACCATGAAACGATCCAAGTATTCTCGAAATACGTTGGTCATCAAATTACAGAATGTAGCAGGGGCATTGGTTAAGCCGAAAGGCATGACTAAAAACTCATATGATCCATACCTTGTCACACAAGCAACCTTTCGCCTCATCTCCCTCTGTAATTCTAACTTGATGATATCTCAGCCGTAAATCCATCTTGGTGAAGAAAATCGTCTTTCCCAATCTATCAAATAATTCGTCAACAAGCGACACTGGATAATTGTTCTTGACAGTGACTTTGTTGAGGGCTCTATAGTCTACATAAAATCGTAAGAATCCATCCTTCTTTTTCTGAAACAGAATAGGGGCTCCATAGGGTGCCTTGGAAGGTTGAATGAACTCAATGTCCAATAAACCCCTAAGCTGTCTCCTTAGCTCCGCTAACTCTGATGGAGACATTCGATAAAGAACCTGGGCAGAGATTTTTGTCACTAGAATCAACTCGATGGCATGGTCAATCTCCCACCTTGGCAATAACCTTGCTGGCAATTCTTTAGGTGCCACGTCCTTGAACTCAACCAGCAACTGTTGCACTGGTTCAAGGACTTGCAATGCTTTGGACTCCTCTTCCTCAAATAAAACAGTCAAGTATGTTGTTTCCCCCCTCCGCAAGCCATCTTTTACTTGCAAGGCAAACAACATTTCTCCCAAAGATTTGGCCTTAGTGAGGAGAACAAAACAAGGATTGGACATGTCCATCACGAACATCCCCTATAAATGCGGCATAACAGACACCTTTACCTTTGTAAGGAATTACAATCCAAGGATTACTTGGAAATCATCGAGAGGGACTACCATAAAATCACATGATCCTTATCAATCATCAACTTTTAAAGGGACTTCTCTTGCGACGCCGCCTACTGATTTTGTCTCTGAATTAACAGCCTTAATCTGGCTAGAATCTTTCACCAAATCCAAACTGAGCCGCTATACTTCCCGGTCAGAAACAAAATTATGGATTGCACCTATATTAACCATTGCCTGGACAGCCACATTGTTCAGGCGAATCTGCACAAACATCAATCCCCTCTTTGCCACTGTCTCCTTTTTACGAATTGTATTAAGTAGTTGTAATGGGTTGACTCATGTTGGTTCGTCAAAACAGTCAGTGTCCTCCGCCATGAGAGCACTGAGCTTTTCCTTCTTAGGGCAATTTCTGGCACGATGAGAGCCATTACAGATAAAACAGCCTGAGTCATAACCTCTCTTTGATGAAAAGGCTTTGTTAGTCAGTTTTTCTGAATTGCCAAATTTCTTAGCCTTTTTCTTCTACTTGTCCTTCTTAGGGAACTTAGTTTTCCCTTTTAATTCCTTCTCTGGAGGGTTAACCTGCGTTTTGTAGTCAACCAGCGTGTCTACTGCAGACATAGTAGCAAGTAAATCCTTCACCCCTTGCCGACGAAGTTCTGCCTGTGCCCAAGTTTAGAGGCCAGACATAAAGTTGAACAGCTTGTCTTCCTCTGACATATTTTTGATGTCAAGCATCAGAGATGAGAATTGCTTCACGTACTCCCTCACAGTGCTTGTATGTCGAAGTTTCTCAATGCATCACGAGCTTGCCAAGCCGTGTTGCTGGGAAAGAATTGTTTATTCATTTCAACAGACAGAGACTCCCAAGTGGTAATTGGAGGACGAGATTTGTCCTCAAAACATGTTCGCCACCATAATTTAGCATCACCAGATAGGTACATGCTAGTGAGATCTACCTTTTCAGCATCCGGAGTGCGGACTGCTTTGAAGTAGTGCCTCATATCCCACAAAAAGTTCTCGAATTCTTTAGCATTATGTCTGCCTGTGAAAGACTTAGGATCAAGCACTTTAGCTTTATGAGTGCTTTCACTGCCAGAGGCCAAAGAAGCATTCTGCAGTGCCTTCTTGAGCACTGAAACGTCTGTCTCAAGAGAACTCAATTTTTCTCCCATATCATCGGTCCATGTAGAGATCTTAGCCAGCAAGTCAACGACTTCGTTTTTCACTCGACTGAAGTGATTAGATTCAGTCTTTTGAAGTTGTTCATGTGCAACACACATCTCTTCAAACCGCTGATACAACAACTCAAGTTGCATAGAGAGAGCCACAGCATCACCGGACTGTGGAGGACCAACCAACTCCTCCAAACATGCCACCATTTCCCTTAGATTAACATTCGTTCTGTCAGCCATAATTGATCTGTTACCAAAATCACGCTTTGATACCAAACTGTCATGAGGTAATTTTCGTTTTTCTTTCGAGGCTGCCTGTGAAAGCGTTGCTATTGCAATCAGCCACACACAAACTCAAGACTAAGGAACAAAAACTCACACAGAAGGCACACACAAATTTACTAAGACAAAACTTTCAAACCTTATATATTGAACTCAACAATTTACAAGGACTCTCAAAGCCAGAACACTCTCCGCTTATTAGAATGCTCAAGCACCCCTATTTATACAGGAGTAAGGCAGATGACACCCCCATCTGTCAAGGGGTAGTTACACACATTTTTGCTATTCCATAGCAGGCTTGGTCTCTGTGCGACACCTGATAGGCAGTTCCACCCCTTTCAGTAACTGATGTGAAACTACCCTTCATCAGCATGCATCTGAACTGGATTCAAACTAGAGACGACCAAAACTGCCTCAACATTTGTAATTGCCCACATTCTCCGGGTCACATGCATTAAGCAGCCATATGCCAATCAGGTGCCCACATTCAACAGTCAGTCTTGCTTCATGAACCAATGTACATGCAGGGTTCAACTCATGTCATGCAATTTGAAGCTATGCACCCACATTGCTTCAATTAAGTCCACCACGTGCTGCCATGCTCAACCGGGTGTTCTCATGCTGCCTTGGTTCGTCCCAATCTGTCAAACTACTTAACCGCATCACCTTGATTCCAACTTATGACATGCCTTGGTGCAAAATGCCACCAAGACCGGTCATTTGCACCCAAGTCAGTTAGAGTGTGACACTCACACATTATAGAGATAAGGCATCTCCAATACTTAAGTAACATTTTGTTATGCTGAAAAATCAGCAGATGAGTTATAGTTAAGGGTAAAATGCCACGAGAGCCGTATCAAATTAAGGAAATCTCCGAGTACAACTGATAGCATTTCGACAAATATATGAACATTTCCAAGTTGACTGCTCACCTCTATATCAGTTATTGCTCCATATTTGAGTCCATGCAAAGCTCTATATCACCCACATAGATAAACATTCAATTGATCAACTACCATAGTCCTGAACTTCATGACCGAACCAGCAGCTATCTAAACACTCCAAAATGCTTCTCTACCAAAGAAACTGGAAAAAGATTGTACCCCCTGCGCAAGCCTCCTGCCTATAGTTACTGCCATTTTTCAGTACTCTTTTGTGTGCTTTGTATCATTAGGTATGGCAAACACTTGAACAAAAGCAGGACAAAGATGATTAACTTAACATCAATGGGATATCTTGCACATACTGCAAAGCTAGAGTACCCAAATAGCAATTACATGAGGATGGGAAGCTTGGATAATGGATGTGGTGATAAAAGCATAATGAGTCATGGTTTTACAAAATTTATACCACAGCTTTTTATGCCAAAAGATCTAACTACCTAGCAGTGACCAGCCATGTAGTGTTACTTTTTACCTGCCAAAAAGCAAATCTACATTTGAGACACGTACACTTAATAACAATTGCTAAAGAAAGGAAACTTTAAAATAACTAATATGTGTAGGCAACAATAAACATTTTAATAGATTTTATGAATCTTGTACTAATAAGATCATCTCCAACCTAACTCATATCTTTTTTTAAATTTGAGTAAAACTTTGAGTAAAAAGCTTGATTTGATACTGACTACTTCAATGTATAAACTCAAATCTCTAAACAAATCTTTTAAAAATTCATATTTAGTCCTAAGAAGTCATTCCAGAAAACATGGTACAGAGCCATACGAAGTTCAAATACCCAAGTCGATTTTAAAAAGCCCTGAAAGGAGGCTTAGATTGTGATCAGGAACAGAAAATGCAAGAAAAAGAAAATACAAATTTGCATTTGTTAGGACCACTCTGACAAGGAAGATGGAGAGGGAGAGAAACAGATGTATAAAACCATGGACAAGGCTTACCTGAAGGTCGAAAAATCTATGGATGATGTAGCAGAGACGGTGATGGTGGATGAAGGGAGGCAAAGATGAACTGATTGTGCTGAGTTTGGGATTTCAACCTACTGTTGGAATTTGAGTAAAACTTGAGTCTCCCTCAATTTGTGTCAAGATTTGGTTTTTCTTTGATTTGATATAGGTTTGAGTAAAGGGTTGGAGATGATTTTTATGGTCTTTTTACTCAAATTTAAATTTGAGTTCAAGTTTAAGGAACGAGTGGAGTTGCCCTAAGGTCTTGGAAGGAGTGCACTTACTTGTTTTGATTCGTTTTTTATTGATGTCAAGGGGTGTAACATTGGCAGCCTCATAGTAATCTTCAGTCTGATTCACCCTTGTAACGTAGACCTGGATTCAACGCAAGGCAATTTTAAGGTTATGATTCATGTTTAGTTAAATTACTAATATGACAGGTCAGTAGCTAAGAGAGAAGAATGTAGATGACAAGGTAAATCACAAATGAAATTCACGGAGACTGTAAGACACAAAACCAAAACTTGAGGTGGCCAAGTTTGAACTAATGTTGCATCATGACATAGCAATGGCATTTGGAAAACAATTATCGAGCATTTTAACAGCATCGAGACTCATTGATAATGTATAATGATACGCACAAGACATGATATGTTATCATTCGGAAGAGAAAAAGTTGTTTCATGACATGTTTAGCATTAGCATTGAGCATGAACAATCACAAAGGAAAAGTTGATGTTACAGAATATATTGTCTCGGAAATCATATAACCCAAATTTATTATATTATTGTCGTCAAAAAAATAACTTTTGGTCGGAATCATGAAAAAGAATTGAAACATAATTGCACCTTAATGGCTATAACTTTGAAAATTGATGTTTGAAACCAACATGAGAAATCCAAAATCCATGCATTAAGAATTTGTTGAAAATACTGCTTATACTATGCTTTCAGACAGTATAGGTATACACAAGATCAAAACATTTCAACACTTCAGGGGGGGAAACAAGAAAAATAGTTACTAACCCCAACAAGTTAACCATGACACTAAATTTACATTCAAACATGATTTAGAGCTAGTGATGGTGGTCTAATGTTGAGTACAGAATGAATATTACATAATGTATCTGCAATATGAATATGGAATATTTATAAACGCCATAACACTTAAAACATAGTTTGACATCTAGAAATCCTCCGGGAGTGCATAAAGTTTGACAAATTACCTTAAATGTTGTAGGCTTAATTAATTGGAAAACCAGTGCATCCCCATCTACTAATTCATGATCAATAGCAAATCCTCTCCATCCACCACTCAGCCCTGATTTCATAGCAAGGTACTTTGTGAAGCTTTCATTCCCATCTTCATCAACCAAAGTCAGCGTTTCATCGCGTTTTGGAAGGTGTTTCTTGCAAAAATGGTGAGGAAGACCCTATTGGAAAAATGTTGCAATTCAACATCAAAATGACACTCGACGCGAAGTTTAGGTCATGTTTAGTTTGTATTTTAGAACCTATTTTTCTATTTTCGGAAACATTTTTGGGAAAAAAACTGTTTAGCCAACTTTTCTTATTTTTGTTTTTTGAAAATTTATAACAAAAAGTAGATAGATTTAAAAAATAAGGACTGTTTTGTGCGTTTTTTGAAACAATCTTTTCAAAATTTAGAAAACACTACTAACACCACCACCAACACCACAACATCCACCACTATCACACTTCCACCACCACCACATTTCTATTTTCATTTTTTTATGTGTTACTGTCCAAATAAATTTTTCTATTTTTTATTCTATAAAACTATTTTTGAAATCATATAATCAAACAAGTTTTGTAACATAAAATACACTTTTTTAGAACTTTTCTCAAAAATAATTTTCGAATACTGTTTTTTGAAATACAAACCAAACCAGGACCTAACATTCAGAAGGTGCTGATTTCAAATTTTCAGCACCAAAAAAAAAAAGAAAAGGGATTCAACTTACCAGCCAAAATCCACCAGTAACATGTGATTGAAGCATCGGCTTCACAAAGCTTGGGAAATTAGGACCTAAACCTGATTCAACTTCCTCTGCTCTCTCAATAGCGTATGTCCTATCTTCATCTGAAGCGTATATTCGATTCAACAAATCCCTCCGTTTATAGCTGCAAAATAGTCTCAGAAATGCATACAATAAGCAGTAGGCATAACATCTGTTGCTGGATAATTGAATTTCAGGGAAAAGCGAAATTCGAGTTGTACCAACCTCCTTGGCCTCCCCAAAGGTTCGATCGGAACCTATCAAGAACAAGAACCAAAGAATTTGCGTGTAATACACTTAACATGTCGAACTATTTGAACCTACATGAGAGAGGGAGAGAGAGAGAGAGAGAGAGAGCTTACTTCCCTGTAATTAGGGGGTGGCTTATCTGCAACACGATTAGACCTTCGGACAGAAGAGAGGTGCATTGGCTCACGAGGTGTCCGAGGCTTGACCTTCTTCATCTGTAAAAAGCGAATGAACCCATTGAAGCCAGTACAGACACATACATCTATAGAGATATAGGAGAGAAATAGGAGGAAGGAAACTGACTGGAGAGGGTTTAGGCCCAGCGCTGCTTCGAAGATCTTGAGCGAGTTTGTTGAGATTAAGCTCTTCCATTCTCTTCTTGTTCTCTTCCAATCTCTTTTTCCGACATTCTTCATATGCAACCTTCTTTGAAACCACCATTGTTTTCTCTCTTTCCAAACTCGAAAGTGGGTTCACACAGAAGACAGGAAGAGGAAGATGAATTTTGCAGAGAATTGGGATGACCGTAAAACCCTCTCTCTCTCTCTCTCTCCCAAAAATGGGCGCCACTTTTTTGGATTAAAAACTTTTGAATTCAAAAAGTTGCTTTGTATGCCTACGGCTAGGCTCTACTATTAACAAAGTAAAATGTAATTTGAATATAATTTATTGATCTCCATTAACATCTCTAATTTTATTTGTGTCACGTAATTCATAAAAAAACAAAGAATTCAGTAGAGGAGTTGGTAATAATATTGGTACCATTTTTCTCGTGTTAAAACTTCGTCAATTTGAATTTGTGTTGAGTGTTAATCAACATTCATTTTAACTATTTAATTAATCTTGTCACGTTCTGATATATACGTGATCTTAATATGCTGAGTTTAACACACAATTTATGAACTATAAACTTAATATTAGAAATCTTTCGCTCTCAACCAAATCCACCATATATATGTTCTATATAAACTAAAAATTCACTTGACTCACAAGCCATTAAAAATAAGAATTCACATTGAACTAGATCAAGAAATAGAAAAAAAAAAGTAGGATTTTTTAGATAAAGTCCAAACTAAACAAATGATTTTTGTCACGTGAAAATTAAATTTCATGTGTCTGACAATAAATTGACTCGATTAATTGTATGTTTGAGATTTTTTGTGTCTTTTTTAAGTCTGTGTCTCTAGTCAACCCTAATTCGTTAACTTTGTGTTAAATTCATGTCGTGTTAAAAATTATCATTCTTAAGGAATAATATTATTAAATTTTCATTGATTTATACTACACTTCTATTAAGTACTTTAGTATTGGCCTGCAGGAAAACGTTATGATCGCGATATTCAAGTTATGATATAGCTATATCAGTGAGCCTTTCAATTGATTTAATTTTCATTGATAGAAAATCTTGCTACAACAATTTTAACTTCTTTTTTGTTCAAAAAATAATAATGAAGAAAGCATTTGTTAATACAATAACTCAAAACTTGGATAATAAGTACTACATTTGCATCACAGTTTTTTTTCCTTTTTCTTGGGTCATGGCACATAAGAGCTTGCTTTATTTGACAAAATTCGTATATAAAAGACGTCCTCAGTGTACGAAGACGCAGTCAATGCACAAAACTTCTATCACTCCTATCATTACGAGATTTGGAGATAGTTGGATGTACGCAACTTTAACTCTGCAAACAAAAAAAAATATTCTATGACTCAAATCGGTGACCTCCAAGTCACAATAGAACATTACCATTGCGCCAAAATCCGTGACAAGGTTCGTACATGGCTATACATATATATATATATATATATATATACTCGGCGAAGATTAAGTGTACAAGGCTATATAGAGAGAGAGAGAGCATACTAGTGATTTTCCTAAAAATCATTGCTGTTACAAAAAAAATTTATAAGCTATCAAGAACATTTCAAGAAATCAGATCAAACTTCTTCTGAGTATATGAAGATGTTGGTGTTAGTGTAGTTCTGCAAAATCACTTGTACACTCACAACATACATCAACTTCCATATAGAGAATCAGTCTCTTTCCGGCACATAAACTCATGCCCTGCCAATATTTTACCTTTGGAGCATCAGCTCCAGCATCAAGCCCTTCTCTCACCTTCTGTTCTTCAAAATGCTTTGCCTTTTCTCATCTCTTTTTGCCAAAAAAAAAAAAAAAAACAAGTTTCTACTAAGCTTCTGTGTCTCGGTTGATCTTTGAACCCCGTTTCAGTCAACAGAATGTCTGACAAGCCGATCCATCCGAGCTCTTACCTTCTCAATGGATTTCTAGGTTTGTAACAAATCACAAAATTTACCATCAAGTAGACAAGATAGCAAGCTCCAACCCAATGTAAACATTAATAAACCTTTGGCAGCCTATCTACAGGGGATGCCATTGAGAAGATGATCATGTGAATAAGAACTTTGACAGCAGAACTCATTGTCTTGAAAGTTGTTGGAGATTTCAGAATATACAATGAAACATATCAGGATTCATAAGGATTTGCTCGATACGAGACATAAAATTTGATCCTAAAATTTGCATACCTTCGAAAACCTGCGAGCCAAAACCAATGCTGTTATTTTCAGGTCTATCCGCTTCAAGGCCACTGTTAGTACTTGATACCCTTGTGCAAATCTTTTGAATATTCCCTTGGGGTTGACATATGTCCAAAGGAAAAGGCTCGTCCCACTTCTTGGCTTTTCTCCGCACTTTACTACCTTTCTGTACATAATCTTTTTTCCAAGTTTGGCATCCAAAGAGAACAAAGCGAAAAATACAAAACCATTTTTGAGGCCACTTACAAGAAAAGCACATAGAACACCCAAACAAAGAGGAAAAATACTCACCAGAACCTGTTCTTTTTGCATAAGCATCTAAATTGATAAGGCAAAGGGCTGCATCTACTTCATCTAAGCCATACACTCTAACTATGTGCACCTATAAAAGAGGCAGTGTGATGATCAAGCTTACAATCTGTAATCTTCCAAGAGAAAGAAGTGTAGGGGATGCTTCAGACAACCATCAATGGCATGCAGTCATTTCAGTATTTCCTTTACAAAAAATTGTTTATGATCCATTAGCCTAAAGCGAGATCAGACAATATCTAACCATCAAATTATGCAGGTCTTCCGAGACCTGTGCCTTCTTAATGCAGTTTGACAACAACCTGATCTCCCATTCAAGCAGATTTTATAAACTTTATGTTTCTCATATAATACATGCTGATGACATGCTCATTTTCACAGATAGTCTGTGCCCTTGGCCATCAACTAGAATGAGTTTCACAGCTGGGCAGGTCTTGGGATTGATAAAGCCAAATGCTCAACATCATCCTTGGCCGCCACGATATTTCTGACTCTACTACTTTCTCATTTTTCTTACATTCAGCCATGGACTGGTTTGCATAATCTGAGGTAGCATTTCATCATAAGCATCTGCTGCCTCATATACTTGCCACACTAAGCACCAACTTGCCTCGCTGTATAAAATTTGCTTAGCAAACCAAATTAATGCTTTTCAAGGTGCTGATACCTCTTTCTAACTAAATGGCCAGAGACCGAAAGCAAGAATTACAGGAAATTTAAATATAAAGTCTTACCAGTTATTACAAGGAGTTTCAAATCACTACCTTTAATTTGCAAGTTCCAACCAAATGGAAAACCAAAAGATCTCCCTTGCGTAATCTGTGAGAAATGGAAAATGCCCTCCATCCACCACTCAATCCATGTCTTCCCAGAAGATACTTTGTTTCGTATTCATCCCCACATTCATCCACCAAAATAACTGTAGCATCATAGCTGGGCAAATGCAAGTTGCAGAATTTCTTTGGAAGAATCTGCCATAAGTGATGTTAGATAAAACAACTCTGATAAGCACGCCAAATATGCCAAATTCTTTAAGATTGGACAATATGTAGGATTACCAGCCAAAAACCATGGGCAACATTTGATGGGAGCATACACTTAACAAAGCTGGGCGATTCAGCATCTAGATTTTCCAGGACCACTCCCGCTCGCTCCATAACGGTAAACTTAGCTTCAATATTGTCATACAAATCATCAAACCTGGCCCTCCTGGTCCTTTTACGTTCATATCTTTAAGTACATCAATGCAGAATAATACAACATTCATTACATTGCTTATTCAATTTTCATGTAAACATGAAAAGATTTGAAAGACATATAAATGCAATAACTGACCTCCCAGGATTCCGGGGTTTATCAGAAACTACCTGACAAAGAATGTAAAACGTTTTTTCATGATTTCATTGGTTTGGCAATAAAAGGCAATATCACCTAAGTAATGTGACGTGTCAAAATATTCCGCGGATATTAATTGAATCCAATTAGCACTAAAAATAATAGTGTAGGCAAACTCTCATTAGCATACTAAGTATGTCATTATATCATGTGGCCGCAATCAACACATAAGATAAGCAGGACTTTTTTTATTTTAAAAAGTAAGCGGAGGAGAAGAACAAGTTTTCCTGAAAATACTCTTATTCCACCCACTGACAATTTATTTCTGTCTCCGTGAACTGAAGACAGATGAAACTTATTCAGCCATTTGCAAGTCCAGTTCTTTGGAAGATTGTTACATAACTAAAATCTTTCTATATCAGTAGCTAACAGCTACCCAATGGGTCCTTTTCAAGCTGCAGTCCTTTTAACAATCTAAGACAAATGTAGCCCCATTTGCCCCTTTCTTCTTCTTGGACTGACAGAACTTTCAGGCCACTAATCTGGTCGATAAACGAAACCTAGTACGGTTGTATACGTTTGTGCCTAACACGCGTTTGTGCTTTTAAATGCTTCAACTCGTAATTACTTATATAGGTATTATAAGACGGTATAGCCATCCAAATGTCCAAGGCACCTTCAAAGAACTTCACAACCATCATATGCCCAAATTTTCATACCAGTTCCCAAAACATAAATGCAGTTAGATTGAAGATAAATCAGTTTTAGTGACCAATAAATCAAGGTCGATTTCAAGTACCTGTGACAGATTAGGGTTTCAAAACTTTTAAATGTTAATCAAACCCTACATTTATCTCCACCACCGAAAGTAAAACATTAACCTAATTGACAAGAGAACTAAATATAGAAAGCATAAACAAATTAGCTACATAAGTACAGCCAGAAAAACAGAAAAAGGGCTCTTCAATGTGCTCTGAAGAGCATGTCTACTAGAACATAATAACATCCAATACAACGAGGGTTTAAGAGACCAAAACTAGTAGATCATGTAACAAATCGCAACCTGCTTGGCCTTAGATTTGAGACATTTAGGCTTTCTGGGGACCATCCTTTTCTGGGCCTCCAGTGATGGTTTCTGCTTAATCTGCAGGTGAAGAACACACCAGAGTTATTCAAAAAAAAAACCCGCAAAATATATATTAAAAACAAATATATCACACTTATATGTAGAGAGAGCAAGTAACCATGGGTGAAGAATCAGTGGGATGGTTTGGTTTGGAGAGAGAAGAACAGTGAGAAAGAGCCATGGGTTCTTCTTGGTCCTTGCCTACATTAATTTGGTGGGTCTCACATCGCTGCTTTATGATGATTTTCTCATTAACCCTCTCAGTTTCCATTCCTGTCTCGGGTGCTTTTTTCTTCTTTCTTTAAAAAGTTTCGGACATCTATATATATACACAGCGTGGAGACAAAAATACAGGTAGAGAAGAACTATAGGAACCAACCCAGTTGACAAACATATGCGAAACCGGGCCAGACAGCGAATAGAGACAGAATATATACCGTGGGGTACAACTACGGTTGAATGATCCAGATTTTCTCATCTCATGTGAAGATATTTTATAATACTAAAAATCAAATAGGCTGTAGGTTGGGATTCCTTCACTTACATTCTTGTTAGGAATATAAAAAATTACTATAATTTTTGATAATGATAGAATTTTGGTGCAGACTGCCCATCAAAACCGTAAAGCATCTAATGGGTCTAATGGTTACGTGACAGCCCAAGTAATCCCTCTCTATGTCATTTGCTCCGCAAAAGAAATGGGTCGTAATTCAAAGAAGGGAGTCCAATAAAGTTCGATCATAACAAGTTCAATAGTAAGCAATCCGAGAACAAGGAGCTCGGGATTGACCAGATCCTGAACACCCTCCATCACGCCACATATCCAGGGGATAAGGGGACAACCTCTGAAACCACAAACAAACACATACTCACTGAAAAAAGAAAATATTTACGCACATTCCATTGAAGAATCGTAAAGATGATTTGTGTTAGAGTAACAGTTACCACAACAAGACAAAAAGGAGGAGACCATAGAATCAACTGATGAAAGAAAGATCGCAAAAAATTTTAGATGATTACTTGTATATATAATACCCTCACATTATAAAATAAAGAGATATGAGAAAAATCTATACTCATAAGACACTGTTCACATTAGCTCTAAGTTAAGAAATCAGTTGTAACATTCTTCTTCTTCAAGCAATACAAACCCTATGAAATAAGAATCTCCATTACAGTGGACGTAGCCCTAGTCTTTCGACTAAGGTGAACTACTTACATATTATCTTTATCCAACTTTATCATCAATTCCCTCTCAGTTGACCTTGATTTACACTACTTGCCCCCCCCCCCCATCTTGTTAAACATTGTTCTGGACTTAGGCTGAGTATTTTTTAACACTATCAGTCTTAACACCCACTATTCTTGTGCAGTCATTCTCGGGTTCGTAGAGTCGGGTTTCCGTTTACCCACAACAAATGAGCCACCCCCACCAAGCAGCCATGGGTCATAACGCATTCTTCGTACAACAAAATACTTTGAAGATGATTTATTCGTTTGGCTAATTGTTAGAATGTTTTCGAGATATCATAAGGGCCCAATTTCTTTATGTAATTTAAAATTAAAATAAGAAAAAGAGAAAATAAGAAATATGTATGAATTAGTGGAGTTATGTGACATTGGGAGAGTGTATTGATTAACTTATCTAACATTAAAAATTGTGCATAGAATATAATATTTTGAGGGGAGAAAAAAAATAAAGATAAATTTTGTATAATTGAATCAAAATAGATAAAAAAAAATGATCAATATTGATAATTATTATACTTTTATAAGTTGATAGTTTAACTTTCTAATTGTAATATTAAATAGATATATAATAAGCCTCACTTACATGCATGGTCGGTAACCCGTCAAAAAAGTATTGAAAAGTAATTATATATTTAAAGAGATTTCCTTTCCCTAACTCTTACTTATCAATATCGTACCTCTTATTTTTCATCAACGAGAGTGTATCACATGTAAAGTTTTTATGTTTTATTATTTATTTTTATTTTATTATGTTTAAGATTAATAGTCACAAACAAATTAACACAAGATCAATAGTCCATAATGCATTTTGGTACAATACCACTTGGGTACTGATAAAGATGAAAATTAAGGCATGGGCCTTCATAATCCAAGAACCCAATAAGGCCAAAAATCCTTTGATTACCCAACAACACAAAATAGGGGGTCCACAACTTGCCCACGTCGGAAGTCTAAAAGGCCGGGCCCTAGGAGGAAAAATCCAATCTCACTGGAAGGCCTGCAACCCAACCTAACTCCACTCCTGCCCAATCGATGAGTAGCTTAGGGTAGAGAGGCCCAGCTTGATACGAACTCCGGAACACCCCATTGTGCCACGTGTTCTAAAGACAAGGGGGTCATCACTGACACCCCCAACATCATACATTCCCAGATGCAGAATGTGTTGGTGCGCATAATCATTTAGAGATCGTGAGAACAGTGACGCCGGATGAACAATGGCACCGGATGACAGAGGTTGTTATAGGATACAGACGAAGGGAACAACGAAATCGGCACAAAAGAAGGAGAAACAGCAGAAAACCCTAGATGAGTCATTGTATAAGTAAAGAATTGTTACCCAACGGAGTCCTCTCTCGTCTTTTTCTCCTTCATTATCCATGTACTCAAGCCAAGGACCTAGCAATTAGAGCAGAACACACAACCCCTATAAAGAACCCCCAGTGTCTGAATTATCGTTGTACTCGCCAAGGATTAAGCAATATACAATCTCAAAGAGTAAGAGATTTCATTATAGTGAACGTAGCCTTAGTCCTTCGACTAAGGTGAACCATTCACATCTTGCGCTCTTTCAGTCTCCTTAGATTAATCACCTAATCACAAAATCACACTCGAATCCTTGATACTTCATCGGCTGGGCTTGGATTGTTATTTTCGAGTATCATCAAGTACCATATTGCTCTCCATATACCATGCATGATGGTGATTTATTTAATCATAAATAATCTCTTTATATATAATTAAGGACTTAATTTAGAGGCCTTTGAATTGATAATGAACTTCATTTAATACTCGACCTCAATGTTAATTTAATGACCACCATATATTATATTTAAAAATCATATTATCGTAGTAAGTCTTAATAGCATCGCTCTTTAATCAATCCTCCAATGAGAGAATTAGGGTTGGCTTAATAGTCACGATAGCTTGTTGTTGGATTGTTAGGTCGTGAATTTAAACTTCAACATCCTTCCCCGTAAAAAAATAGAAAAAGAATTTGACAGAATTGGAGAATTGTGCAATTCATAATTATGAAAGTGACAGGTTGGTTATTTTATGGACACACATATGTTTTAATTTCTAATATGGCTTCATGATTTATCTCAAAACTCACAAGATCAATAATGTAAGTTCCAAAGTGTTATCACCATCATCTATTTATGAGGTGACCCACAAAACACGATAGTTCACATCTATCTTTATTCATCTTACTATAATTTAACACATCGAAAAGAATTATGTTTAAATTGTGCTATTTTAAAATCATATAATATTTAAAATAATATTATTTTAAATTCCCATCAAGTTCATTTCTTCAAATGTGGCCTAAAGTTTCTCCCCCGTACTTTAGTACAAAATCATCCCCCAAAGACCTTGGTCAAAGCAAACAAATGCTAAACGTGAATACCTTTGAAATCATAAACAGAACACCTGATAGAGAGATCTAATCTTGAGTAAAATAAATACCGCAACTTCGATCTCTTTCAATAATATCATCACACAATAAATTAACAAATTTGAAAATGATCTCCCTTTCCCTTTCAAGTTTACCTACTACAGTACCGGAGTGAATATGATTTCCACCAGACATATGCTTTAGCTTGATTTCACTGTCATCTATTGTGAGTTGATCCCACCAAAACTCTTCCAAATCATTGAACATGTATGGTAATTTGAGGGAAATGGGGACAATTATCATTATGTTTGGATAGAACCCTTTCGCAGATATGTTTTGTGTGTAAATAATTCTAAATTTCTTAACCATAGTAACTTTTGTTCATTATGTTCCATCAGGAGTTGGGCTACAAGATTAGAGACTCACCTAACAGTTCTAAGGTTCGAATCTCAACAGAGACAATGTGCATGCAATAAAAAAGGCAAAGATATGAATTTAACCACCACAAATCGCATAAAAATGCCCATCCTTCTTACTATTAGAAATATGCTAAACACATCCATGATAACATCTGTAACTTATTCATTACATTCCCATGTTTCCCTCCTTTTAAATCAACATTGATATAAAAGAACTTCTAGTTCTATAGGGGTGCCAAATTCATTGCAGCCAATGCCAAACTAAGTTCCTCTTCTTTTGGTTCCAAATAGGCATTGCTCATAAGGAACCTCGAGAACTCAAGTGGCTGCAATAATTGGGAAAAACTTTGAACATCAAGAAAGACAATCCATGGCTGGCCACCGGCTGACTGACTTAAGTTGTGTTAGAATACGTCCCTTAAAAGACAAGGATACGTATAGGGTGTAAGAAAGAATTGAACCTGAGACCTCTGAGTTACTAAAATCAGGAGTGATTCATGTTGAGCAGTGTTAAGTTTTGAACAGCCAATATAACTCTCACTTCTCTAGTTGCTGCTTGACTTGGTATGAGCATATTAAGAACATACCATTTGCTCTATTGGAGACATTCAAAAGATTACCAAAAACTGGAATATAGCATTTACATACAAGTTGTTCCTCAATGGAGCACCTGCTTGTTGATGTGCATGTAACTCCAACAAAAAAGGACTATACAACAGTGGCATGTACCGAAGATGGCTATTACCATGGAGCACCAGCCTCTTCCTGGAATGTAAGCTCACTCCTCTCATCTGGGACCTTCAGAGACTCAATCTCAACGTGAAGAGTTCGGATCCTCCCTTTCATATTGGAAAGTTTTTCTTCGAGTGTTCTCATCTCTTCTTCCGCTTGCATCCGCTCAAGTCTTTTTGATTCTATGACCATTGGTGTTTCGTATGAAAGGATAACAAGCCTATTCAGACGTGCACGTAAGAATCCAACTGCCATGCCTAAAGCCTCAAACCCTTTCAGAGTCTTGTCCCAAGCCTCAAAACTATCACGAGAAGTCGAAAGCTTGCAAGCTTTAATAGCATCGGCAATGTTAACAGTTTCAGAAATGATTCCAGCAACTAAGTTGCAGTTCAGGCCCTTGAGAAGATTGTTGTGAAGATAAGATTTTTGACTGCAGCAGAGCTCATAATACTTGGTCCGCAGGTGTATGGGTATGACAGAGTTGATAATCAAACCATCCACACTGATATTAAAGTCCTCAATACACTTTACTTCTTTGAAATCAACATCGGTGTCTGAAAATCTGATGCCATCAAACACTTCTGATCCAAAATCATCACTGTCATTTCCAGACAGATCTGCCGCAGGTGTAAAATCAGCATCTAACGCCATCATGCCTTTCTCTTGGATACTATCTCGATGACTGTCTAGTGGAAGAGACACGGGCCATTTTTCACCTGCTGTTTCACAAATTATCATATCCTTCTCTTGCCAACCTGTGTTTTTTTAGTTTTTATGGAAGCAACAGAAGGATCATGAGTAACATTTTAAAAGCACTTACAAATAATTGATGAAGAGAGGTGGACAATCTAGACTCACCAATGTTCAACGGTTTTGCAACAGCATCTAATGTTAGAAGGCCAATAGCCCCATCAATTTCAGTTAAATCATTTGCTCTCACAATGTAAACCTATAAAGAATAGAAGACAGGAGTAATGAAGTGAAAATAACAAATCCAGGGACATGTGGCTTCACAAAATAGAAATTCTAGAATTCAGAAGCCCCAATGAAGAGGTACTTCCTTAAAAAACATTCCAAATCACTCACATTGCTGTCTCCTCTTCTCTCCACTTCTCCCTTTCTGTTATTAGTGTTTTGCTCTCAGCAGAATGGTAACTTTTATATTTCCTTCCCAATTTCACGTGAAAGAAAATTCAAACTTGATACCTACCAAGCGAGTTATGTCATTTAGGTGTTAACGCAACTTAACTAATCGAATTGCTGTCTCCTTTCTGGTCTTTCTTTACTTTGACCAACCGATTTCTGACATTTCCAAATTCTTATCGTTTCCTGTTCTAATCAGGGATCATAAGTGCTAAATCATGATAGCATCTCTTTCCTCAACAAGCATTACTTGCATCTCACTCAATAAAATACGGGTTGCAAACTGGCCCTCTAACTTGACCCAGCCATAACATAAACAATAACCAAATCAAACCATCTATTAGAAGTTTTAAAACAGAGTTATTTCGGAAAACGTGAAATAAGAATGCAAACAAATCACCTTAAATTTGCATGGTTCAATTAACTGGAAAACTAAAACATCTCCCTCGAGCAATTTATGTGCAATAGAGAATCCTCTCCACCCGCCACTTAATCCATTCTTATCTATCAGATATTTTGTTTTGTAAGCTTGTTCATCTTCATCCACCAGCACAACAGTCTCATCAGTCTTTGGCAAATGCTGATCGCAGAAATGCTTAGGAAAACTCTGTCATCAGATAAGGTAGCACCCAAATTAGTTTGATACTTTGAATTTTTGGCTAATTATTGAACAGGAATTTTAGGCTTACCAGCCAAAATCCACCAGTTACATGTGATGGGAGCATAGGCTTAACAAAGCTTGGGAATTTGGTGGCTAGATTTGCTTGAACTTCTTCCGCTCGCTCCATGGCAGAGAATGCCACATTCAATGCATAGCTTAATAGAGTTGTAGAGAAAGCATTGTCTGGTTAAAATATTGCAACATGTGAACAAAGTATGACGAATCTATTTACTAGTTATTCACTGACCATATTTGTGACTTCTTGCTCTTGGTATTCCCAGTTTCCATCTGCTCAATAATTTACAAAATATCATTCATTATTTCATTGTATATAACAAGGGTGTAAACAAAATCATTTGTGTCGTTGATAAAGGCTATCACTGTGAGATGGGACAAGGGAACACAGAAAACTGTAAGATCTACTCCAAAAGAGCAGGATGAGTACAATTCTCCATATCTGCAAAAGAAAAAGGTTTCCGAAACTATAATGTTGGATAAGACCGGTTAAAAGTGAACATTTCCATTTTCCTTTAAGTTGCATTTGCAAAAACACAAATCCAATGTGAACAACAAAACTAAGTTATACTAAAAATTTCAAGAAATTACATTGCGTCAGCTTAGAATTGGGCTAGACAATTGAACAACCAATTTTGTTGTAAGTTCATGAAAACAGTACATAATAGCACATATCCGTCCCCATTCCTTTCCATGTTAAGACAACATATCACAATGCTTGCTAGTGCCATCTAAATCTCCTGTTATAACTATCTCTAGCATTGGTTATTTGTCCAAGACATTTTCCTTTAAACTTCTTTTTTTTGTATTACAGGAAGGGATGTCCACACAAGGACCAGAGAATTCATATCTGGCCCAAGACAATTGTCAAGTTTCAAAATCAGGATGTCTAGGCTTACAACTCAACTCTATCTCCACTAGGCTACCCTTGGGGGTTTTAAACTTCTATATATCATCAAGAGCGACAATGTCTCATTTACAACTAGAGATTCTGAGGGAACTTATACACTAACCATAAATGACTAGCAAAATGCTGAAACAAAAAAAAAACATGCAACACAAATGACCTGTAATCATTCTGGAATAAAAGGCATGAAAAAAAATGCACTGAAAAAAGAATAATAAAGTTAATGCAGAAAAGGGAAAAAATAAGTTAAAGAAAAAACAGAGCTTGATGCTTTCTTTTGCTCCTAAGAGCCGAAACTATCATAATAGCATTTAACATAAATAAAAAAACGAGGGTTTTGATGGAATTAAAAGTAGATAAATGGGTGATTTGCAATTTCCAGGAAAAAAAAAGCTTTTCATCTCACTTTCTTCATCTTTTTAGATTTCAGACCCGGTGGGCTTTTCCGCAACAGCTTTTTCTGGATCTCCAATACCTTCCTCTGCCAACGAAGAAAGCAAACCTATTTACAGAATCATTACATATAACTACATGTCTGGAGAGAGAGAGAGAGAGAGAGAGAGACCTTGGAAGGAGATTTAGCTGGGCTTCTTTTGGAGAGAGGCAACGGAGAAGTAGCCATATGTTGTTCTTCTGTTCAACCTTCGTCCACAGGAAGAAAATACATGAACTCTGTGTGTGTGTGTGTATGTGTGAGTGAGAAGAGAGAGAGAGGGGGGGGGGTTAAGAATGAATCGACCGTTTGGTTTAAACTTGCATTGGCTTAGTTCAAAAAAGAGTGACTGGTTTGTCAGACCAGAGCATTGTCTTGGAGAAGGAAAACGCCGATCGGATTGCAGTGACAAATTCAAATCTTTTTGAGTATTAGTGTTCTTATTATTATTCACTAGGTGTGTAGGTGGGTATGGTGAAATGATTTCATTCCTCTTTCCACTGTGTCACTGTTGTGTAAACCCAGCCTGGTGGTAATATCAATATGGGAGCCAAGTAACAATGATTTATTGACTTTTTTTTTTTTTTTGTTATTGAGTGATTTATTGATCCAATTACATTAAATTAATAGGAGATTTCAACAAATAATCCATCGTAACTCCTTAATCTACCACTTAACACGGCAATTAAACTAATTGTATAAAAAATGTTCAAAGATAAACTACAAAAAATGGTTTTTAATACTCGCGTATGGGTTTAACGTAAGGCTGTTAGTCGAACTAGTTCGAGTCAAGTTTGAGCCGAGCCGAGCTTGAAATATTTGTTTCTTAATCGAGTTTTAAAAATTGTTCAAGTTCGGCTCGTTTAGGAAACAAGCCGAGCCCGAGCCAAGCCCAAGTAATTGCACATAATCGAGCCGAACTTGTCGAACTTGTTTTCTAAACGAGCTTAAAAATTTGTTTAAATTTGGATTCGTTTAGAAAACGAACCGAGTTTGAACGAGTCGAACCCAAGCCGAACTCAAGGCGAGCTCAAATAACTCAGATTGATTAACAGTTTTAGTCCAATGTCACGGACGAACGAAGCCAGAGTTTCTCTTTAATGGGAACGATTATTAGATTAACGGAAATCATTGGGACTTGTGAATCGATAGCGATTGAGGGTGTTATATTTTGATTGAACTTTGTGCGATTCAAATTCGAATTCAATTTAAAAAAAAATTAATAAAATATATATTTAAATTCATGAAATATGGGCAATCCTATTTATAATTCGATTTGATTGTGACTTTACAGTTAAATTTCAACAAATTAAATTTTAGTTTTGATTCAATTTCATCGCATACCTACTCAGTTATAATTGCATATATAAATGGATCACATTTAAATCAAATTTATATATATTGAATTTTTAGTCCATGAAATCTGACAGAACAAATTTGAATTTAAATAATCAATAAAATATATAAAATAATCACATTTGACTAATCGAGTTTTGGATAAGATTGTCGGTATATTTTCCGACTACAAATTTGACAACGTTCGACACAAACGTCATTAATTAATAAAATCGGTATTTTAAAGACAATTGGCTCTATGTTATAGCTGTAGCTTCAACTTGGAGTGCTTACTTCAATCGTGCTTGTTGATCATAAAAAAGTTATTGTTATTATCTTCGTTTGCACGCACTTGATAAAGTAACTTGCGTTGAGTTGTCCTCTTTTAATTGATTTTAAATTTTTTGTTTGAAAAAAAAAAAGAAAATACTTTTTTATACGCCGTTCGTTCGACTAAAAAAAAACCAATTCATGTTCAAATAATGGGATTTTAACAATAATATTATATGTATCAAGTTTTTTATTCGACATAACAATGTTGACATTTTTATTTGGTGTCAACCCAAATCTATATAATAAATCAGTTAACAAGGTAAATATTTATTTTCTCTCAAAAAAAATATTACATCACCAAATTCTATCACATTTTCACATGTTCAATTATTTAATATTTAGTTAATTTATAATTTAATACAATTTTTATTTTATACATTATTCATATACGATAATGTACACATGTTAATATTTTTTTATCAAGTTATGCATTTTAAGAAAATTTTAACTTTATTTTTAAGAAAATAATAGGTAGAAATTAATTTTAAATTATATAAGCAAAGAAATAAATTTTAAATTTTATATAATGAGATCAATTTTTTAAACATTAAAATCTTATGATTCATCGTGTTTTTAGCCAAGAGTGATGGCTAGTCCAATGACGTATCCACTTGAGGTGGAAGTCTTGGGCCGACATGGCATCAAATTTCTTTGGAAAAAATTGTGAAAAGGTACACTTTATCTTATTTATTTGTGTAAAAATACTTCAATATAAAATATTTGTATATAAATATCTTTATGTGTAAAATATTTGGTGAAGAGGTACACTTTTACTGAGTTATAATTTTTTCTCTTACGAAATTATCCTTTTCCTTTATTAGTGGGAGACAAATATGACAGTTATATTAGAAATTCAGTTTCTTAAATTTATGGAATATCATTTTTGAATTTTAAACTATATCTTTCTCTTTCATTCAACTTAAATTATTCAAATTTTCATTTTTATTCAAACATTCTTGTCTTTTCCATATTTGTATAATTTTTTTTTTTTATAAATCGTAATAATCAAGATGATGATTTTGATTCGAATGATGATTTGTTGCCTCGCACGATAATGTTACAGTGTTACAAGACAATGTCACACTGCTATAATGTTGTCCATATGTTTTTTAAAAAAAAAAAATTATTACGGTCTCTTAATGTCAATCACGTTCATGTGAAGATAAATATCAATGATGAAAACTCAAATGGGGATAATCGTAATAATCAAGATGATAATTCTGATTCGAAAGATGATTTGCTGCTTCGCACAATAATATCACAATGCTACAAGATAATATTACAATGTATAACTGTAAATTCACAATATTACAATGTATGATTGTAAATTAAAAAATATCACAGTGTTACAAACCAAATTCACATTGCTAGAAACCAATGTCACATTATTGCAAATTAATGTCACATTGTATAGATTGACATGACACATATCACAATGTATATAATCTCTTTGATTTTTTTTTTTTTTGGCAAATGATCGAACACTTGGTGTGCATGTGGTACCAAGCACTAGAAGTAGAAAGGTAATTGAGGGAAAAAAAGTAAATAAAATAAAAATATTGGAATAAACAACATTTTTCTTGAGTTATCAATTTCTTTTCCAAAAAATTCAACCACTATCATCCTTCTCCATCCTTCTGCTACAGCCACTCCCATTCAAACCTTTATCTAAATTGTTCTCGCCCAGATGGACTCTTTACTGAAACCACTTTGCCCTTTAATGTAACCAAGAGATGTTAATGAATCGGATTCCAATCCATATCTAATATCGTGTGATTGAGTTGGTTCTTCGTTACTAAAAAAATTTATAATCACTCCCATCATTTTGCTACAAAGGTGAAGATTTAGATATTGAAATTTTGAAAATATCATTTCTTTAGCAACGATTAACAAAAAATTTTGAAAATCTAAAATGAGGTTTTATGGAAGTTTTTGAAAGAATGGGATTTCCGGCGATATTAAAGAAATTTATGTATAACTATTGAGATCCTTTAAGCTTCGGTTGTGGAAACAAAAATATAGGAATCGGTTCTCATTCTACTGAAGAGAGTATTTTAGAGAATTGTTAGGGGTTGTGTACTTTTTGATTTATATTTTTAAAAGTAGTACTTTTTGCCATATAATTTCTAAAATGGGTACCGACCCACTTAAAACCCAATTTCCTTTGTTTGGTGTGTCCGGGGCTTGGTCCAACAATACTTTTTGATAAAATTATACATATAACCATTAAATTATCACTTGATAAATTAATATTATTAAAAAGGTAGTGAGTTATAATAAATATTAAGACTTATAATTAAATTAATGACAAAGACAAATATATCAAACATATCATCAAATCAAATTTTTAAATCAATCTTTTAAATCTGTGTAACATTCTTTATTTAGAAAACTCATAAACAATCTTTAGATCGATTTCTCAATCACCACCATCCCACTATTTTGGTGTATGTACTAAAGCAACCAAAAATAGCACAGAATTGCACAATCTTAAAGTATCTTCAACCAAAAAAAAGTTAATTTAGGGTCCGTTTGATAACGTTTTTGTTTTTATGTTTTTTTTGTGATAAAAATTAAAAACTTAAAACATGTTTGATAATTATTTATATTTAAAAAATTATAAAAACAAAAATAAAAATATATGTTTGGTAATATACCAAAAATTCATCACCCAAACTCCACCACTCAACCCTACTAACTACCTAAAACCACCATCCAAACCCACTGCCCACCCAACCCCACCACCGAAACCCACCCCACAACCCCACCACCAAAACCAACAACCCACTCCCACCACTGAAATCCACAACCACAACCACAACCACCCCACTGACCATCGAAAACCACTCCATTAACCACCACCGAAAACCACCACCCAACCCCATCCCTGAAAAATCACCCCCAAACCACCACCCCCACCACCGAAATCCACCACCCAAAATCCCAAAAATTCACCACTCATCTATATATACAGATAATATACATAGATTTAGGGTTTGAGAAGACGATTGAGAGGGGCGATGGCATGTTCCCCCCCTTTTCTGCTTCGTCTTCGTCTTCGGCAGAGAGAGACAGAGAGATGACCGAGAGGGGCGATGGCGATGGCTTCGACTTCGTCTTTTGCATCGAGAGACAGAGAGAGGCAATGTCGATGGAGATGGCTTCTCTTCGTCTTCAACCTTTGGCATCGAGAGAGAGAGAGAGAGTCGACAAAGAGACGACTGAGTGGGGTGAAAGAGAGAGATGTGGGCTTTTATACTCAAAGGAAAAAAAATCATATATTGTTGCTAAGGAGGATCGAAGTCAAAACCTTATTAAATCCTTGTATCAATCTCACGTTTGTTTTTTTTTTTTTTTTTGATATTTTCATATTTTAGCCTTGTTTTTAAAACAGACAATTAAAAAAAATAAAAACATTCACCAAACATGTTTTTATTTTTTATTTTACCATAAAATGAAAACAAAACAAAAACCACCGGTTACCAAATACTACCTTAGTTACTCAAAAAAAATTTATTTTAACTATTCACTTTTTTAATAAACATTCCAATAGATTTTTTATATTTTTAACTACTTCCTTTAAATATTAATTTTCATTTCTTTTGTATTAATTGTTTTTGGAAACAATGAAATAAAGAAAGAGAGAAAATAGAAGAAAAGAAAAGAGAAAAGAGAAAATATTATAAAAAAGTGATATATATTGTTACAATGAAGCACAATATTTAGAGTATTATCATAACAAAATGTTATTTTAGATGCTTTGAAAATGTTTTGTTGAAGTGAAATATATAATATAAAACAGAACAAATTTCAATAAACTCATTTAACAGTCTCAAATATATTCATCTAACGACCACCAACATCCTTCTTAAATTTTCATTGTGCCTTTAGGTACAAATTACTCTTAATTTTATGATAAAATAACTAAATTTTGAAGTTTGTATATAGTTTAACTAATCTTTTAGTGATGCTATTAGAGAAAAGTAATAGGCACTGCAAGAACATGGAAATCGGTTTCGTAAGCAGTGAAAACGGTCAGAAAATGTTTTTTTTTTCTTTTGATATTATTATATAAGAAAATGTTTAAAACGGAGAAGACCAACCTTCTTCCCCAGTAACATGCAACATTCCCCTTCCTCCTCTGTCTATCTATACTATTGTGCTTTAAAAATTGTGGCACCAGGTCCAAAGCACCTGCAACTCAGGAGACCACCACTAAACCACCGCACGTGCACTCTCTCTCTCTCTCTCTCTCTCTCATGAGTTACCAGAGCCTGAAACCTTTGATGTTCTGAGCTGGGCTGAAATTCCTCTCTATTTCCGACATTGCCGTGGCACTTTTGCCATATCTCCTGCACTAGTCACTGTCAAAAGACTAATATCGATTGATTTTGGTATCGGTTTTCTACTAGTTTTAGCATAATAAGATATAGGCTGTAAAAATAAGAATCATTATATAGTCGTTAAATTTGAGTTTTTACATTGAATTTGGATTAGAATTAACCAAAATCCCATCCAAATTTAAAGAATACCAATACTAAAATCAATTCTATTCAAAAAAAAACTCCATTTGAGTTAAAGTTTAACAAATTAAATTATAACTTAACTAAATCTATCAAATAACCACTCAATTTTATTGTATTTTTATATTTGTGTATGTATGAGTCGGATCAGATGATCCCATTGTACCTAATTTGGGTATGCTGAAACCATTATATGTTACATAAGCACTTGAATAATCAATAAAAAATATTACTCCATACTTAATCCATTTTTCCAAAGCAAGGCCTGGAAATATTTATTTGCCCCAAATAAGAGACAACATGACGTTCCTAATGGCCCCACACATTGCATGGCCACAATGCGCACGACGGTCCCAATTCCAAATCTCATGTCATGTTTAATCTATACTACTTCTAAAAGTGGTTTATCTATATCTATCTATATTTATACTATTTAAAAGTGGCTTAAGAAGAAAAATTTTTAATTTTCTCATTTGCCCTTTAGTAATTCTATAATGTCAAACATATCATATTATCTTATATTTAACTCTTAGACTCTTTCACATCCTTTATCCTTTAGTAAAGACTCTTGACCTTCAATTTTATTTACTAGTAACTATTATCTATTATTAAAATTTTGAGTTCTTACATTACTCTTTTAAAAATTTTAAAGACCACTATGTATCATTTAATAACTCCATTAATTACTATCTATAACATTGAATCATACTTCCCCAACTTTTTCTATTCCCCACTTTTTTCCCTTCATTTCACAATGTAACAGAGGTCCTTGCAGGTGCAATCGCCCTCAAGGTCGTGGCAAACATCCCTCCAGTTGGGGTGATTTCCTCCTAGGTGTCCTCTTGATTCAGGGGCTTCTCTTCCAGATTTTTTTTTTGTTCCATTGAATGTTGTGGGGTTCAATGATTTCAGGATGAGATATTTGGAGTTGCAATTGTTGATTCATTTGACAACGTCTTAAAATCAGAAAGCAAATCTATTGTGGTTTACAAACCCATGGAGAAGATTGTATCAAAGACCATAGTCTTTCTCCTAGCAAATTCGGCCAGTATCTATAAATTTAGATACTATTTTGCTTGGAATTTCTGTAATTTTTTCTATGTATTTAGCATAATTATCTGGTATTGTTAAGGATTTAAAGTTTATAATACTTTTTCCTATTCTCTCTGATTTATGTAGTCCCAAACATGAGCCTACTTGAGAAAATGTGGAGAGGACAATTTGGATTTACAATTTATCTATATACATTTATCGGCTATATGCTGAGATATGAGTGTCACTGTTATTTCTAGGTAAACAATATCAGTCACCAACAAGGGTTGTTTCAAGCTAGGCCTCGTGCCCAGCTTCCTTATCAAGTCAAACACCATTTAGAATCTGAACTTGGATCGAATCTCCATAAGGATTTTAGAAATAAAGAAAGAAATGGAGCCCTCCACATGGCACCAGAGAACTTGGAAGAGGATCCAAGTTAATCCATTTATGTAACTTAATTGGCAGATTTGGACGGTGTAAACATGTTTAGCAAAATTTGTGGATGAGTCACTCAATGTCACCAATCTTTTTTAGTGTTCTTCTTTGTGTGGCCATGGTGTGGACGTCATTGAAGGGCCTAATTGACAAGGGTGGATTTTTTATACTCACTCAAATTTTTTATGTAACCATGAGATTTTTAATATTTTAGTAGTAAACAAGTTTGTTTATGATTTTTCTTTTTGACCACATTTAAAATTTTTCTTATTGTCTGTTTCTAAATAAAAAAAAAATCCAGCATTTCATATATGCATATAATACAAAAAAAAAAAAAAACAAAGAGAAGCTTATAAGAATGATTTGTTATAGAAACCCTCTTTAGACTCCTATCTTCATCTCAATATATAAATACGATTAAGAAGGTCCCAATACAATTAAAAATAGAAAATCCTCATTTATTTTATCTAATTTGGTTCTTGCTGATAACTAAAATTCATTAATGACATAATTTAAGTTCACAAGGAATAAATTGATCCTATAATTTTTTGTCAAATTTACTGTGTAGTTCACAAGGTTATATTGTTCTCATGTTGAAGAATGTTCATGGTTTATAGAGAAAAAGAATGTAAGAAGAGAAAATATAGTATATATTGATTAATTTTGTCAATTGTTTTATGAGGTTAAGAAGATAACGAGAGTCCCATTATGTATACATAGTTATTAAGAGTCTAAATTCAATCTAGAGTACAACATAATTTTTTATGTTATAAAACTATTTTCTTTCTATCAAAATAAAAAAAAATATTTAAGATTTTGAAGGAAAAATGTTTGCCTGCTAAATCATATTTTTTTTATCTATTACAATTTATAGGTCATGATATCCTCCAGCATCAGCACACAATTTTGCAATGTCTTCTTTACTCATGGACACTAAATGGATGGGTCCCACAAGTGAAAATATAAAAAACAATTATAGGTGTACAAATTTGAGAGCCTAAAATTTTTACAAGAATAACTGCATGAATGGTGTAGAACATATTTCTTGTTGGAGACCAAGCTTTTCAGTATATAAGATTTTTTTTTTTTTGAACTATATTATAAAAGATTAGATTGATCAAAAAAAATTTTTTTTTTTTTTTTTTGAGATTGGCCAGTCTTAAATTTCTAATAATAAAGTACGAATGTGATCATTAGTATGGTTATGCACAATATAAGCAAAAGCCTCCAAATAAATATCACAAAAGAATTAAAAAAAATAAAACAAAAATACAGATTATTAATACTCACGTGCAACGCACGTAGGCACCGGCTAGCGAAGGATAAGTTGCCAATTGGAATCATCTTGACATATTTGAAGACAGAGGGAATATTGATTGATAAAAAGTACTTCGCAATGATGTGACAACATCTGAAAACAGCCAAAAAAAAAAAAAAAAAAACCAAACAAAATGCAATTTTCAAACCTAAATGAATAATACCATGAACCCCACAAATTTCTCACTATCACTGTTCCACTCACTGCCAATGCAGGCCACAGAGAGAGAGAGAGAGAGAGAGAGATGTGTAAATTATAATTGAATATGCCCTTCATGCTCAAAGGGATATTGCAAAGAAGCTTCTCAATGAATTGTACCAAAACCAACAGGCTAGCATTTGATGAAATTATAGGCTTTTATTTTTATCTTATTACATAATTAATGATTTACATCAAAACACAAGTTAAAACCATATTTTTAACATGATTACTAGACATGCTTTTGTATTGGAAAATATGAGTGCTTAATCTATGTTTACATCCAAATAAATAAATTAGAAATCACTAAACCAAACAAATCATTTTGAAAAAAAAAAATACCGCATTATAATATTCATTCTGTAATATAAAAATAATTTTTTTAAGAGTAATATTATTAAAATTTAATTTATTAATTTAATTTATTAACTTAATTCATCGTAACTGTTGAATTGAATCTCAATCACATAAAATAAGAAAATGACACTACCAAAATAAAAAATGCGTTACCCTTTTTCTAAACCGCTAAAGTGAAGGACTAAAAGAAGCCCGGGGGACTTGTGTCTGTAACTTAGTATTCATCCTCGTCTGCGCCTTCGCCTTCTCCGTCGTTTATACGAACCCACTGGTACCGGCCCAACAGTGGTACTCCATTCACAAAATCGAAGTTGTACCTAAAAGAGCACCAACAAATCATCAAATCTTGCGCTACTTTATTACCTCTTTGGGTGGTGGTTAGTACATTAACCAACTCTAAAGTGAGCCTGTGGGTGATTGACACAGTGATACCAAGTCCAGCTATACAGTATTACTAGCACTTACTTGTCAGCGAATGGTTTTAGATCGTACTTCTCAAGTGTGGAAAATAACTCTTCTATCTCCGCCGCCGATGGCTTCTCTGCCGCCGCAGACGGTTTCGAGGTGAACTGTCTGGAGATGGCTTCTTCGTTGTTGTCGACGACGACTCCATTCCGTTAGAGTCTGCGTGAAGACCACTTGATGGACTCGTCTTCTCTCTGCTGCGAAGAACAATCATGAATCAACACACAAAAAGCGTGAAAATTAGAGAGGAAACAGTATTTCCTATCGTGTTGCTTTGAAGAATTAATTGAAGTGATGGATCACTACTAAACCTAAAATGAACTCAAGTGAAAATATAAATGAACAATTAAAAGATAACTGATCAACCTGAATCCAGCGTTGACGAACGTGGAGATATCAGATTCGGAAACCTCGGCCTGAAATTCAAAACTCAACTCAAATTATAACTAAATGCTTCAGAAGCCGAATTTTAGTAGTTATTGAGAATTCGACTTTCAAAAGAAAAGCGAGATTTTATCGAACCGAATTTCAAAATCACCTTCAGATCCGAAGATCTCGAGTTGCGTTCGACGAACTCGCTAGACTCGTTGCTCAAGCACGGAGACGTTGAACAGTGACAGGAAGTTCCGGACATTGCTGACGACGGCGAGACTGCTTTTTCCGGCAAATTCAAGAGGCAACAGCAGCTATTTAAGTAATGAACATCTGACGAAGATGACTGTATCACTTCTTCAGACTCAATTTTTCTTCTCTTCGTTGCGTCTGACCTCTCAACCTCCATAGCTCTCGTCCTCAATCCTCCAGGCCCGACGTCCATCACTACAATGTCTCCCTCTCTCTACACCGACATATATGTGGTCTGGTTTTCTAAGACGCAAAGGCTTTCTATCTATGGAAGACAGAGAATATTAGTTGAAGAAAAAGGGGCAAAAGGGAATTTTTCAAAGGAGGATTTGATCGGACGGTGGAGATAAGTCAAGACGATTTTGGTGTGATCCTCCTGACTCCGTTAACGGTAACAGCGTCAAATGGGAATGCCGTTAGGAAGATCTGGCCGCTGAAGAATCATAAGACTGAGTACCTAGCAAAATTTTTCAATAGGATATGTTAGTTTGACATAAATTTGCTATGGACTACACGTGTTAGATATCGAATTTGGATCATGGATGTAAACTGGGGGCGTTAATAGTGGGTCAATTCAATTAGAGAATGTCCAAAAAGACATGACTCTTGAAGGGGTTATTTAAACTTAGGGCATGGTTGGTTGATGGATTAGATGATATTATAGGGTGGGATAGAAGAAAATAGTACGTGAGACCCATATAATACCTTGTTTGTTTGATATTTTATATTCAATATTATTTTTCGGATCGTAATATTAATCAAGTTTGAACAATGTCTTAAAACCTTGTATATGATATTAATGAACACCACCTACCAGGTAGTATTATCTTCCCTGTACAAATGAAATGACGGTATAAGAGATTAAAATGACACAAATGTCTTCTTCTATGAAGCGTTCACACATGAAAATTTTATTTTTAATTTTTTTCTTGTATTATATTTAAGTGTACAGTGTCACTGATTTTTAATTTTTTTTTTTTAAATTATTTTAATTTTTTTTTTTATATTATATTTAAACATTGTGCAAAAGCATTACACAAATTGAATAATAGAATGAATGATGTTGAGGGTAAAATGGTATATTTGTTATATAAGATGTAATAAAATAAATGGTTATTTATAGGATCCACTATAGTACCTATTGAACAAACAAACATGGGAGGGGATTGAAATAATTTCTATTATCGATTTTAATTTTCATTGGTATTGAAAATGTAATTAATACATTTCCGATACCACCCCTAAGGAATCCAAACTTCATCTACTTTAATTTAATAGTACAAAATTTATCTCAAAATTTTAGGCTAAAAACAAACGTCAATCACCGACATATTTAGTCTAAAACCGTCATACCAAATGACATTTTTTTGCCAAAAAACGTCAGACCAACTTACGTGTTTAAAAAGATTTGTGTTTAAGAAATACTTTGAAATCCACCATTATTTAAAAAAAAAAAAAAATTTAAACCCCGTGGATGGGTCAAAAGCTCAAACAAATGTATTTCACCCTCTCCTGAACTATCTCCTCCGAAAAATACAGATTCAAAGTCAACGTATACTTTTAACCATGGCTCCTGGCCGTCCCCTTTGAGTTGGGAAGCAACCCACTTGACGGCGACCCATACATCTTCATAAGTATTAGGGAGAAGAAGGGCTAGTCTGTAACCAACTGACACTAAGACGACGTTTGCTTCTGCAACAAGTAAATTAATATGGTTATGGTACGTAGGAGAAAAGGCGCATTCGACGACAAACGGACAAAAGCACTGCCGTGAAAGTAAACCAGTAGTGGACGTTTGTGGCGGAGGTTGACGTTTTTGGGGATGTAAAGCCGAGCAGATACGCCGATTTCCGGTGCGATTTCGACGTCTTTGGATTGAACGCCGGTGTTAGGATCTACTGATGCGGGGACGACGTCTTTGCCCATGAATTTTTCAACCCGACCATCTTTGTAGATTCGGAAGGCGGGAAGGAATTCATGGGCTATTTCATTTTCTGCTGTACTTGAAGCCATTGCAAAGCAAATGAAGAGGAAAAAAACAAATAAGTGTTAATAGCAGAAGGCTTTGCCAGAAAGGGTAGGGTGAGCCAGTGAGGAACTTTATAATAATCATGTTGACATAATGTATTCATCTAATAATAATAAGATAATAAATAGGCAAGTGAATCTCATATAATTAAATAACTACTCACTTACGCAATAATGACCCATGTATAATCCACTTGTCTATTTATTATCTTATCATTAGACTTTTATACTATGTCAATGTAATGATATAGTGTACCTGTTGTAATTAATATTTTTTCGTGGGCGGGGATGGCTTCATGAGGTCATTTTCAAAAATTATTATAAATATGTATTATGATTGTAATTTTATTTGAAAATTACTTGAATGATGACTTGAGAATTAGAAAGCATTTGTGGGCATCTATCTATAAATTATTAAATTATGGGGAGAGAGTGACAGTAGGATGTAACCCATATGGTTTATTTAAGTTTATAGGTGATTTTTTTTATATTAGTAATATTATTTGTACTTAATTTATTGATATAAATTATTAACATAATCACTTATAAATATTGAATTGACAGTGGATTCAAGTATATTTTGAGACCGGTTAACAATCTAATAGTTATGATGAATTATATCAGTAAATTATGTTAACAAATTTAATCATATCTTAAATGAACGACATTTGAATTATTAATTTACACAATGAAATATTAAAAGGTTCCACCTTGCATCCTTAATTAAAGGGTAGCTATGTAATCCAAAGGCTAAATTATTCAAAATTCCCAAAAATATACAAGATTTTTTTCAGTTAAGTTATGTATTTGGAAAGAAATATTCCCAAAAAAGCCTTCACCCCAAAATATTCAAATTCTCAACTGGATTGTCATGTTATCTATGACCCATTTTAAATCCTACAACTTAACTTAGCACAAGAGTCACTGAAATTCACTTGACGACTTAAAATTATCAAGAATTTTTTTTTTTTTCCGAATTAACTCATACCTTTCACGATAATTAATGTCAAATTCCCCCCCAAAGTTGAAAATTCCACCAACCCCCATACATTTTTAAGCTAATCAAGGCCAAACAAAGTCTTATCTCTCCCAATTTTTTTTTTAAATGATGAGATAATAATAATTTTAAATTATGTAATTATAAAAAAAGAATAAAAAATAAATTATTATTTCATACATCAATACCTATAAATACGGGTTATTGCTACCCAGAACTATAGTCTTGATTTTGAATTATCCCATTTGGGAGGTACAAATCTTAGCCATACATAAAACTACAAGTTCAAAAAAGAAGCCATTCTTCTGAGCATAGCTACTGCATTTTCACAAGAGGATTAATCAAATGAAACACATGGTCCTCCCCCTTAGCCTCCATATTCTCCACCTTTCCTTTCCACCCACTTTTGGCCAATACCTCACAGTAATACAAGCCTCTATCTCTCAAAGGATCTTTCTCAGCAACACATATCAGCACCCTGGTGCACCCTAAGCTTGAAAGTTTCGGATCCACACCCGGGTTCATGAGCGGGTCATCGGATCCAACAGATGTCGGGTTCACAAAACGCAAGAAACTATCAACTCGCGCTTTATAATTAATGTCAACAGCTTCATTACCTATTGGTTCCTCACCCCAGATGAATGGATGGTTTAGAAGTAACCCAACGAGCCTGATAGCATCCAATTTCCCTAACCCGACCCGCATGGCCATGTTGTGCGCTATGTTACCACCTGCACTTACATTAATTCAAACAATAACAACATGACATGATTACTCAACACAAATAATAACTGAGTCAAAGTTAATAACATATACAAATAACTTGTGTACTGTTATGATACAAAGAAAATATATGGAACTGTTTGATTTTCGTTTCAAAAAATAGTATCCGACAACAGTTTTTGAAAAGAGTTTTAAGAAAGTGATTTTAATATTTTTTGAGATAAAAAACTTGTTTGGTTAGATGATTTTAAAAATAATTTTACAGTACAGAAAATAGTAAAATCGGTTTGGACAGCCTAAATATATATTTGAACAATAATTCAAACATTAATAAAAAATATAAAAAAATTATTTTTATATTGACAATTTCATAATATATATATATATATATATATATATATAGTATACTTATATTTGAACATCCAAAATTATACTCCTTGTTTCCAACATTTTCAAAAAAAACTCTGAAAACAAGTTACACTTATTTTCTGTTTCTTTAACTCAAATCTCATTTTTTCTCAAAATTTAGAGAACAAATATACTAAACAAACGATTTTAGGTGTTTTTGAAATTTTGAAAACAAAAAACAGTTTTCGAAAACTAAACCAAACATGACCTATGATTTTATATTTTTAGATCTAGTATTGTATTGATTTCTTTATACTTAAATGAATCTGTTAGTAACAATAATATGATACAAAAACACGACACCAAATCAAAAAGATAAAATCAGGCCTGATTTGAATAGTCATTCCCACCTGCACTATCTCCACCGAAAAACACGCGATCAAAATCAACATAGTCCTTCAGCCATGGCTCCTGGCCGTCTCCCTTAAAATGGGAAGCAACCCACTTGACAGCGACCCATGAATCTTCATAAGCAACAGGAAGAAGATGCTCTGGGGCCAGTCTGTAGTTGACTGACACTACGATAATGTTTGCCTCTGCAACAAGTAAATTGAGATGGTTATGGTATCTAGGCGAGATGGCGCTTTCGATGACGAAGGTGAAAGTAAACCATGAGGGGAAGTTTGTGGCAGAGCTTGGTGTTTTTAGGGAGGTAAAGTCTAGCAGATACACCAATGTCTGGCACGATTTTGATGTCTTTGGATTGAACCCCAGCGGTAGGATCCACTGATGCTGGGGCGACCTCGGTGCCCACATATCTTTCAACCCGGCCATCTTTGTAGACTCGCAAGGAGGGAAGGAATTCATGAGCTATTTCATTTACTGTTGTACTTGAACTTGAAGCCATTGCAAAGCCAATGAAGACGGAAAAAAAAAAGATAATTGTTAAAGCAAATTCTTGCTAGAGCCTAGAAATGGTGATCCAAATATGTGTGTGTGTGTGTGTGAGAGAGATATAGAGAGAGCAGAGATTTGGAATTGCCTATATGTATTATGCTTTGATGACTAGAGAGAGAGGGGAGAGATTTGGAATTGCCTATGTGTATTACGCTTTGATGATTATGTGGAAGAGCTCAATGATAATGGCAGAAGATACAACAGAAGCCGGCGGTAGACTAGGGAGGCTAGCCGGCGAGGAAGTAGCTGAGGGGGACAAGATCCAAAACCTTGAATTCGGAAGAAATATGTAAAACTCCCAAATGTTATCGATAAATAGTATATATTTTTTTGTCCTGCAACCATAGTTCTATTTATGACAACAAAAACTTACAAAACGTTAGACATGAGAGACATTTTAGGTTAAAACAGAATATTCTTAATCAAGTTCTGATTCTCAACCAAGCAAATAAATACAAACTAATATACATCAAGAATTCCTATTAGCCACAAGTTTCAAGAATACAAGTCCATAACCCCAATATGTCAGTAGAATTTACAAACATCTATATCAACTATCAAGTGTCAAAGCATTCTATGGTAGCCAAATAATTTTGTAAAAGCCACAGATATAAAAGAGAACCATTTCATCACAATAAACAACTGAGGCAAACTGCAATCCACCATTTCTGATTGATCAAAGATGCAATTCTCTTAATCAGATCCACAGAATTGTTTATGACGCTGTAGATTTGAGCTTAATACATGGATGCAGTACTTGAAAAGAATCTAGTTGCAGTCAATTATGCTGGCTTGGCAACAATTTAGGGCTATGTGTGTCACTTATGGGGTAGCTTACAAGTCAGTAAACATTGAATTATTGGAACTTGTTTGCAATGTTGACTTTTGCCACAGAACACTTGATAGCTAATATTGTACCCTCTTATATTTTTTTGTAGAGTAGTAGTGTTGGATTCAATTTGATGATCTAATGTCAATTGAATGATTTTGTAATTGAATAAGCTATAAACCCCAAAATTAAATGGAGTTAGATTTCATTTGACGATCTAATTAGTTAATCTTACTGGTTGCTATCACTGAATAAGCTAAAGATCTCAATATTAAATGCGGTAGGATTTAATGTAATTATTATGAGTATTATTATTCAATGGGGTTATTGTCAATTCATTTTCTACTTGTTTTCCTTCTGGCCTCAAGAATTTATATGTTCCTCAAGCCAATCACTATTGTTTTCACATTTAATATCTTGCGCTTAACCTTTATTATTTACTGGAAGAATCGCTACAATCAAGCATGAATTGGGACTCGTGATTAGAGCGTAAATTTTTTAAGGTACGATACAATACAATCATCGAGAAATCACTCCACCTAGGTAAACAAGTTGCATAATTGGACAACTCATGACACTGCAAGTGCTCCATTGAGAAGCATATTATATGCCAATTTCACAACAATCCTTGACCACAAAAAGAAGCAATACAAATAGGATGCCTGTGATTGCAAATTATGGTTCTAACATAGAAAGCTCACCATAGACTCATGTTCCCTTACCTTGTAAATTATAACAGAGAAAGGACATGGCCTGGATTAATGAAGGAAGCCACATGTTTCATCAAACTCACAGCTTTCTCACAACTTGGGTTGAGCAAATGGAACACATGCCCCTCCCCTTCTGTCTCCACAATCTCCCCCACACCACCCCACCCACTACTCTTCAGTGCCTCATAGTATGCCCGACCTCTCTTCCTCAAAAAGTCTTTCTCTGCAGTACAAACCAGCACCTTCTTGCACACTAGCTTTGACAACAAACTCCGATGAGCAGCAGGGTTTAGCCTTGGATCGTCACACCCGCTGGTTTCTGGGCAAATAAACATCCATAGTTTGTCAGGTTTATTGTTCCCAAAAAAGGGATGAATCAAAACCGTACCCACAATCTTTATATCAAACACTTGGCGGGCAATCCCAGCTCGGACCACCATGTTGTGCGCGATATTGGCTCCGGCACTGTCACCGGCCAAGAAAACCCGCCGGAAGTCTGCGTGATCATTTAGCCATGGTTCAGGTCCTAGTCCGCCATTAGCGTGTAGACCCACCCACTCCATGACAGTCCATGAATCATCATAGCACGCGGGGATGGAATGTTCTGGGGCTAGTCTGTAGTCTATGGATACTGCGAGAACATTGGCTTGAGCGACGAGAGAGCCGAGATAGTTGTGGTAAAGAGAAGAGAATGGCGATTGGATACAGAAAGCGCCGCCGTGAATGTAGATAAGAAGGGGGAGTTTATGGGATGGTGCGGTGGTTCTGGGGAGGAAAAGGCGGGCGGATACGTTGGTTTCGGGGGAAACGACGACGTCTTTGGATCGGACGCCGGTGTTAGGATCGTCGGAGGTAGGGACGTAGTCGGTGTCTATAAATTTCTCGACGTGGCCGTCTTTGTATATGCGAAATAGAGGAGGGAAGTCATGGACTACCTCATCTGCGCTCGAGTCCATGGGTCAGACTGTCACAGAGATAGAGATAGAGAGAGAGAGAGAGAGAGAGAGAGAGAGAGAAGTTAAGACTTAAAGAGGGGAATGGTTCGCTGGTTGGTTGGGTGGGTAGGAATTAATGGCTGCTCTAGCCATGGTGGGTAATCAAGCCACAAACACTTGGGCACCCTTCCTAGCCCAGAGGTTTGCACTCTTGGAATTTTCTGAACAGCCACCTATAGTCGTAGATGATAGGACTATATAAGTGTGGTGGCGTGCAGCTTGATATTGCATCAGCGTAATAACCAACCACCCATCGACACTTATTTCAAGCCTTTGTGTACCTTGTTGGGCTGCTAGGCTCAGCCTTCTTTTCAAAGCCCATAGTTCCCCTGCTAGACTCGTAGTAGTCCCAAATTTCGCATAAAACCTCACCACCAGTCTCGGCCTAAGCGTCACGAATAACTCCTCCTACTCCCACTGGGCAGAGTTCCCTATCCGTGTTCAGCCTGACCCATCAAGGGCTTATTATATTAAGGGTAGTATAATACTAATCCCTTAAGATATTTTATAATAATAAAAATTGAACATTAATTATGTAATATTTATATTATAAATAAAAAATATTTTTTAAAATTATATAATTTAAAATTAATTTGCATTAAAAAATTATATAAAGATAGATATGAATTATTGTGAAAAGTACTCCAACTATGATGAAATTGCAACATCACTGTCGGCAAAAAAGCAAAAGGATTCTCACAATCCGGGTTTTTTCATTAATTACAAAAATATGGGAGAGGAGTGAAAGCTAAGGAAGGAGAAAAAGTAGATAAAAGGAAAAATTGTCAATGGCGTGGATTGTACGGGACAATGCTTTTTTTTTTTTTTTTTTTATGAGATGTTTTTGCTCTTTTGCCGACAATGTTGTTGCAATTTCATCATGGCATCTGGAGTACTTATTCACAATAAGATACTTTTTCTTTAATGCATGTCGGTTGGAATTTTTTTATGTTTTTTTTTTTTTGCATTTACAATCTATTAGCATTATCCTCAAATCTTATGGTGATTAAAAATGTTCTCTCCCGAGTAGAAGTTTGATATTTCTCACATTTTTTTTTAAGAGTCAATCATCTTTGTGCCTCAATACAAAAATCATCATAGCAAAAATACTACTAGTGGAAGTAAATACAAATTATTATTATAACTCTATGACATGCTTATATCACCGAAGCAACACTTAATGGTACAAAACCTTTGCTAATAATTCTAAAGGTAATTTAATTGATAATAAAAATAAATTATAAATTTAAATATTTTGAGTTCAAAATTTGATAACTCGTTGAAATTAGATCAGAAGAGATTTTTTTTTCATAAATACCTTAGTCTTATCGTGAATAATCTAATTTTGACTAAATCAAATAAATAATTAGTTAAAGTGCGTATAAGTTGGTCTAAAGACTATGACCACTGAAAAAAAAAAAAAAAAAAACTTTGCTAATTATTGTTAGTTTGAGATGACATGCAATGTTGTCTATAAATAATGTAAAGAATTTTGTCAATTGGGTATCAAAAAAACCATAGACATCACTTGTTTGTACTTCATCGAAATACCGAACATTCTCTTTATCTTTGTTTTTTTTAATTCTTGTAAATGATTCACACTCTAACGACATTGTGATCACAATTGCTGCACACATCTGAGACCATCAATTATTTGCAATATTAATAATGAAATACTAATGCTGATCAAATTTAGAGTTTAAATAACATGGTAACATATTATTTGGAGTATTTATTGGGATTCAAATAACATGACACCAAATAAAAAAGTCTAAGTCAACTATCATGTCATTTAAGCTCTAAATTTGATACCCAAATTTAATCAACGTAGCATTACTGATAAAAAAAACAAAGGAGTTTAGTATACACTCCTTAAATACTCATAATACATGCTACTTTTTAAAATAATTATTCATTACCTCCGCTCATCCTTTATGCTTATAAAATACAAAAAAAAAATAACATATTTAATACATGAGATTTATGTTATTACGATGTTTGAAAATGGTCAAATGTACTAAATTTTACTTCTATATAAACAGAGATATTGTTTAAATGACTCGAAATACAAATATCACCCATTATTTCTTTCTAAATATCTCATTTTTTACCCCCATTCAACGTGCATGGGGTATACTGACAAAGAAAGGCCCAAGTAGCTAATTCATGAAGGAAGCGACCCGTTTCAGCAGGGTCAAAGCATTCTCACAATTCGGGTTCTTCAAATGAAAAACATGTTCTTCCCCATTTGTCACCACCATCTCCACCGAACCACCCAATTCACTGTTCTTCAGTGCCTCATAATATGTCAATCCTCTCTGCCTTAGAAAGTCTCTCTCCGCAGTAACAACCAGAACCTTTGTGCAAACAAGCTTTGACAGAAGACCCAGATTCGCAGCCGGGTTGAACCTCGGGTCATCAAACCCACTGCTGTCTGGGCAAATATAGTGCAACAGTTTATCGGGTTCATCGTTCTTAAAGAAAGGATGAACCAAAACCAACCCAACAAGCTTCAATCCAGACCCGAGTCCATCAACACCGGCTCGAACCACCGTGTAGTGTGCAATAGTGGATCCGGCACTGTCGCCGGCGAGAAAAACCTTCCCAAAATCAGCATGGTCATTCAGCCATGGCTCAGGTCCTCCACCGTTGGCATGGAAAGCAACCCACTGAATCACTGCCCATGCATCATCGTAGCAAGCAGGAAGAAGATGCTCTGGGGCTAGCCTGTAATCGACTGAAACCGCTATAACGTTGGCTTCGGCGACTAGAGAATTGAGATAATTATGGTACTGGGAAGAGAAGGCAGATTCAATTACAAACGCGCCGCCGTGGATGTAGATGAGGAGAGGGAATTTCTGGTTGGGATCGGTGTTTTTCGGGAGGAAGACGCGGGCGGAGACGTTGGTTTCCGGCGAAATGACGACGTCTTTGGATTGGACACCGGTTTTGGGATCGACGCCGGGAGGGACGAAGTCATTTTCCTGAAATTTCTGGACACGGCCGTCTTTGTATACGCGTACGAAGGGAAAGAAGTCAAGAACGAGCTCAGAAGTTGTGCTTGAATCCATGGCTACGAAGGAGATCGATGAAGGAAATCAATTATTACTACTTTTGGTAGAGGAAGAGGAGAGAGAAATACAAATTTGATATTTCTCTTGATGAAGGGTTATGTTGGACTGAGCTTTCTGTTTCTTCGGATTTGGTCCTACAATAATGGGATGTCACCATTATCGTCTATGCAGGTGTGTGTGGTACTAACTCCTATCCTACGTGTAAATAGAATTGGGTATGGGGATGCACTGGGCCGGCCTTACCACAAGGTCGCTTGGGCTTTGCGCCTCATATTCGAAGAAGGTTCCAATATTATTAAGGGATTTAGGGAGGTCGGTACCTCTCAAAAAATTTATTAGGATAAAAGTATATTATTTTTAATAATTAGGATAAAAATACATATGCTAATAAAAATTCATAAAAATCCTTTTACTCCTACCATAAATAAAGCATACCTAATTAAATGTGAGACTTTCAAGATTATAATGTGAGACTTTTAAGATTCTTTTTTATATTTTTGTATTATTTGAATTTTGAAATTTATATATATATATACACACACACATGTAATCAGCGTTTTAAAACCCGACCCTATCCGGCGGGTTGACCCGGTGAACCGGTCTCCTAACCGGGCCGGTTTTGTAATTGGACCGTTTGAGCAAAAAACCGGAATAAAACCAGTGAACCGGTCATAACCCGTGAAAACTAGACCGAGCTTACAAAATCGGCCGATTTTGTTCCTTTAGTATAAACATGTTTTTTTTTATATATTTTTGTGTTTTTTTCTTTTCCCCTTCTGTTTTGCCCTAAATCCTAAATCATTCGTTCAGTGTTTGTTAACTCAAAAATTAAGTGAATGCAATTAAGTGATTCAAGTTTGAGGGTGGAGGTTGGGCTGTCAATTGAATGCATTGGTTTGTTAATTGAATGCAATTAAGTGATTCAGGCTTGATAATTTTATTTGATTTAATATATATTAAATATGTTATTTTTATAACTATTTTGATTTTTTAGTTTATTTATCATCATTAATAATTATTTTTTATTTTTTTATTATATCACCGGTTCAACCAGTGACCCAGTGGTTGAACCAGAAATCCATTGACCCGGTCCCTTCTCCAGTTGGTGTCCGGGCTGGGTTTTAAAACTATGCACGTAATACAGTAACACGTTCAACAAAAAAATAGTAACATCAAACAGTGACATGCTCAACAAAAAAAGAGGAACATCAAACAGTAACACACTCAACAAAAAAATAGTAACATCAAACAGTAACACAAATATTTTTGTTGAGCATGTCACTGTTTGATGTTACTATTTTTTTGTTGAGCGTGCCACTGTTTGATGTCACTATTTTTTTGTTGAGCGGATCACTGTTTCATGTCACTGTATTACATGTGTGTGTGTGTGTGTGTGTGTGTATATAATTTTAAAATTTAAATGATACACAAATATTAAAAAGAATCTTGAAAGTCTCATATTCTAATCTTAAAAGTTTTACATTCAAGTAGGTTTACACTATTTATGATAGGAGTAATTATGAAATACATTTTAGAAAGAATTTGAAAATGTTTTAAAATGTGTACTTATTGACAACTATTTGATGAAAAAGAAGACTTAAAGGAGGATAAGTTTAGAGATAGTACTTAAAATCAAATAAATTTTGAAAAAGGTACTCACATCTCATTATCTCTATTATTAAATGTATAGTTAATCAAAATTTAAAAAAAAAGTTTTTGGAGATTGGTCTTTTTTTTATAGATTTACTAGTCATAACTCGTGCTTGAAGACACGATAAAATATAAAATTCGAGCGTCCAAAAAATCAATCTCATTATATTAAATTTTTTCAAAATATATTAACTACAATTTAATTAAATATTAAATGATTAAATATATGATAGAAATGAGTGGTGTGATATTTTTACGGAGGAAATATATAAATAATTAAATATGTGATAGAAATGAGAGATGTGATTTGATGTTTGAGTTTGACAAAGGGATGATGGGTGAGGTAAGTGATTAATGATAGTTTTGAAGGAAAAAATATGACTGGGATAAAATTCAAACACACTCTTGTTTTATTATATAGATTTAAATATAAGTATATTCAAAATATTTGTTTTATAATACGTCTATTTTAAACTTTATTGTCCAAAATACTCTCAATAGTTATATTTAATTAAAACTTGTTTGAAAAAATTAATAACTCCTAAATTTAGAATTATATTAGTACTAACAACTCTTAACTTGAGAATTATTCTAATATTAAAATTATTTTTCTATCATATATATATATATATATATATATATATATATATATAAAAATAACATAAACAATAATAACATTAAACAACAACATATTCAACAAAAATATAATAATATCAAAAAGTAACAAACTCAATAAAAAATTAATTAAAAATTTAATCATTACAATAAAGTGACACCATATATGAAATGTTTATTTTGTTGTGGAGTGTCAATATACACACACGGGTTATATAAAGTATGTAATTACCACACACACCGCGCTAATTAAATAAAATCTTCAAATTAGAAATTTAGGATACTACTACTTGTGGATTATATGGTTGGTATGAAAAATTGGATGTATTGTGAATATGTTTCATATTTTTTTTGCTAAATTATTATGTTTTATATTTTTTTTATTATATGATCAGGCCGACTAGTTGAACCACCGATTGAACTAATGAACCACCGATTGAATTAATGAACCATTGATCTAGTCTCTCTATTAGTTCAATATTCGATCCAGTTCTGATAGCAACAAGTTTTATGGGGAAGCTTGAGAACTTGGTTAATGATATATGTTTCCTAATGTATTCAGAGATTATGTAAAAAGTAATAGATTTTGGTTAGTTTAGTAATGTATGAATTAAAAGTTGGTCATTGTAATAAAATTTCATTTGGGATCATTGGTATACTCTGTTAATTACTGCAACCTATCTATCATTGATTTAAGTGTTGTGGATTAAAAGTTAGGTTTAATTGCACCGAAAGTCCTTAAAATATGGAATTTATCTCATTTTAGTTTATAATATTTTAATTGTATCATTTTAGTCAAAATATTTAATAAATTTTTACGTGATCCTTTAAGCAAACAACGTTTTAATTATTAATAATTTTTTATTATAAACTTATTACGTGATATCTAAAATGAGTAAAAAAATTATTTAGATAATTCTTGATCAAAATTTTAGTCAAAGAACTATCCAAATTATACAGTCTGATTTTAGTCACAGAGCTATTCAAATTACAAAGTTTAGACCATGAGTTATTCACACATTTGTTGTCAAGATGTACCCAAAATTTGGTCAAAAGTTATATAAATTATTTTTTTATTCATATTTAAGTATTACGTAACAAGTTTATGATCAAAAAAATTAGCAATTTGGATGTTGTCTACTTAAAGGATTACATAAAAATATATTTTATACTTTAAGCATTAAAATGATATAATTAAAATATTAAAAGCTAAAATGAGACAAAATATATACTTTAAGAATCTTTAATTCAATTAATCCTAAAATTTATTTATGCGTCGAAAGCCTGGGATGCGCTTGGGTTAGGTGAGCACGAGGGCATGCCACTTTTGTCACGCCACCCGACCCACATGGGTCGGGCTTGCAATGTGACAAATTTTTAATTTCTTTTATTAATCGATGGAGTGCAATTTTAATTACATGATAATTAACGATACCCTATGACTAAAGTCATTATACATTGAATTATGATATTGTGTATGTATTAGAATGTGTGTGTTATAGTGTATGTATATATGTGTAATTGTGTATTATGTTGTGTGTGTATTAGATTTTTGAAATTTAGAGGGGAAAGTGTGTTAGGTGTGTAAAATTTGAGGAAAAAAAAACACTCCTCGTAAATTTAAACACTTATCTGATTTATTAAATAGATTTGTCGGAGAAAACAACAGTTTGAGAGATGTAATTGGATTATTAGCAATAGGGTAAAAATTCTTTACAATTTTGTGTAGAAGATGGCACCATAGTAGGTACAATTGTATAAGCCAAGGGAATAATTATCATAGAGTAATAATAAAGATTGATTCTATCACATCATTCGGAACCAAGGATTAGTTTACTACATGTTACTTATTATTTGACCAGGATTGGTAATTGATCTTTTAAAATCGAATTCATGATATGTCTAAGTTTCTCACAATATTTAATACTTTTACTTATCGGCTTATTAAGACAGGGTAGATGTCTCATCAACTGATGCCTCATTAAATGCTTGTCAAAAATCGATGACTTACGGTGAGATCAGAGCGTGACCCTCGGGACCAAGGACATATGAATTCTCAGAGCCGTGGTAACTCCTCAGAGCCGATGGAACATGCCTTGGTGGAATTAAGGAGCTCGAAGCAGGGGGGGATATTGGGCCCGAGGACACGTGGCCTTGTCGGAGGCAAGAAAAGTCCCTCAGGGCCAAGGACACGTGTCATTGATCCAGCACCCTTCTAGAAGTGTCCCATTATAAAGTTTTTCCATAAACTAAGAGATGTTTAATGCACCACGTTTTAAATAAAAAACACATGGATTAATAGAGGGCAAAATTGTCACTAAAAAATCAATAAAACTCAAATAATATACTTAGATACAAATAAGTATCAAAATTAATGACTTAATTACTCAATATTTTTGTTTTGTATATTTTTTTACAATTAAATCTAATTTGATGAACCTCCTTCAAATTTTCAATTTCCAATTTCTTAGACACAAGTGACACATTTTGAGACGTAAGATATCTCCTATTTGATTGGGTCGGGTTGGTCTATACTCACAAGTGGGGGCTGATTAGTGGGTTTGTGATCCATCAACGGGCTGGATCAACCGGCCGAAAGAAAAGATGGGCGTAATGAGCCTTTAACGTCTATCAATTTTGCCGTAATTGGTTTTGTTGAAATGATTTCGTATTTTTTCATTCAATTTTGACATATTTTTATGTTTTTTTTTTTTTGTTAATTTTGACGGACCGACTTGACTAGCTGTCCTACCAGGCCAATGACCTTCACGTGTCAGGTTGGGTCAATCATTGCCCAGTAGGTTGTCGGGCCATCAATCTTTTGCGGACCCGGGCCGTAAATGTGTTGTGTTCTTGTTGGTTCACGGTGAGGATTAATCAATCTTAATTCAATTTATTTAACTAATTTTGTGGTATCAATTAACCTATTTTATTTTTTTGTCGGATTCGCATTCATATTCCTATTCCTATGGACTCATGTAAACCTTAAATAAATGCTAAAATTTAAATTTAAGATTCTATTATTAATTAATTAAATTTATATTCATACTTTTTTTTATAAATTAAAAATTAAATTAATAACGTAACAATAATAATGAGTAAAAATATTTTTTTGTACAATAATTATGTCAATGCTTAATAAACAATATCAAATAATTTTGCATTTTATTTCTATAATATTTGTTAAACGTGTTAATCATGTTGTTCCAAATCTATTTATTATTCGTGTTAATAAGTCGTGTCATTTACGGGTTCGTATTAAAAAATAATCAATCCTAATAACTATGATAAATAAACTTGTTGAAAAGGTTAGAGTATTAAGTAGTTAGAGTTTGAGCGAATAAATGAAATATTTAATTTATTGACGTACTTAATGCTGAATAAAAGATTATGATGAAATTTATAATATTGACGAAGGATAAAATTAGAAACTAAATTTTTTTCTTGATAAGATACTTTTATTAGTATTAGTTGGTACATGTGTGCGTTGCACGTCAACTATTTTGACTTTTTTTAAAAAAAATAGATAAATGAAACTAATTTTCTTTATATTTATATGGAGATGGTTATTAAATTTTATGGGGCTCACTTGATCCCTTGTTAGTGGATGGCACAAAGTGACACTTCTAATGTGGGGTAACTGTTACTTTCAAGATTTTTCTCGTATTTTTAGTTGTATAAACTAAATTGTAGAAGTTTCAAAAAAAATTGCATTGCATTTAAAAACTATAATGTTTAACTTCAATAAGTAATTAATATATAGGTAATTGCTGATTTTTTTGATTAATAAGAAGTTACTACAATAGATTAAGTCTTTTTATCTTTTTAAGGATAGTACTATCAATTAAGTTTTTTTTGACAATCGTTGACATTCAAAAGTAGTATATAAATTATTAAATCTATTTAAATATTTATTTTTTTAGTGAATTTGGATATGCACTATTTACCTATAAATATATACAAACATATGATATAATTTGGTTATTATTTAATAAAATTGAGTAGAAATTCATGTGTTAAATTAGGGGTGTCGAACGTGTTGAGTTAAACGGTTACATGTCGAGTTAAACGAATGATGGATAAAAAATATATAAACTCGTATACGACACGTTTAATAAATGGATAGAAAATTTCAATACAAACACAACCCGTTTAATAAACGAGTAACACGACACGACTCGTTTAACCCGTTTAAAAAATTATATCAATAAATTTTAATACTCTATTTTTGTTGCTGTTAATTGCACTTACTTTAAATAAGAGAAATTTTTAGTCAAATTTTATAAAAATAAGACTTGCAGACTTAAAAAAATTATATATATAGGTATTTTGTCTTTTATAAGCAACTTAGCCATCCTTATCTCCCAACATTTTTTCAATGTAGAACAAAAATAAAAGACATTGATTTGCCTTTGTTTTTTAAGTGTTCTCCATCTCATCTCCTTTGTTTTTGAATTACTATTTTACTTTCTTTTTTAATTGATTTATTTACTTCTTTTTTTGGCTAATTTTTTAAAATAATTATTAATTTATTATTATATTAATTTTATTTAAACGGTTAAACGTGTGATAAACGGTTTGACGGGTCTCACCCAAACACGATCCGTTTATTAAATATGTATGACATGTCAACCCATTTATTACCCAAACTCGTTAAGATCTCACACAAATTCGCTTAATTTGTGTCGATTCGTCTTGATTAATCGTGTCGTGTTGAATTTTGACAGCCCTATGTTAAATGTTAAAATCGTCTTTAATTAACTTAGTCGGATCAAAACAGATACATATCTTAACGGACTTATATATGTACTGTGAAAAATAAATTTCGTTAGACAATTGAATTGAATTCCGGTCACATTGTTCAAACGAATTTAGATCAAATTTATATTATTTGAAAAAAAGATAAACAAAAGTCAAAGAGTGAATTTATTAGTTGAGTTAATGAAACTAATAAAAAATAATATAAAAAATTCGTCAAAAATGGATAAAGTGGACATTATAGAATTTAAAAAAAATAAATAAGAAAATCAAAATTTTTTCTCTTAAACCACTTTAAAAAGAATAAAATAAACATTATAGAATTATTGAAGGATAAATAAGAAAATTAAAATTTTTTCACTTAAGCGATTTTTATTAATAGTATATATATATAGAGAGAGAGAGAGAGAGAGAGAGATTTTTGATAAAAGACTTACCATCCGTTTCTTCTTCCCCTTAACCCTATATTGAAGAATATTTGATTTCTAACAAATATTATTTTCAAAAATAAATCGTTAAGGTTCAAAAGTCAAGCCCAATATACTAATTTTTTTTTGGTACATGAGATGAATATACATTTAGACAACTCCATATATCTCCCAAGGAGCATTGTTCTTAACCACACCTATGTTGGACTTAAACATAAAATTTCATTGCGTGCTCTGGATATTAAAAAGTAAGTTTAATTCCACCGAACTGCTCAGCTATAGAGATTTAAATCCAAATATTTGACGAAGAAATTCGAATTCTTTTGATTGGTAAATTTAATATACTACTTAAAAAAACATATTATAATGAAAAATATTACTATTGAGATCTAAAAAATTAATTTAATTTAATAATATAATGATGTGGTAAGTGGTAAATCCTAATAAAAAAGATTAAAAGTTATCGTCACCATAACACTATTAAACTATATTATTGTTATATCATTATATCAATAATTTGGATCAATTTTTTATGTGTGAGTAGAATTATTCTGTAACTAATATGGACTTAGAGCTTGTTTAGATGAATTTTGGGGAGGGGTTTGGATTGACTTATCTAAATCCTTCTAAATTCAAACCTCTCTTTATAAATATGAGATTTAACATTTAATTCGATCCATATCCATGTTTGGTATGCAACACATATATTTGTAAGACCCACAAATATACCATAATTATTAAAAAAAAATTATACTGTAAATGACTATTTTATCCTTGATCAATCAAATTTATACTTATGTTAAAGGGGTATAATTATTTTTTAGATCTTTAATTCCTTATCTATCTTCCCAAACTTACCCCTCCCTAGATTTGACGAAATATATAATTATGAGTTTAATCTTTGAGTCAACTACAACCCAAATTTAAAAATTCGGGATAAATTTTTTATATAAATATGAAATTTGAAGTTTCTTTAAACTATTTTTCTCAAATATACACCTTCCCAAACAGCGCCTTCGAAAATCAAGAACGTGAATAGCATCCTCATAGAATTCCAATAGAATTAGAATTAAAAAACAAGAACTTGGCGTAGATTCCACTACCAGCACTCGTCAAAGTTCAAATCAAATAAAAAGTTAATAAACAATCATGGTCCACTACGGAAAAACGAAAGACTGACCTAGTCAACGTGACCAAACGATGTCGTCTTGTTGTTCCTGTCCTCATGTGGATTCGGATCGTTCAGAGAGAGAGAGAGAGAGAGCGAGAGAGGAGGGGGCGTTGGTGTATATCTGACGGAAAATCTAAAGCAACAACAAAAGGTGAAGGAGAGAGCGTGCAACGGTTCGAAGGAAGCCTCTCATCATATTGTCCTTCACGAGAAAAAGCTCACAACCTTTCTCTCTCTAGAATTTATCGTATATGTCTGCAAACCTATAGGAATATTATAGAAATATTGATGAACAAAGCTAGTAAAAGATTGGGAAAGAAGACCTGAAACCTGAGCTCAAATGCCTTTTCTTTTAGCTTCTTTTTGATTCGAAATGGCTGACGATTTCTGTCTCTTCCTTAAGGTACGTTTCATTTATCTGTCTGTCTTTCGTTTGTTCTTTCTTTTGTGTGATCTTAAGCTATGTACAATATTTTGTCAACCACAGATGGGTTTGGTATGTACAGCTTGGTCAATAGATTCCTATTTGTAATTGTTTTTTCCTTGCCAATCATGTGTGTTTTTTGATCTGGGTGTTTTAATGATTAAACATTAATGTTTTTTGTACCCTCTACATAAATTTTAGGCTTTGTGACATCTTAGGATTCAAGTTGAAGCAAACCCAGATTTGATTCCCTGACTCTTGTCTTTCTTTAATTTTTTGTGGGTTTTTTAAAGAGGTACTTAGCAACAGATCAAAGTATATCCATTCTATTGTTGTTCTGGTTCAAAAAATAAATAATTAAAATGATTCTATTGTTGTTGTCGTAACCTAAGAGCTAATCAGTTTTTATTTTTTATTTTTTATGATTCAGTTAAACCAATATCAATTTGTTTCTCCTATATCTTAATATCTGGGTAACCTTTTCGATTTCAGGATAGCCTGAACATAAAGCCTCCAAAGAAATCTCCATTGGTGCTGAGGATGATTGTCTTAACTTTTGCGATGGTTTGTGGTGTTTATATTTGTACAATCTGTTTAAAGCAACTTAGTTACAGCACCAAGGCCAGATTCCTAAATGTTGAGGTGGTAGAGATGCCCTGTGAGTCGCACAACGTTGAACCATTTGAAAAACCTTATGTTCACTATCCAAAGCCCAAAACTTTTAGCAGGTGAGACAATGATTGCTCTGTTTATGAGTTCTTGTTGCAGACAAATACCTGATACAGTTTTTATGTGGGTGAATAATTAGGGCTGAGTGTGCATGCAATCCTGTGCGGTTGTTTGCTATTTTGTCTACTCAGAGATCGGGGAGTGGATGGTTTGAGACACTGTTGAATAGTCATATGAATATAAGCTCCAATGGAGAGATTTTTTCTGTTAAACCCCGGAGGAGTAATATTTCAACAATTGTGGAAACGTTGGACAAAATATATAATCTAGATTGGTTGACTAGTGCTTCCAAGAATGAATGCACAGCTGCAGTTGGCTTGAAGTGGATGCTTAATCAGGTGAGTGCTTTCCTGTGAGCATTTATAATTTCTACTATTTGAATTATATTTGCACTCTTGGTGTTAAATCCCAAAAGGTCATGCAACTAATTTGCATAGCTGAAGTGTATCTTGTAAAGCAATCTTGTTTAGATAATTTGGGTCCATGAGCAGGCATTCGGATTTTATAATGTGTGCTTAGAATTTGAATGCAATAATACTATTATTTAGTACAAGACTTAAATCTTATTTTCTACAAAGGTTTTGTTTGGCTTGATGCAATCTCCTTAGTTGTGGAACCTTATTATTAGTTCCGAGGACAAAAAATATTTTGCATGGATTTGATCGTGCCTACTGGGGTGATTTTGCTCTGTTGTTCAGTATTTGCATTTTCCTATGCATGTTGTGAGAATAACACTTTTGAATCATGCATTTGAGGAGGGCCTAACATATTTTGAGTTCAAAGATATTTCTACAATTGGATTTGTTTACTCTTTTGTGATCATTTCCAAGCCTATCTAATCCGTAATTTATTTTTTTCCCATAAAGTTTTGTCAAGTTATTCATCATGAATAAATGATAGTAGATGCGGTTATCCATTCCCCATTTGAACTCTAGAGTCCATCCTGTTCCTGAATGGGTCAGTTGTATAATTATCAACCAGGGCACTTTTGTGTGTGGCCTAGCTGCTGAGTATCATATTTCATAAATTAATCCAAAATGACTTAACATTTTCCTTTGACAACTTCTAGTTTTAGAGTAATTACTCATATATATTTTTTATTGAGAAAAAAAAAATATTTTGACAATGTGCTCTCTGGTGAGCTTCGACAGCTGTCTCATTCGACCCTTTTAGGTACGTGAGTGGTAGCCCAGATCTCAAAGAAAATATTATAATGTTGGAAGCCGCCTTATGATATGTTCCTATAGTATTTATAGGATAGGTGTCCCAAGGGAGAGTATCTGATGGTTTTTGAATTGTGATTTTCAATTCTCAACTCTAAATGTTGATATAAGGGTAGTGCTATTCTCATCTCACAAATATCCTTTGTCAACCCATTAATTTTTTTATTGTCAAACTATTAAATTCACCCCATCTATACTCACCCCCATTAATAACTAAACTCGGCCTATATTATTGCCACCCTTAAAGCATCTCCAATCATTACCATTTTTTAAACCAAAATTTAAATTTGGGTAATTTTTTTTTAAAAACCTTATCCAATATTAGATTCATATTCATATCAAATGAAGATAAATTCTTTTTTTTACTTAAATTAATGGAGACTCAAATTTATCCCCAAATTTTTAATAGTGAGATTTTACCCCCCTTTAAAGCTCCAGTGATTATATTTTACTCTCTTTTAAATTTGGGTTTGTCCTCATTTAAATTTGAGTTTCTCTATTGGAGAGGTCTATACCAAATCAAGTAAGTTTTTTGCCCTTTTTCTTTACTCAAATTTGGTTTAGGGTTTGGATTTCCATTGGAGATGGTCTTAATAACTAAGCCAACCACATTTACATCTCAAATATTTTGTTCGCATCCTCTTAAACATTTTTCTCTGTTGGGAGCAATGTAGTTGTTCTTTTTCTTTGAGGGACAAATACTTCAGTGTTTTAATTAATTGTGGCAATTGAAAGAATAGTTTTCTATGGTGAAAGATCAACGGGGATGTATTCGGCATTTTCTTACACATTTGGTCAAAGAAACTGAAAATCTAATTATATCTCTTATGATGCACTCATTCGGAGGAATAATTTAATCATCTGAAGGACCAAACGTGGCGAAACAGGTATATTTCTAAATGCTAGCCATGAAAAAACTGGTTTTCAATTTCTTGGAGTTTCTAAGAATTCAGATGCTATCTTGAGTAAAGTGCTTATTAAGGATATCATCATGGAAGGAATCTAATTGTTTTAGATATCCTAATTACAACGAATATTAATAATGTGCAGAGAAAGAGATGTGGGATGAAAACAATTTATGATTGAGATGTGTAGGAAGGTGGGAATAAAATCTCTATGTTAATGAGGTTGGCTTAGTTATTATTGGGGTGGTAATAGAATGGGGCAAGTTTATGCACCAATGAGGTGGGTATAGATGGGTTAAACTTATAAAAGACTTAATGGGGTAGGAATGAATACAAGGGCTTTATGATAGAGTAACAAGAAGTCTCAGATTATTTTATTGAAGTGACAACTGGAATTCCAGTTGCAACGACTTGAATTAAGTTGTGTACGATATTGGTAAACAGATTTCGTGGTGCTTGCATCACTTGCATGCAGATTGAGTTGATAAAATGATGATACTGGATTAGAACAGGAAAGGTTAAAATTTTGGGTATGTTTTGAGTATGTAAGTAAGATCAACACAAAGGTATGGAATATAACTGTCTTAATTGATGATTGACAAAGACCCTAAATTTATAATACATATTATTGTCTTGAATTATTATCTATAAATTCCCAATCTTTTGCATCATGAATGATTATTTTTGGAATGTAAAAAAAAAGATATTTTTCTGCAAATCATGAAACTGATGAATCAATCACTTTTCACTGAAGTGATCAGCGAGTCCAAATTACATATAGAATAGCACCTCTTCTCACCTATAGATTAGCTTCTAAATTTGTTAATTGAGGATCTTAATTGAACATACATAACTTTGCCTTCATGAGAGAAAATTTCTCTCAGATGAGATTCTCCTTTCATCACGTTCATCATGCTTTGATCACACTATCTGTGGATAGTCTGTAACCAAATTAGAGGAACATTTGGTTAACTCTTCCAACTTTCTTACAAACTTTATGCAACCACACTCACCTCTTAAATCACACTTTCTTTTCCTTATGCAACAACTCAACTTGGGAGTTAAGATCCTGCTGTAGATTGATTTGCTTGTGTTTTTTGGGACTTCTATAGTGACTGACTTATATAAATGCCTTATATGAGTTACTGCTTATTACCTAGTGAGTAACTGATGTATGAACTAAAATGGCGCATATTATTATTTGGCTCTATTTCATTCCTGTTTCAGGATAAAGTTGTTGTAGAATTTGCCTTGATCTTGTCATGTTTCTTGCAGGGCTTAGTACAGCATCATGAAGAAATAGTAAAATACTTCAACTCGAGGGGTGTTTCAGTGATATTTCTCTTCAGAAAAAATCTGCTGCGTAGAATGATATCCATACTTGCAAATTCTTATGATCAAGATGCTAAGCCACTAAATGGAACACATAAATCTCATGTGCATTCACCCCATGAGGTCTCTCTCTCTCTCCCCTCCTCTTTCTCTTTTTCCTCCCTCTTTCTCTTCTTTTTCTTCCATAATATCCTGAACAAATTTTACTATTTCAGGCTGAGATACTTGCAAAATACAAACCAACAATTAATACAACATTGCTGATACCCAATCTGAGGCAAGTAGAGGAGATGACTACGAAAGCTTTGGAATACTTCAAGAGCACTCGGCACATTATCCTGTACTATGAGGACATAATAAAAAATCGGACTGTAAGAATATTTTCCCCCCAACTTGCTGATCTTCATTCACTGCTTATTAGCAAAGATGAAAGAAATAGTTACATTTTTCCTCTTCTGTGTGGTGCTACATGAAAATCAACTCTTTAGACATTTGTTTTCAGAAATTGATTGAAGTTCAAGATTTTCTAAAGGTTCCACGAAGGGACCTAAATAGTCGTCAGGTGAAGATACACAAAGGGTCCTTGTCCGACCATGTTGAAAATTGGGATGATATCCAGAAAACACTCACGGGAACGCCCTACGAGAGCTTCATCCATGAAGATTACAAAATATAGTCATGTACACCCAGTGTATATAGCATGTTATGTTGTTTAAGTTATTCTTTAATTTTTGATTGCAGAAGCCAACAGGAAAATTGCCCTGTTGAAATTTTGGCCATAGCTCTGTTTGCTGTTCAAAATGGAATGTAGTTGATTATTTTTAGTTATTTATCTAAAATGCAGGATGAATTTTGTTGTAACTAAGCTAATTTGGGGACGAAGTTGAACTTCTGTTTCCCAATCTACCTTGGAGTAATGATACCAATTGGAAGTAAAGTACAATTTTTTCAAACATTTGATATATTTTGTTTTTTTACAAGATGGCTAGGCTTACACTGATTATTCTTTCGAGCTCAGCGGTTGGTTATCATTGCTTGAGCTGGGTTAGAGCATGTCTCTAATAGGATAAGGGTGTCTAGCCCTTATGGGGTGTAAAAAATGATTGAATTTGAGACTTCTGAGTTACCAAATGTAAGGTCCAACGATTGAACCACCCTCGAGGGTTTCAAACATTAGATATGTTTCATGATCTTAGGTGGATTTAATGAGTCTGATTCTAAACATACTCTTAGCTTTAAATGACATGACAATTATTAATCAATGTCTTATAAATTGCATCTTACATTTGGTGCTCATGTTGTCATGAAAAATAAAGACTATTACTAAATATTTGCTACTCCTACCATTAAATCTGTTGCCCATCTCATTACCACAATAACCCATTGGATGTAATAACCCCTAAAACTAATCCCAGTGGAAAATACAATTTGTGAAGGATTGGGCAACTAGGTTGAATCCTTTATTCCTGTTTGAATGAAACTCATTATCAATGCAACAATTACAATGCATTTAAGTCTCCAAATCATGTTCCAATTGCATTAGTAGATCAATTTTATTGGTTCTAGCCAGATTGTTTTCCACATTTTCCTGTTTAAGAGTTTTTTTCTATTTTTTACACTCCATATTTTTTATTAAAGTTTTTTTTCCCTGAGTTGAGAGAAAAAAAAATAAAAAAATCTTAAAGCACCTGACTTTATCACCAAATTCCTTAATTTGTAATAGGGCTGGGCTTCGACTTCGAACTACTATAATTTTGCCCCCAGCTTAATTTTATTGGAGACAAAACGGAGTTTTGGAGTTGAGCCAAATTGAGGTAATTTTTTAGATTTTTTAATGCTTTTTAAAAAAAAAAAAAAACTTTTTGTTGGGATTTGGGCCATTTTTGAATGTAATTTAGACCTTTCTTTTTTGAAATTTAGCTTGTATAATATTGTTCAGTTTTAATATAGGAATTTTATATTTGCATATAATAATATATTATATAATTTATAATTAAAAAAAATTATTTATTAATAAAGGTTGGAGTCAGAATTTTTCAGAAGGACTTCGATTCCAATTGAGGCAGTGCCCAACTAAAGTCAGAGTTGTCAAATTTTTGAACGCCCCCAATTTGACCAGCTGACTAACACCTCACATTGCATGTTGGGATAAATAGAGCCCTAATTTTGACTTAGACCCTGTCCTATAGTGCATGTTGGGCCTATAGAGCCCTAATTTTTACTTTGACCAAGGCCACCTCGTAGTGCACCTATTTTCCAGAATCCCAAACGCGTCGTTGGGGAAAGAAAAAGTCAAATAAAAAAAAAAAAAAAAAACAAAAGAACAGATCAACAAACTCTGATCTAAAAATCACTTCAAAGGAAAGAACACAATATGGGACCCAGCAATACCACCGCGAATCCAGTGGCCCCACAGCTCAGTCATCCACGGTGATCAGGAAACATCACGGTCCAATCGAATGGTCGAGAACAAACATCGTTACAAACAACGTAACACACGAGATCTACCAGATTCATCTTAACCCTTCTTCAGTCTTCGGAAGCCAAGTAGCCAACTCCCTCTTCTCTTCCTCTCTTTTTCAGTTCTTTCAGAGTCCAGACAAGGTCTCCCTCTCTATACTTTCTTTCTCTCTCTCTAAGAACACTGCCGGAATATTCAAGAGGCGAGGGGAGAGTGAGGGGTGAGTAGAGAGAGAGAGAGACGGAGAAAGAATCGGAGATGATGCAATCAACGAACGGTGGAGATTTGAGTCAACAGCAGGGTCAAAACCAACAGCATCAACAACATCAGGTTCAACAGCAGCAGCAACAGCAACATCAAGAGTGGGTGGCGATGCAGCAGTATCAGCAACAATGGATGGCCATGCAGTATTCACCGGCGGCGGCGGCTGCAATGGCGATGCAGCAGCAGATGATGTATGCTCAACAACACTACTTGCCCTACCATTATCAGCAGCAACAACAACAGCAATTTCAGCATCAACAAGTACATCAAAATCAGCAACAACAACAAAAACAGGCTCAGATTCAGAGTTCCAGTGAGGAGAACAAGACGATCTGGATTGGTGACTTGCAACAATGGATGGACGAAGATTATCTCCAGTCCTGCTTCGCTCACACTGGCGAGGTTCGGCCTTTTCGTTCTCTCTCTCTCTCTCTCTTACTTTAATGTAGTCATAGACAAATTGTTCTTCTTTATGATTCAATTTGGTTTGCAGTTAGCTCTTTTAATTTCTTGTTAGAAGATGCATTTAATGTTTGTGTAATTTCATGTAGTTTCGTTCCTTAAATGGAAAAGTTTAACTGAATTGATTTTATACGGCATGTTTTTGGATTATTTAGGTGGTTTCCAGAATTGGGGATCTGGTTCAAAACATTCCTATTGTATAGGTATCTATATGTAGGTCTTGGTTGATTTTGAAACTGAGGCCCTGGTTTGAATAAAGTTAAGTTTGAATTGAATGATCTGGAGGTGAACTTGACTGGTGTATAATTGGCGCAATTAATTTCTTTTTATGCTGGCCATATAAGTTGGGATGAGAATTTCTTTCTTAAATGTGAAGGTTCTTTAGGTTTTTCGTGAGCAATTATTCGATTTGGAAATAACCTGTAGTTCATACATATGCATGCTTCGTTTCTTCATGAGCAATTGTTTGTTATTTTTGTTCCATTAACTGATGAATTATAGTAATATGCATTTGGAGCTTTAACATTTTTGTCACAAACTGTTCCCTCTGCAAAAGTAAAGTTTTTTACTCATCCTTAGTAATAGAGGAAACACAAGTGAAGAAAATATGTTTTAATGCTAGAAATGTCATTTTGTGATTAGACTAAAAGGGTTTATGTTACCTCAAGATGGAAAGAGGTGTGTTTTTGCCATAGAGCTGAATTAAAAGGCATCCTTGATGGTTTACAATAGTGCCAGGAAAAGACCACTTCAATGCTTGCGTTGTAGCATCATCACAATTTTATGGTATATGTTACATGGAAGGAGTACTTATTTATTACTAAATATTGAGGAAGAGGAGAGCTATTGTATCTTTTAGTGGCCCTTATACTTGGTGTTTTTTCACATCTTCAAAACGACGTGATATGTCCCACAAGAGGTCGGATTTTGAGTGATTGTTGTGGGCCTAATGCTTCAGTTTTGACATATAGCCTTCAAAGAGAGGCAATTTTTATATTCAAAAATGCAATCGAGCTCGACCTGAGCTTGAACAAGTCATAACCAAATCTAGCCGAGCTTGAGCAGCAGTGTATTCAGCTCGGCTTGGCTCATTTTCACCCCTAACCTACATATTTTTGCCATGATTTACAGTAACTTGTATTGTGCACTTCTGATGTAAATGTAGAATATGGTGTTTCTGAATTGCAGCTCTATAATACACGTAAGAAAGTTTATCTAGCTCTTTTGTCTGTTCATTATTTCCGCAAAAACATGTTGCTTTATTACATCCTTGCTTGTTGATAGTGGGTTTCATGAAATATGCAGGTCATTACTATAAAGGTTATTCGCAATAAGCTGACTGGTCAGTCGGAACGATATGGATTTGTTGAGTTCATATCTCATGAAGCAGCTGAGAAAGTCCTACAAAACTACAATGCCACCAGAATGCCCAATTCAGAGCAAGCATTCCGCCTGAACTGGGCAGGCTTTAGCACAGGCGATAAGCGCTTGGATGCTGGTTCTTCTGATCTGTCAGTATTTGTGGGAGACTTAGCTTCAGATGTTACTGACACAATATTACATGAAACTTTTGCCAGTAAATACCCATCTGTTAAAGGTGCAAAAGTCGTCGTCGATTCAAATACTGGTCGTTCTAAAGGTTATGGCTTTGTTAGGTTTGGTGATGAAAATGAGAGGTCAAGGGCCATGACTGAAATGAATGGCATGTATTGTTCTAGCAGGCCCATGCGTGTTGGAGTTGCGACCCCCAAGAAGCAATCCACACAGCAACAGTATCCTTCACAAGGTGTAGCATAATGTTATCTGTTTACGAATGCATGGTACTCTTTAACTCATTAGTCTAGATCAATATAAGATATTGTTTTGTTATTGCTTTTGTCGTCTCCACTAATTGCTGACAATTTCTTGTTGCATGTTCTGCTGTTCCATTTGCTATGTGATGTTTTTGTTTTCTGGAAATTCCAACTGGTTTTTTGCAACCGTCGTTCTGCACATATATGATTTGTTCATTAATTCTGGTGGCACAATGTGTATATGTTTTTATGTAAATATAGGGGCTGTCTTAATTCTTTTTTTTGTTTAGCTTATTGTGTCCCTTCCCCCCCCCCCCCCCCCTTTTAATGAGTTATGGACCTTAAGGTACTTTTTATGCCTACATGTCTGTGTTCTTATAATCTGCTGTTTAGTTGATTTTTTTTTTTTTTGCTACTGCTGTTGAGTTGATCATTTCTGTATGGTTGACGAAGCTATCATTTGAAGGTACTCGGTTTCGTATTTTATGCTATTCATTTGGAAATTGACCCCACCAGCTAATTCTCATTTTCTTTGATTAGCTCTGATATTGGCTGGTGGATATGCCCCAAGTGGTGCTACGTCAGAAAGCTCTCAGTCCAATGGTGATTCATCTAACACAACAGTGAGCCTGGCTTCCCTTGCTGTCTAGCTATCAATTCAACCATAATTATTTCATTAACAGTTGTTTAATTGTAGATATTTGTGGGAGGGCTTAGCTCTGAGATCACGGATGAAGAACTCAGGCAGTCCTTTGTACCGTATGGGGAGATCATCTCTGTGAAGATACCAACTGGAAAAGGATGTGGTTTTGTACAATTTGTTAACAGGTATGCTTCATGTAGTTTACCATAGTCTATTAAGGTCGTGCTAAAAATTTCTGTCAATGTTATTATGTTTAATGCTTGTACCATGTTATCAAGGTGCTTTGATTTCATCCTAACATATGATAAATTATTTTCTAGTTGATCACGCAAGTTTGGATAAATAAAAAAGACCAGTTATAAAAGGTTAAGAATGGAGTGAATTTTGCAACATAGTTATTTGGATACCTCTTGTAACAAACATTATCTTAAAATAATTGGTTCCATATGAATGAAATGATCTCTCTTTCATTTTCTCGGTACTCAGAAGCAGTGCTGAGGATGCGATACAGAGTTTGAATGGGGCAGTTATTGGGAAGCAGACAGTTCGTCTATCTTGGGGCCGAAATCCAGGCAACAAGCAGGTGACTTTTCTGAACTTAAAGAAACTATGATTAGAGTGTATAGTTATCCATAACCATTTCACCTTTGTCTGCTCAGTTCTATGTGAATTCCTCATTCCTCAACTGGCTCTTAAGTTTTCTGAAAACAAAAGTGTGTGCTGTTCTTGTCAAGTGAATATAATTTGGTTTTTTGTTGCGTATGATTCAATGATTTGTGTGGATGATCTTTAGATTGTTTTGAGCAGTTCCCTTGTAAGTTTAAAGTAGGCTAGATGACATTATATGCATCTTTTACCATCCGATGTTGTTATGTTCCTGCAGTTGAGATTTATCCTTTTTTATTTTTAAAAAAAAACACCCCACACACACAAAAAAATTCCTTTTAGTTCTGGAGCTGATCCCAGATACTTTGGCTTTATGACTCTTTGTGACTGATGTTGATGGTTGTGAATTATTCTTCGCTTTGATTTACTTCCAACTTCACTTTCCAACAATGAAATGCCCTTGTGATCTGCTCTTCTCGTGAGTTTGTTATCCTTGATTTAACTTTTTGAGCATCACTGTGCTGTGGCAGTTCCGAGCAGATTCCAATAATCAATGGAGCGGGGGCTATCAGAGAAGGCAAGCTCAGAATGGCTATGGATATGCCATGCCACAGAATCAGGATACAGGCGTTTATTCTGCAGCTGCAGCCTATGGGCCATCTTCGAACGGATATGGCAATCACCAGCAGCCAGTAAGCTGAAATTGCTGAGCTAAATATTGAATCAAAAGTAGGAAGGTTTATTTGCTCTGGTTAAATGTGTTATGGTGAATTTTGTAAGCTGGATTTGATATTTTGGAGACTCTTAAGATTTCTTTGAACTTAATTTGGAATATCGGAGGAGCCGAGGGGATTTTTATATCTAGTGGTGAGCTTTGTTGACGTTAGATTCTGATTGGGGAGCATGCTGAATTTGTGTGTCTAATCACATTTGCATTGTTTTAAAGTTTTCATTAGTATCTCATCACAAGCTTGAAATAAGCGGAATAACCTCATTACAAAATGAGGTTATTTCGAATCAAATTGAACTATTTTTTCTGTCGTAACTTGACCTTATTAACTAGTAATTCAAGAAAATAATGTTTCTTAAACGTTGTCGGCTTGTTTAGCATCTTGAGTTGGATATCTACTACAGTTCTTCGTATTGCAAGTATCATTTTTTGCTACGATCTTGACATGTTTTAAGAATTTCATAGCTTATCTCGTTTTGTTTAAGCAATAAGCCTTCTGTAGTGTGTAGGGTGCTTCGTTTAGCATTGGTCTAAATGTTAGATGTTCACTCTTTTGTACATGTAGAATATTTCAAGTGATATTTGCTCTTAGATCATCCATGTTCTTTGTTTCTTTGGTTGTAGTATGAACCTAGGATCGTGTTGATAAAAGGCACTCGAGCTGATACCAGGAAGATCAAAACCCTTGGGCAACTGAAATTAATTGTTGAACTCCTTCTATATTACGAATGATGTGCCCAAACTTGACTTTGGGGAACAAAAAGAAATAGAAGAGTTATAAACTCAGATGTTTTTAGTTTAAATTTTACAATTCAATGGGGTCAAGTCATAAGAGATCTAATCCCGATATGCATAGCTTGATTTTAAATAGACCGGGAAGAAGATTAGTCTAGATGTGTGTAAGTTTATCTGCATATTCTAACCGTTGAACCAACAAAAAACAAAAAAATAGGGAAAAGATATACTCAAATCTCAAAACATTAATAGGCTCATGGTTAACTATCATTATGCCTATTAGCTCTTTTTAAACTACCGATTAATCTAAAACTTTAAAGATTGGTAAAGAGGGTTTTCTTAAGCATTCACATATTTGAGTACGTCTTTTGACATAGGTCAAATATTGAGTGATTCGTGTTTAAGTATTGGTATTATCAAGACAATGACAAAGTTTAAAATTTCAGCTCAATAAAATTTCTGAAAATATAGTCTTTATTGAAATTTTTTTTTTAAATCTAGATCACTTAGATTTATTTCTTACAGAATAAAAATCAACTAACTCCCGATAAACTTTAAATATTTTACAATTACCTGCCATTTGATTGATTTTACATGCAGAAAGCACTATTTATTTATTTTTAATCAACGGAAAATTCTGATTGAATCATAGGAAGCTGCCCATATGAGTCATGAGAGGCGTCAAACACACGCCAGCTCTGTATTCTACCAAAAGTCTCCATTTTTCACCCACCCAACCTTCCCAGCTGGAACACAATCTAGCTGTACATGGCTGACCACACTTCAAATTTCAGAATCCAATCCAATCCAATCCAATTCTTCAGCATCATTATTCCTTAAAACAAAATTCAAACAACAAAGCAGTAAAAGCAAAGATAAAAGCAACAGTAATATTCAAAAAGACAGCAGGAATAGTAGTAGTAAAAGCAAAGACAAACAAACGGTAAAATAGGACTGTCATGTTGGGAGCATTTCATTTTTTTTCGCCATAAGACAATTATGTCCCTCCTCCATGTGAGTATTTTTCTTCTTCTTTTTTTTATTCTTTTTATGCATTGGGCTATTAAACAATTAGGAGTTTGAGCTGATCATACATGATTCATTCAGAAATGCTTAAACTGTAAAATAAATTAAATCAAGCCAAAATTTTAAGTTTGTCTTCAAACTAAGACAAATCCAAATACGTGGCTCGGGTCAAATAGATTTCAATTCTTCATAATATGTACTTTTATTCTTCTCTCTTCTCCAATTGATGATGTATGAACTCGAAATGTGAGATTTATATTTAAATTGAAAAGCTCAAGGCTTATAAATTATAGTATGTGAATGAACAATGTAGAAGAAATCTATCTAAAGTTGAACTTGATGGCTTTATAAGATGCTACAATAAATGTAGAATAGAGGTAATAGCTACAGAACAAGCACGAAGACACATATTATAACGGTTCATTAACTGAAGAGTTTGGTTAATTCATTCTAATGAAATTTCTTACTCATTGAGAAGTTGTCTATAGCTTGGAGAAAGAGATAGAATTATAATTACAGAGATTATAATTGATTGTTTGTTATGAAAGAATGCCTCTTGGATTTATATCCACAGGTCGGGTGGTTTGATTCACATGGTCCTCAATTTTGTTAGAATTTTATTGAAAGAATATTAGGTTGTTAGAGACTATATTCTCTAAGTGTGACGTAACCTTCTAGAACATACTGAGGTGACATTATAGTCTGTCTTCAAGTTTAGATACGTCGTGGCCTTCTATATCTGTGAAAAATCATGTTGCAAGGTTATTCTAATTGGTATGACATCTTATACTATTAGTCAGCTCGTGAATAAAAGAGTTCAATTCAAACACTTAACCTAAGTTAGAAATGATGATTCTCCTCATGATATAACATGAACAATCTGAATACCTTTATCTAAGGTCGTACTTGGTCGACCTTGACACTTTTTCCTGAGATTGGATGCGCATCTGGAGATCGGGAGACATACCTTATTGATTGCTCTTTTTACAAATCATTTTTGAAAATATCCTTCTATTTATTCCTCGTATCATTTTTAGGTATTATCACTAATAATATTTGATAAATTTAAATTAATATGGTTTGATGTTGTAGCTGATTATACAAAAATTTTATATTTTTGTTAATAAAGTTTTTACTTTAGAATTTACAGTTTCTACTTGTTGAATAATTTTAATATTTTTTTTTAAAGATTTGAGTTTAGTTTTTACCTCACTTCGATTCAAATGAGTTTCTACAAAATCATATCAAAATTCAAAGAAACTTGAACTCGGTCTATCATAAACGAATCTAAGCTCGTTTGATTAACACCCTCTTCCTAGTAAATATTAGGTGTAAAAGTTTTATAATTATTATGCAGCGTAACTGTTTAATAATAAATAAATAAGTAAAATAAATCTCTATTATTTTAAATAAGCACCTTCCTATATAGGATAGTAACCATCATATATGCTTATTTATTTGTTTAGGTTTAATGCTGTTATATCTAATTTTTAAGAGGGTAAATTGGCAATTGGCTTGAAGAGTAGTTGAAGTCAGCAGATGTTAAAAGGCAGCTCCTTGTCGTCAACTTTCTATCTCTCCTCCTCCTCCTCTCTCTCTCTCTCTCTCTCTCCCTACAAGCACACATACACACGCACCCAATTCTAAAATTGAAGAAAACACATACATCTCCATATCCAATTCTCAAATTGTATGTAGAAAACTGTTACACACTGTCACAACAACAAGCACCAAAAATGAAGATGGAGGTGATGACACCCTCACCGGCCGTGGACTTCAACTTCGATAGTACATGCACATCTCCATACATAAGCGCTCCATCAAGCCCTCAAAGCCTCGGCAACTTTTTCTTCAGTGCCCCAACCAGCCCCACCGGCGCCACCGCCTTCTACAGTGAATTCAAAAACTTCTGTGGCGGCACCACCACCAGCAGTAATACTCTGTCTGCAATCCCATTCAATTGGGAAGAAAAACCCGGAATTCCCAAAACTGAAGGGACCGACAATATCAACGATGAAAAGGATTCAGATTTTGCATTTGATTTCAGTGGACAGCCGGAGAGAACCTCTCTTTCCGCCGATGAACTCTTCGATGGCGGCAAGATCAAGCCTCTGAAACCACCACCAAGGTTGCAATATTCTGATAGTAGAGTTCTTGATTCTCCGAAGACACCTCGATCACCCAAGAAAATGTTCAGAGAAGCTTTTTCCCCGCGACAAAAAAAGAAAGTGTTTGATCCCTTCACAGCGGCTATAGAACAAACACGTAGAGAACAATGTCAAGAGCACTCACAAGATCAACGCGGAAGAGAAAGAACTCACAATTCATTGAACTCTCCATTAAGTATCTGTGACGAATTTTTAGTACGCGAAAACAATCAAAAGAGCACAAAAAACACCGCTTCTTCTTCTTCATCATTTTCGTCTTGCTCTGCAACTTGGTACAAAAAATGGAAGCTGAAGGACTTTTTGTTATTCCGGAGTGCTTCAGAGGGTCGACCCACCAACAAAGACACATTGAAGAAATTCGCAATGTTGAAGAAGAATCACCATGAAGATGTGAAGAACTCGAGCTTTAGATCGACAGATAGTGTTGATTCAGGGTCGAGCTCAAGGAGGAGAGCACCGCCAGTGTCGGCTCACGAGTTGCATTACAAGGTGAACCGGACGGTGTCGGAGGAGATGAGGAAGAAGACTTTCTTGCCTTACAAGCAAGGCTTGTTGGGTTGCTTGAGGTTCAATCATGGTGTTTGTGAGATTTCCAAGGGGTTTGGTTCTGTGACTCGTGGATGATAATCCAGATTTCTCAATCTGTATGTCTCTTTGTCATCTTGTTCATCATCTGTATATAATAATGATCGTTGATTGTTGTTCATTTTATGTTTTTACAGCCAGTTTTGTGAAATTTCATCATCATTTCAAAAGAATTTGAATTACATTTCTGAGAATTTGATTGGAAGTCCTGTCTTGGTCTGATTATGAACACATTTTGCAACTCATTCGTTGTCATTAATATAAGTTTATGATTAGTTTTTTTTTCTAAGTAGTGGTAATAATGATTTCAAGTAAGGTTGATTCGTTCTCCATGGTGCCTTTTCCTTTTATTTTTCGAATTCAACTTTCTCTTACCGATTAAATCACTTGTTTTGTCTTAAGTTCAATTCCTTTCGGGTTAGTCATTTTTAAGGACATTTTTTATCTCCGTTACATTGGTCGGTGACTGGTCGCTGAATTCAAACCATGATTTGGGGATTGACTTCAAATTGGAAATCATGACTTCACGTTGGATCAATATTGTTATTCAAAACTAATTTATTGATCGAATCTAGTAATATAATACATTGCAATTGTTTGATCGATAATGAAGTTTATCCAATATTCGGGGCCTTTTCAAAAAGGTTCGCACAGTGTTCATCCTTTTTAACTTTCTTAAAATTGAAAATTTTGAAATTGATAAATACTTGTCTTTTGTTTTTGTCTAAATAAATTTTCAAAACGCAGAAAATTGGCTTCCGCTATCGGTGAATTATTAGAGGCTGTTTGGTATGTTTGTTTGAGAGGGATTTGAATTAACTTGTCTAAACTCTTCTAAACCTAAAAATGAGATTCAAAAATAAGATTTAATATTTAATGTTGTTCATACCTATGTTTGGTATGCGTGAAAATATATGAATATTATGATAATATATTTGTATTTAAATGATTATTATGCCCTTTAACTAATTTATATATATATATGAAGGTATAAATGTCATTTACATGTTAAATAAAACCCACCCCTTTGGATTTCATGAAACCTATGAACCCGAGTTGGGTTTTAAAACCTAAACTATATGTATGGAGTATTTGCTAAATATAGATTTGAAGAGATTTATTTTTTAACTCATGTTCTAAAATTCTCCTAAACTCATATACCAAACAGGTCCTTTAGGATTGCATCTCATGCATATTCTGCGTTACAATGAATTAAATCAGTATGCACTTACCATTACTTTTTCTGCAATAAAAAAAAAAAAAAACATAGCAGCAAAGAAGAAGAGTATGATTATGTGGGGTTATGCTTTGATTAGGCAAATAGTAATCGTGTAGGGAAAAGGAGGAGCCACCAACCTTGCATGGTATTAGCTTTTATCAAAAGGTTAAGTCCTATCGCCGTCCATGACCTGTAAAACCGGCCCAACAGGCGTATGTAATCATTTTCAGTCAGTCACCGCCGATGTCTTTGAATTTTTATACGTCACCCAAGTCAATGAGAAACATCATTATTATAGAGTTGACGAACATGTTGCGGTCATTTACAACACAATTGGGAAGAAAATAATAACTTTAGTCGGTCGTTAGCAAACCTCAAACTAAGAAATCAACTACACTTGACCCATCAGAGCAACTCCGAGGGGTGTTATAAAAAATAGGGTGTCAAATGTTATTTTGTGACTTTAAACAGTATTTTGGTACTTTTGAATAGTTTTTTTTGTAACAATAATAAATATTAAAATAGGGTGTCATTTTAATATTTTAATATTTTTTATTAAAAAATATAATTAAATTTAATGGTTATATTTTTATAGGTATAATTTTTATAACGATCATTATTTAACGGATATATTTTTATTATAAAAATTTCAAATTTCAGAGGACAAAATTTCAAATTTCAAATTTCCAATACCATGGGATTGATCTGCGTAGCATCATCATATAAATCGGTATTGTTCATAAATAAATCAGTGAGAGAACCGTTAAATTGCAAATCCATCTACAAAAAAAAAAATTATAATCAATTTAAAGAATGAACATAAAATAATCAATTAAAAAATAAATAAAATTACCCTTAATTAAAACAAATAAATCTATCATAAATTATAAATTATATTACAAATTATAAATTAAAACAAGAACAGGGGCTAATGTAATTATAAATTACAACGCTTTTCCCTTCCTGTAAATAAAACAGTTCCTATCCCTTTCCCTTACCAGATTGTCTTCTTTCCCTTCCTCTTATCAGAAGTCTTCTTCCTCTTCCCATTCCCCCCCCTTTCCCTGCACCTCTCTGCAATTTACAACGGCAACGAGGCCATGCGAGTAGTACACTAATGGCAAGGGTTCAAGAAAATTAGGGTTTTCGATATCAAAGACAAGGATTCAGGGAATCTATTTTCTGGGAGCAGTACACAAATCAATTTCAGGCAAGTCTTCTTCCCCTTTTCTTTGCCTGCATTTTTATAGAAAATTTGGGGAGAATATATCCGTTGAGAGGAACAATAGCCACCAATGATTATTTTACAACCTCTCAATTCTCTCTTCAAAGTTATTAAATATGTCACCCCAAAATCTTAGATGCCATTGTGCCACCTCCGTTGGAGTTCAAATTTTTGCAGTTGGGGTGCCAATTTAGCGGTTATGGGGATGCCACCCTTGATGACAACTCCCGTTAGAGTTGCTCTTACATTCTATGCGAAGGATAATTAATATGGTTTCCAAGAATAAAAAATAGAGTAAACTACGTATATGACATTTAAATTATGATTTTTGTGTTAATTAAAATTTTAAATTCTTTTTCTTTTTATCAATTGAGACCCTAACTCTTTAATTATGTCAATTGAACACTTTAATTTGCCTCCGTTAATTTTTTTAATGAAAAGTAGTTAAATGTGCCACTCATGTGACACAAATAAGTGGCAGCTTGGTCACCTGAGTGACACATTTCGTCATTTTTTGTTAAATAAAATGTTTAATTGACATAATTAGAGAGTTAGAAATTCAATTGATACAAAAAAAAAAAAAATTTAGAGACTTAATTGATAAAAGATTATAATTTGAAGATCATGTGTAATTTACTCAAAAAAATATTTGAAATTGGACTAAAAATTATTATTTTTAATAATAAATTATATTTTTTAAAAATAAAGTTATAACTGAAAAATTCATGGTCAATAATAAAATACCGTAATCAAGCATGGATTTTCTTAAAAAGTTAATAACTTTTTTTTTTGAATTATAACTTGACTTTTAAAATTTATACCTTAATTTTTAAAAATTATAATTTCATAATCAATCACAATATTTTAGAATCAATCACACTATTTACAAATTATAACTTACACATTAAAGAATTATAACTTAATCTTAAAAAAATTATTAATTATAATATGATACCAAAGACAATTCCGTAATCTTTCCAATTTGATCAAATTCTCTGCTGTGACACCCTTTATGTTTTAACAATGCATTCTGATAAATCTGCGGTCCAAATTGCAAAATTTCCTAACGAAGGAATTTTCATGCGACACAAAGTACTATGTGAGGGCGCGAATAATAAAAAATTGAGAAAGAGTGAAATGGAAATTATTCTTAACTCAAATATAGTTCAAGTGATAACATAAACGAATTATAAACCCACATGTCCTAAATTCGAATTTTAACAATTCTTTGAGACCAGATCACGAGAGATTTATCCCTCATGACTACCCTAGTCCCAGCGTAAATTGTCAGTCTTTGACCGGACCAGAGAGGGGACTAATTAAAGTACGTGCAAGTTGGCTCAGATACCCCTAACTATTGAACAAAAAAAAAAAAATACATTAAGCATTATTTTTTGCAGATATGAAACAAACATTTGATACAGCAAACGTTCGAGTTGTCAATAAGAGCAGTGCCAACATTGTAATCTAAATCAATAGGAAACTTGGTAGAGAACTTGTCGAAAGTTTACCTCTTTATCTTTAGACAAGAAAATGTTCCTTAAAGAAGTAACAAATCACTGCCTGTAAAGACCAAGCAGTGGTTTCTCTCTCTTTTCAACTCTCTTCCTCGCAGCCTCTCTTGCCTTAAGCGCAGCTGCTTCCTCTTCGGTTACAACTTTGGGCTTGGCATCTTGCCTTTTTCTCTTGTTAGCAGTGAGTGATGAAGGAGCACCTTTAACGGATCTCATGGGGTTTAAAGATGCTGAAACAACCCGCCCAGGTGGGGGGCCACTTTGAGTTTGAGCAGCACTTCTGTTTTCTGAAGCTGGTCCAGCCTCAGATGCAGACAATGGCTTTTTCAAAATAGGTCTTTTTTTTATGGAATCTGAAGAAGCTTGAAATGCAACAAGTGCCTCTTCCTGTGTGACCCATTTACCTGTTTCACTCCATGCAATTATATGTATGTATCATTAACAGTCAACATGCAATAGAGAACGAAACCCAAGTAAAACCAATCTGTGTTTCTCAATACCTAAAGCATCAGTATAATAGAAGCCAGATTTTGTATCAAAGTAGAAACCATCGTCTTTATTGTAGTAATAACCAGATGAGCTCTCATACTCCCACTCTGTCATCAAGGAAAGCTGTATGAGTCCCAATGGCATAAGCAAGGCAAGAAAAATTCATAATACGTTATGCAATCAGGCTTGTTTAAATGACCAACAATTAAGAGTCTTTCTGAAACAGAAATTGCCTGGCCCTGACAGGGGTGGTTTAATTCAAGCACTTTCATCTGGATCACCCAAAGAAACTGCACATGTGCAGACACAAAGCTATGCAAGTTTATACTGATATTTTGAGTAAGTGAGGATAGCATTGAACTCAAAATCATGAAACATATTTCCAGAACATGTGTGGATATTTTCTAGCCATGACTAGACACCACTTTGTGGACTCGCTGGTTTTCAGATATTTCATGACATCCATGTATGACAGCTACCACTCCAACAACTGATAACCAGTTGACTTTAGCCATTACCTAGGGCTGTAGCGGAGAAAGTGAGGTTGATTGAACTTTACTAGAATCCAAGCATTGCCCACAGAGCCGATCACAACTAGCCCAGTCTACCTTCACTTCCTACATATTCTAGTAAAATATCCAGCCTATAACATTGTCTACCTCCAATAAATTCCTAAGCTAGGACCCCACACTAATGCTTTCAAAAGCACGTCATTCCCTCGAACATACTCCAAAATCCTATCAATCATCATCATTTCTCACTTGCTTTGAATTACATTTAATTTTCCTTTTCAGCATCCCAGTCATCTGTCTAGTGAATTTCTCAGCGGTTTTTGCTAACGCAGCCAGATGATCCTCACTCATACTCTCAAGAGGCTAAACACACCGAGCCTTGAATTGCTCAAGCTCGGGTTGCCAAGCATAAGTTTAAAACAGAAGTTAATGCCAGCTCACTGATTGCGACAGGTTCTCTAAAGAACTTTTAAAAGATGGACTTGTTAACAACCAACTCTGACTGCGGCTCTATGCCCATACAAAAGCATTAAGCAGCTTACAAAGCTGACATCTATTTTTTTTTTGGGAGGGTGAAGGGGAAGGGAGAAGGGGATTTGAACCTTTGACCTGCAAAACCTTTACAAGACAAAGAGTACTATTAGACCAAAGACCCATTGGTGCAAAACTGACATCAATTATTTACAATTTCCAACTTCAGAAGTAAGCCTTTTGCACCATACCTACTAAAAAATATAACAGGATCCCAACGTCTTTCAAAAAGTAGATTCTCCTAATATTTCCTTATACATTGCTCCCAGTTATAACAATGCAGGCTAAGTTTGAGAAAGAAAAAAAAAACATTTTGAACCGAGTATGTAAGATAGTAGAGCAACAAGATCATTACCTCCAGGTATTTCAGGTCCTTGGCTATTACTATCTCTAGCCTCCCGAAAAGTTGCTACATCCTTCTGATAGCTACGGTTGGCTTTCTGGGAGACAGTTGGAATGAAAACATAAGAAATCGTAAGTTATAGTTGACCGATTAATATACCTGAGACTCTAAGTCTGATGGAAAACAAATTTCATTCCTACTTTCAAATTGGTTAATTTTATACCCTTATTGAACGAGTTGTATGCGTGTAGTGTTTGGGTTCATGTTAATATGCCAACACATTTATTTAAACGGGTTATTTGTGTAAAAATCGGGTTACACATGTTTGATACAAACCCAACCTATTTACTAATCAACTTGCTAATTTTGTGTTAGGTTCGTATCGCATTCATCATACTGCCAGTACAACTACAAAAAACTAAAACAATGTGGTCAATCAAACCAAACTAAGTAGACTGCCAATTAGTTATGGATCTCAATTCCTGTCTTGGTGGTCTATGATTTGTTAAATTGATGCTCCTATACAATTCTACCAGAAGTTTTAACTAAGAGCAGCTGAACCAAAGGTCTACGAGCTAAAATCCATTGCTTTACAAGGCTAAACCCTTTTGCCTTGCTTTAAACTTTTTACTCGCCTCTTACTCCCTCTTGGTTCAGCCCTTAACATCTTAAATAAAACTCGAAACATTGTCACTTGTATCACCAACACTAAAAAAAAATTGTAGATTCTACCTAGAGGCAGAAGGAAAGGTGTTTTTAAATTGAATTTAGTACTCACTGCTTCAATTTGTTCAAGGGCACGAGCTGCTTCTTTCTCTTCTTTCTCCTTTGCAGCTTTCTCTTGTCTCATATTAGTAAGCCTCTTAGCAACATTATCCTTGTGACGCTGGCCAAGCTCATGATTTCTAATGCTGAGAGGATTGTTGGAAATGAAGATTTTGCAGAAGTCGCACCATTTGTTACCTTGACTGACCCAATACTGGAAAAGGAAAAAAAATATTAGCCAATTAGATAATAGATCAAAAAATACAACGATGTTGACTGAATTTTAGCATAATGATTGTGTATGTTGGGACAGGTAAGTGATAAACGAGGTAATTTTCAAGATAAATACAATCACATTAAAGGAAATACAGAGAAATGGGATTCAAATGGGCAAGAAAATTCGAATCAGGTGAAACAGATTGAAAAGACATCTAAGACAAAATTTTATGCAGCTAACCTTGAAAATTAGTAAGGAAAAAAAAAGTAGCTAGCAAATTGTAAAACTACACAAATTCTAAAGAAGCATGAGTGATAACGCAGAAGCAAAAGAAAAAAACAGAAAAAGATGTCATCAGAAATACGAAATAAAACTGTTCACACTCATCAAGAAAATCAGACCAATACAGTAACACAATCCGAGATTGTTTGAACAAGTGGTACATGGAGGATCATAATTCATATCATTATTCATAACACTATTAAAAAGAAGAAAAAAAAATCATATTCAGCTTCAAAAAAGTTTAAAAAATTGTAAACTTTAAATTACCATATCTTTCAAAAGAATATAGTTAGTTACAAAGTTGCTCTTAGAATACACATCCAAAACTTTTCATTCTTCTTCGCCAAGCAATATAGTTGAAATCAGCACTTTGCTTTTTTTTGTTTCCAGAAAGTACTAGCGCCTGAGGCCGATGAACAAGATATGAATACACATATACTAGCAGCTACGAACATAACCGATTCCATGCGCCAATTCAGAAAATCACAAAAAGATATGGTCTATGCTATTCTTGTATGAATAAAACATGCAATTATCAGTTGAATATTCAAGCCTTCAACAGAAAAACGAAATTACGATAATAATGATAATGTGAGAGAGAGAGAGATACCTCAGTCATAGCTGAAGCTGAAAATTAAAATCTTTGTGAATACAAGCGAAATACCCAATCTTTAATTGCAGCAATAATGAAGATCGAGATCACAATCGCGAGAATTCAACTTTTCGCTTCGATGAGCATAAAATTATTCTCTGAATGATGGCGAATTGACGAACGGTCCTGTTCTTATGGAAACCCTAATCACAGAATTACTAACCTTCTCTTCTTCTTCTTCTTTTTTTTTTTTCTTTCTCAACCGGGTATGAGTGTGTGAGACACCGGAAGGAAGACCATTCTTTCTTGCCCACCCGAGTCCGTCTCCGTTCTTTAGAGTTTGGTTAACCGCTTGTGAAAGCGGTCGTCTCAAAATTTTACATCTGATTTCAAATAAAAAAATAGAAGAGGTAAATTACATTTTGACCTCTAAGAGGTTTGGTACGTAGTCAAATGGGCCTCTACAATACAAGTCTAATTGTTTTGGACTGATCCAAAAGTGGAGGAGTAGACGTGTGCCCAACATTTATCAATAATGTGGCCATGACGCTTTAATATCAGCAAAATTTTTTATTTCTGTCATTTCTTTTGTCTAGTGATTTCATATAATGAGTCAAATTTGATGCACCATTGCCTCTAAATTTGGCACCACATGATAATTGAATAAAAGAAGAAAATTCCGCATGCATAAAGAAAGACAAAAGGAATATCTAAAAAACTTCATCTACTACAACAAAGTGAAACTAATCGATGAATAGAGAAAAACCTAGCGTGTGTTTGGTTTGTGTTTTAAAAATAATTTTTTGTTCTCAAAACACAAAATTTTGTGAGATGCTGTTTGGATAATAATTTTCAAAAAAAGTGGGAATTGAGAACATTTTTAAGATGTTTTCTGAGTTTTCAAGATGAAATCGAAAACAAGGGAAACAACCTCTACTTTTTAATGAGATCTACCATCAAACCTCATTAACAGCAAAACACATTTTTTTCATCAAAGTATAAAAGCCTCCACTTATGTTTTCTCCATCTCCTCTCTCTCTCTTGTTGTTTTGCTCCAACTGACTAACAAAGAATGTTTTCTCCCTCTCCTCTCTCTCTCTCTCTCTTTGTGCAACGATCGCCGTGCTTCTTCAGCCGAGTAACGAAGACCAAAGTAACAATCTCTGCTTCAACAGAGTAACGATTACTGGGTCAAGATTTGGTTTAAACAATCACTGGGTTCAAGATCTTTTTTTTTTTTTTGTGCATTTGGGTTTAAGATCTGGTTTTAACATCTTTTTCCTCAATTTTTTTTTTTTTTTTTGCATTTGGCTTGAAATATATACAACATCTTCTTCTTCAATTTGTTGTAGACACCGTTTCTTATGTAATTTGGCCATTTGAAAATTTTGAGAGAGATAAGAGATGATCGTTACTTCAATAGAGATTGGTATTTTTTTTTTATATTTTATCAAGTTTAATATATTAAAATATTTTATATGAAACTCTCAATCCAAACAGGTTTTTTGTTTTTTATTTTGTGAAATTTTTTTTAGAATCATCTAAGCAAATAAATTTTTCATCTCAGAAAAACATCAAAATAACTTTTTTAAAACTCTTATCAAAAACTATTTTCGAATTCTGTTTTTTAAAATACAAACTAAACATGCCCCTGTATTCTAGCTTTTCCGAGTTTTTGAACAATTGTTAGCTCGTGGGTTTGTCTCTTGGTAACATAAAACCAGCGAATGTGCCATTTTTGTTTTCTTTTCTTCCGTACACTTTTGCTGGAATGAGTAGCTCCCATCATTGGCGCTCTAGAGAAAAAGGGAAGAATTTTGATATACTATACTTTTTACATGACAAAATAAGATTTGTTGTCAATCATAACCCATAGTAAACAGATTGAGAAACAACTTTATATACCTGGACTTTCACTATCTCACGGTCATCTTCTCATTATCCGTTAACCACACTTTCCTCGAGGAGTACTTCCCTTGTTACGGAAGCTATATGTTTGCTCATACTTTAAGAATAGTAAACTGGTGTGAAGGAAGGGATTGAAAAAGCAACTAAACTAAACAAAAGTTTAAAGACAATTATCAATCTCTCTTCTTCTTCTTTTTTTTTTTTTAATATAGAATGGAGATAAGCCCCAACATTGCATAATAGATGTGAAAAAAGGGGGTTACATAACATTTTTTGTAACTCGAAAGATATTTTCAAACTGCATATCGTTACATTACAGCAGATCTTTCGTCTCCAATGGCCGATACCACTCTATGCCACAAGGGGGTTTCAGCAAACAATCGAATGCTGACAGGCAGAAATTGGAATTCCATATGCATCCACACCACCCTCAGAGAGAACAACAACATCGGAGCCAAAAGATGACTTTGTCGATATATTTGGCAATCCCCAAATGGGTAGGAGTAGGACAGAGGTGATTTGTAACAGTAAAACTGCTATCACTGGAGGAATAACTTCAATCATAACAAGGTAAGAATAAGTTGGACATTCAAAACATTGGAACCAAGAAGCCAGAAAAGGAAGAAATTGACATGGAAAGTAAAGAATCCTCAGACAAGAAGCTAGAATATGTTCTCGTCACTTATTGAAGCAAGCATTCCTGCAAAAAGTAAGTTTGAATTATTTCAAAATCTATCATCATTATAATCCTAGATCACCAGCATATATATTTTCAAACTACAAAACAAGAAAGCGGGAGAGATGATAGGAAGAACACAATTACTTTTCCATCTTCCGGTTGAGGGACATAATTATGTAGGCAACTACTTCATACCTAAGCAGTTTTGAGGACCGGGATGGCAAAAAAAAAAAGAAAAAAAAACACAAATAAAATGGAAAATCGAGGCTGTCTTTTCAATCTTTTACCTTTATGTGTAGAAGATCGTTGACCTAGAGTTCAAATTGTTGCGGGGGAAGTGTTCCACAGCTTTTCTTCACTGCATTGCTTGGCCATACTTTCCCTGCAAAACCCAAAACAGAACAGTGCAAACGTGAATTAAAATAGAGTTTTGAATGGTGAAATTCACAAGAAAACAAAATTCTAATATCTAACTGAGAGAAAAAAGCCGCATTATATCCCAGCATAACAGCTGAGTAGATACAGGTCCCATAACAGCAAGAATTGTATTTAGCAACACACAGAGAGTGGCAGAAGACAGAGTGCACTTGTCTTTGAAGAAAAGGAACCTTTAATCAAGGGGATGAAAAACAAACAAACAAAAAGAATAATTTGATATAATGGAGCACATACATTATTTAGCCTTTAATAACGGTGACCTTGATGTGGAACATGAGCGCAAAATAATGTTTAAAACGAAAACAAGATTCCATAAAAAGCTTGAACAGATACTTTTCAAGGGTAAATATGCAATAGAAAAGCAATTTGCGTGGAAGCAATTGAGGACCTAAATACATAAAACTAAAAATCATATACTACTTTAGCATGTATTGTGCTTACTACAACTTACATTTTCCATTTGAGACATACAAGAGAGGCATTGAGAAGAATTCCGGCAGAACATTGAGGGAAATGAACCTGTTCAGGAAATTGGGGTTCCCCACAGTTCCTTGAAGAACTAGAGAAACATGACCAATAAAACAACAAAGGAACAGTGGACTTCACCGACTTGCTTCATTGTGTGCACTTTTATTTCAGCTAGAGAACAAGCCACACAATCCTTGATAACAAACACAAGTGATCCATGGCATAGTTATCCCCTAGCATAGGCAGTTTTCCCAGTATTTGGGAGAAGACCATCCTTTGCCATGTCAGTAAGAACATTAAATACTGCATCCATGTTCCCTTCTTTGTAGTTGATCTCAACAAGGGCTTTCGCAACCTCAGCATCAGTAAGCCTACAGCTTTTCAATATATAACGAATAACTTCACCCACCTCCTCACTCATCCCTTCTTTGAAAAGCTCCTTAATCAGAGCAATAACAGTGACAGTATGGGGGACAAATTCATGATGCAACATTTCTTTGTAGAGTTTAAAAGCTTTGTGCAAATTCCCACCCCTGGAATGACCGTGGATAATGACATTATAAGCTGCTTCGCTAGGCTTGTGGTTTCTCTGAAGCATTGACTCAAAAACTCGATCTGCTTCATTCATCAAACCTTTCATACAGAATCCCTTCATGAGAGCTACAACACTCTTGAATTCGACATTCCTACAATTTTCTATGAGTGTATCATAAGTGACATCATTAGGGACAGATTCCTCGTAAAACAGTTTCATTAGGAGCTGCTTTGCCTCCCTAGTCCGAGCTTGTTTGCTAAGCCCATTGATTAGCACACTATAGGTAACAACATCGGGAAAGAAACCATTATTCATCATTTCATCATGCAGGTGGAGAGCACTATTAATATCCCCTTCTACACAATAACCATTCATTAGGGTAGTATATGTACATTTATCAGGTGGCAAACCCACTCTCCACATCTCTTGGAAAAGATCACAAGCTTCATCCAGTCTCCTCTGTTCGCAAAGACCTTGAATCAGCGATGAATAAGTAACAACATCTGGTGAAACTCCCTTCTCGACCATCTCCTGCTTCATTCCAAATGCTTTATCCAAATCTTGATTTCTACAAAACCCAGATATAATTGTAGTATAACTTACAACATCTGGGACTACCCCTTTACCCACCATATCACGAATCACTCCTAAAGCATCTTCCATCCCACCCAATAGACAGTGTCCATTGATTAGAGCATTGTAAGTCACAATGGAAGGTGCGAAGCCACTCTGAGTCATTTCATTCAAAACTCGATAAGCTTCATCCATAAAACCCTGCTGCGAGAAGCCGTCAATCAATGTCGTATAAGTTCTCTCATTTGGATGTAATCCCCTAATATGTATCTGCTCAAAGAATTCCATTGCTCGATGCAAGTTTCTTGCCTTACACATACTATTTATCAATGAAGTATAAGTCACAACATTTGGAGATACACCATTCCTCACCATTTCCGCATGCAAAACAAGTGCTTGGTGAAAATCACCCACTTTACAATAACCATTCACAAGCGTATTATATGTCACCTCATCTGGAACAAAACCCTTGCACCTCATCTCCTCAAAAACCACAGTCATCTCCTTCATCCTCCCTTCTCGACACAGCCCATAGATGATCACATTATAAGTAATCATATTTGGCTCCAAATTCTTTTCCTTCATCGAATTAAACAATTTAAATGCATCAACCATCTTGCCCAATTTACTATAAGCATCGATTAACGTATTATAAGTAACCACATTTGGTGAACACCCTTTCCTCTCCATTTCATAAAAAAATTCTAAACCCTTCTCCAACTCCTTGAATACACAAAAACCGCGAATTATGATATTAAATGAAAATACATTAGGCGAAATTCCATTTTTCATCATATCAAAATACAATTTCTCAGCTAATTCAATAGACCCATGAGAACTACACCTAATTATTGCATCGAGAACTGAATTGTAAGACAAAACACTGGGCATAAAACCATGAGATTTTGCTAAATCGATAGTATTCAGAGCTCTATCAATCATTTTCAAGTGGGAGTACGACTTTACCATCAAATCAAACACCGAAGAGCTCGAATTGCAAGTTTGGTACGAGTCTTTAAGGCATTGAAAGACTAAATTGCCTGTGGCATCATCGGAATTCACGGCTACCTCCACAGCGATGGACTGGGCGGTCTTGAAGAGCTTAAATTTAGTGAGAATGTGGAGGGTGAGGCATTTACATTGGAGGTTGAAGAATTGATGGTGTCTAGCCCAGTTGAGGAATTTTAGGGCTAAGGGTTTGTCGAACTGGGTTCGGAGGAGTAGATAGGAGGCTGATTGAGGGGTAAAACGGGAAGACAAAGAGTTGAGGTGAATTGGGTTGTGGCGTTTGAGGATGGCGATGGCTTTGTCGACCAAAAGGGTGTCGGGGGGCGAGGAGAGAGACGAGAATTGCGAATTTACAGAATGGGACAGCAAAGGAAGGTGGTGAAGGGCCCTGTGGTGAGGTTTGATGAGGGGCATTGAGGGAAAGTAGAACTAGTGTTTGAGCAGATAATGGTGGAAGATTGACTGAAAACTAGTTTGTAGATAGAGTTAAAACCAGTTTAAAGCAGAGAGCTTGAACTTAGGTAACCTCCTTTTCTGAATCTCTTCATGCTGTTCCCAATTATTGATTCTTGAGTTCCGAAAGTATTCATTTGAGAGAAAGAGAGATGGAGACAAAATGTAGATATAGAAAGAGAAAGTGACATGGATGTATATGTAGAGAGAGAAACATCCGAGAGTACAGGTTAAGGTTTAGAGAAGTTTGTGGAAGAACAAAACCAGTGCATGATGATGCACGGTGAAGATTCTGTGTCAACAGCAGAATGTTAAATAGAACGACAACATTTTAATACAAATCGATATTGTTTTAATTACCATTACCTCTCCTTTGTCAAAAAATAAAATTCGAACTCATAACGTACTTAACTATCGGTGAAAAAATTTAATTTGGTATAAAGTATTTCAATGGACAAACTCAAATATCTACTCAAATTTTTAAAAAAATTCTCTTATTTTTTTAAAACTCATTTTTTTAATCATTCAAATCATGATATTTGATAAAATAAATAAAACTTTCAATACTATTTGGGAATAAAGAAATCACCCAAGAATTCTAAAATTGTTCTAATTCCTTATCATTTTTTATAAATTCAGATAAATAAAAAAAAAAGAAAAGAAAATATACATTTTTTGACATGAGTCTAGTCTGAAGAATACAAAAAACATACGTATTTAACAAAAATAGAAGATTGCAGAAATAAAATGACAAACTTTTTAAATTTGTAGATAGCAAAGACTTAAAATTTCAAGAAGAATTGTTAACATAAAATTGTACTATCGATGGTGTTTAACTTGAAAAAATCAAAAAAAAATTGATGAGTAGATTTAGAGTTTATATAGTATGAAAGCTAAGTGAAATTAGAGTTTTAAAAAATATAAAAATATAAAGAAGATGAGAGATGAAAAAGAAAAAAACTAGAGATAGAGAACAAGTCATCGAAGAAGTGTTTTAAGTTTGAATAAGTTAAAAAGTTACCGTTAAAAATTTGATATAAAATTTGAGTCTAAAATAAGTTTTATCTTAATTTTGTATAAGTTTGAGTCCAAGGTTGGAGATGTCTTTTGGACTATTTTGACTTAAAATTTAAATTTGTATCTACATTTGATGGGTAATATGGGTTATTTACATGGGATATAATGTTAATTGTATTAATTTACTTAAAATTTGATATAATTTTAGTAATTGAAGGAATGTTCTCATTTTACAAATAAATAATACAAATTGGAGGAGTATTGATGGATGCTAAATGACCAAGGGTTGGAAACCAGGAAGAAGGGAGATACTCGTTAGTGTGTTGGGACGGTGATTGCCACCGCGTCCGGATGGGATATATAGAAGGGACAGACAAAGGTCTTGAAGGATTGGTGCCTATTGTCACTTGCATCTAAACGGGACTTGACTAACGTCCGAACGCGTGTTGTTATACGCCCAAGACTCTGAAATGGAGTTGTACCTTGATTAGTCCTCTTAAAAAAAATATAGATAGGAAAATAATTGTTAGATTAAGGGGGTTATTGATTTTTCTATTTTTTATGGTTTTTGCTACTATATCGGCTAAGAAGCCCAACTAAAGGTAAGGGAGAAACTTTTAATAAAATACAATATTATTATTGATTCAAGGGTTTAATGGTGTGTGCTATTCTGTTAATTTAACTTCTATTTCTTAGTAAAATTTTTGTTCTGTAAAGATTCTTGATTCGTTGTGTTCTATACATCAATCACTTCAATTTCTTTGCGAGTCAAATGACCAGATATTCTATGCTTAAGTTAATTAATATGGTTGTCACAAAATAATATTATCAGAGGATTATACGGTTAGGTCAAGAATTGTTTTGTTGAGAAAGTTTGATTTGTTGTAGACTTCGAGCACAACAGATGCTTGCAATCAACAAAGGATTGTTAGACTTTTTTGGATAAAATCTTGGTTTTAAAGAGTGATTTTTTGTATTTTTATTGCCAAATTTTTTGATTGGGATCACTTATCAGTTTGATTCTCAGTTAAGCCAGAAAACTGAGTCATTAATAATTATCGTATGAATTTAATAGGGTATCCATGATATTTTAGTATTTTAATTATTGTTTTAATCAGTTTACTTTAATCTTATCAAGCGAAACGTTTTTCCAAGAAAATGCTTCAATAAGTTTATTCTATTGAATTTGTTCTGTGACTATATTGTTTTCACAATTTCTTGGGGGTTCAATTTCAAATTTCTGAGAATATATTACTTTACGCAACCTATGGTTGGGTATACATTTTTGAAGGTGTAGCAATCCACAACAAATAGATGTTATAGATCAATTACTCAGTGTAGATTTGCATTAGTTACCCAAGCATTGACATTATGTCTAGGGTTCTTTCAAGAAAAAAAAAACTGAGCAGAACAGAAATTTTCACCAACTTGGAAGTGTGGAGTTATTTATAGAAGAAATTAAGAATATCCATACATGTCTATTTGTGAAGAGGAGAGAAGACTTGGAATATGATAAATGAAACATTTTATGGACTATCATTGGAAGGGTATAAGTAGAATCAATTGCAGCCGGGGGTGGTTACACCATCTACAACTTCAAACCCCATAGTGAGCTTCGTTGATTGGAAACGAAAAAAAGGACTGGAATTGCAGGTCCTGACCAGTTCAAGCACCCTTGAGCAATTAGCATATGAGTGTAAGGTTCAATATTTCTGTCAAAGCAGTCTTGCAGGGAGGTCAGAATTGTTGAAGAACTGAGCCTTAGAGAACACCTGAGAGATGCAGAGTCTGAAGACTATTTGTTGCCCTATTTGTGCCTCCAAGATTTCTACGACATGCTTCATGTTGTCACTGCACTTTTCCGAGGGTTCGGGTTGACACACCATGCAACAATCTGACAAACCCAAGGAAGCTTAGCTTCCCATCAGTATGCCTTATCCAGTCATTGAGAACGGAATGGACTGGGACAGAGGGACTAAGCCCGAGTTCCTGGAAGAATTATCAATAGAACAATAGATATTAGCCTATTTTTAAAGACAAAAATACAGCAACTTCGAATTGTCAGTACTGAATACAGCAGCAAAAGGTGGAGTTTTTTATACAGTCTTTGCTGTTTCTTAATCGTTTTTGTTTGAATCTGGTGGTGTTTCTTATTCAAAGCATACCAAAAGTAGATTTAACCGTAAGACTTTGCATCTTTTGCCTAAAGATGAAGGAAGCAGAGCACATCAATAAGATCACCGGCCAATGTTTTTAGGATCACTGAACCAGTAATTGAGCTAAGTATATCTTCTTAGCAATGGCTAGCCCACCTCATAACCCAACTCAACTCAAAACATATTGGGTGTCAACTTGTGCCACATCCACAAAAGAAATGAGTAACCACCTTTGACAATCGTTATGAATGAACCAGTGCTAGCACAGCAGAATTTAATACTAGAGTTCTGTGAGAAAACACTGAAGTACCATGGATGAGGGAAATAACTGAAGGAATGAAATTTTGGCATCAAACCACCAAGATTAACAAAAATGTTATTGCTCAGTTAATTGAAAACTTAGCTGAGAACCAACAAAATATAAAATTTGAGTCATCTGACCCATCCTTGGTTTCTCTAATAAAATGTCAAAGCAGCTACCATATGCTTTGTATGATCATGTTGAATATAGAATAAGCAAAAGTTTTGGGCAACTTTGATGCCATAATCCAAGCTATGGAATCCACAGCAATGACTCCTCCAATGCCCAAACAGAAGGATTTGCATATAAATGGAAAAATGGCATAACTAAGTCGATCCAATTGTGCAAAAGAGTAGGAAGGTATTTGGGTATTGCAACAACAATAGGCTTCCTGTCATTTATAGGGGATTCAGGAATACGCCACAAAAGTTGTGGAAGGTATAGAAGCAAATTCACAACTTCAGGGTCAGCTATGCTGGCTTATTGTGTTCAACAGTCCCTTGTGTGCTGGGCTAGCAGGATTGTTGTGTGTTGTCCTTAGATGGTTGCCTGCTTTTGATCAATGACAATTGAAAACCATCATCATAATGCTCCTCATGTCTACCCTAGCCACCAAACAACATCCAGAGAGAGGAGAAAAAAAGAACTGAAATAACAAGATGTTGATTCTATAGGCTAGGTCTATTTATTCACTAAAATGCTTCTTTGATTCAACTAATAAGAGAAAGATCCCTCTGTCTACAATTTTCTCTTAGCATCTCAAAGCATATGGCTAGTGGATTCTAAGAAGTGGACTTTCAGAGGTAAACTTTGTCAGCAATGAAAATTATTCTAAAATGACATGCACAGCTGAGAGATTAAAAAAACGAACAGGTTCGTTGGATTAGGTCACAATTTTCCAGCTCAGGATCCAAATTGACCCTTGTCTATGACAGTATTTTCAGCTGGAACAGTCGGTATTAAAAAGACAACAGTTGAAGCCAAAATTCAAGTCCCACACTAGATACACAAGTAGAAACAGTATTGTTTGCAATATTTATAAGAAGAAACCCAGATCATCACAATCTCTTCCACATCCTGAGAACCAAAATACGAACCCATATTTATTGCAATGCACAGCCAGTTCTTATTCTTATGAAGCATCTGAACCATGAATTTCTTTTCTGAGCTTATTTAATTTCTCAACCAGATGTAATTTGGTTTGACATTGTTTTTGAAACATACTAAAACCTCTCAGAAATGTAAGAAAACTCCACTTACTGATGCAAGTTCTTCAATGACAATCGCCCTGTTCCCATCTTTCTCAAAAATTTCATATGCGCGACGAGCATGTTGTTCCCAGCGATCAAGTGCCTCCAGCTGCTGGACACTTAATGCAGCTGCACAGAACTCTTCAAAATCCAACCTTCTGTATTGAAGTGTATTTAGCTGTCTCAAAGAAATTATACACAGCTAATATTATAAGCTATAACCATACTAAAAATCATGGACCAGCTACACAAATAAGCAGTGGTTAGCTTATTACCGAAGAAAGGAAATCAGGGATGTGGGACTCCTTCATAGCATCGGTTGCATTTTTCATCAGGGACTGCTCAGAAAAATTTGGCATCAGAAAACGTAAAATATAACCAACCAGTAACCCAAAATAAAATTATAATGAAAGAAACCAACCATTCTAATATTTTCTAAGGTGATGCTGCCATTTTTGCTTGAATCCAACAGTGCAAACTGCTCCTTCAGATAGCAAAGTTCATCTGCAGTCACTGTCTTAGACAGGGCCTGCCAGGAGATTCACAAATATGAAATGGTATATGTTTATTATGGCAAAGTAATAAAATCTGGAAACTTTAGAGAGCAGAGATATACCAAGTCATCTAACCACCAAACTTACAATCCACTATCATATGTTTGCAGAATGACTTGTATTCGCTTCTTTTTTTAACAAGCAATTAATCAAACTATTGTAATGATTTGGTCTTCACTATGCGAAGTAAAATCCAAGGAACACTCAAAATTATTGTGACAGACTAACAGAGGTCAAATGTCAGCCACCGCCAAAGTGAGACCGATTCTTGAGGACAGTTAAGCTCTGATAACACAAATTTCAGACATCATATTATGTCACAACCTGAAGATGGCTCATCCAATCTATCCTATTAATCAATGAGAAGGGTTTGTCCCTATGGCAGTTTTGGATTGGAAGAAGTAATGGTTGTAACATAACCTGCTATCTTTTTCTTGTCTTTTTTTGGGTAAGTTACTATCCTTTTCTTGTCACTTGGCATGGTAATAGTGCATAGACAGAAAGAGTAGCACGAGGGGAAGTGCATTCTCATAGCACATGCCCACCCAAGTAGAGTGTAAAAGAAATACAAAAACTATTCAAATTGGAAAATCTTTTCTTTTTTTCTAATAAGCACAAACTGGAAATTGTCATCGATATGCATATATTTCAGAAGAGCTTCTTCAAACATTAACATAACACAAGGAAAAAAACAGCCTTCTGATAAACAGCAATATAATAAAATTGGGCATGCCAAGACAAGCAGAGTTGAGACCGGTAAGTTTTGCTATTTTCAGCAGTCTAATCATATACACACCCTTAAAGCAGCCTTACGCAAAGATGATGATCGCATATACGCTTTCATTTGTCTGAATATAAGAATATCAAGTGGGACTCTTGCATCATTGCAGTTCCGAATCCAGGCATGACCTGCAAACAAAAGATTGTGAACAGTCTGAAGGGCAAGAATCCAGAATCCTAGATCTTTGGTTTGCGCTTCAAAAACTAGTATCTTAAAACAGTTTTTGAGAAGAGTTTTAAGAAAATGATTTTAATATTTTTTGAGATAAAAAACTTGTTTGGTTGGATGATTTCAAAAATAATTTTATAATACAGAAAATAGTAAAACCTGTTTGGACAGCCTAAATATATATTTGAACAGTAATTCAAATATTAATAAAAAAATATAAAAAATTTATTTTTATATTGACAATTTATTTTTATTATATATTATAATATATAATATATATTATGAGAGAGAAGAAAAAATAAAAAAAAAAAAAGAATGAAGAAATTTGCTGTTAAAGAAACTCGAAAGGCAGACCTCATTAAAGTTCAAAGTTGTTCTCCTTATTTTCAAAATTTTCAAAGAATATTCTGAAAATAAGTTAAACTTGTTTTCTGTTTCTTTAACTCAAATCTCATTTTTTCTCAAAATTTTAAGAACAAAAATGATAAACAAACTAATTTTGGAAGTTTTTAAAATTTTGAGAACAAAAAATAATTTTGAAAAAGTTAACCAAATATGACCCTAATTTTGTTTTTTTTGGAGAGAGTAAACACTCACTTAGAGCCTGAGCAGCGGTCATCCGTTTCCGGGGGTCTTTATTTAATAGACGCTTGACAAAGTCCTTTGCTTCTGAAGACAATGAAGGCCAAGGTGCTTCATCAAAACTTGGATTGGCTTTTAGGACTGCCCGAAAAATGCCAGATTCAGTCCGGGCCCAAAATGGACGACTACCACATAGAAGAATATATGCTATCACACCTATACTCCATACATCTGCATCTGTACTGTAAGACCTGTGGAGAACTTCAGGTGCCACATAGTATGCACTTCCAACAATGTCATTGAGCTTTTCATCTGCACATTGCTGCAAGTATTGAACACCCTATCCAAACTCCAAAGGCTAAAAGGAACAGATACATCATATGAATTCAAGTGGCGAGGACAGACCTGGTCTGACAATATCCGATAAGCCAAAATCTATGACTTTCAACTGGGAGTTTTCTTCCTTAGAGGTATACAGGAAATTCTGATCCATTGGATAACAATAATTAGATGACACCAAAAGTAACCACAACCTCATCGTCCACAAATTTTTCCAAACCATAGCACTAGAACACAACTATCCATCTATTATTGTTGGACAAAACATGTAGAGGAAATGATGCCTTTCGCCAGTAAACACCACCCACTATAAGGAGTACCACAAAGAATCTTATCATATTGAAGAGAGGCAATCCACATCTAAGTACTAAATTTCTGTTTTACCCCAAATGTAATTTTCATATAATTACCTTCCGAAAAAAATTAAATCATATGATCAAACAAACGGATTTGATTACACAATATAAAAATATGGCATTTGGAAGTCAACGACCTATATGATAACAAAGGTTTACAGCTTTGAAAAGGAGAAAAAAGGAGAAAGGTGTGGGGGAGAATCTGTTAGAAATGCAATGATTATTGCTAAGGTGTAATCTAACACATGAAGTCAATATGTCCAATGAAACATATAAAAATTCATGATAGAGGTAGCCTCATTTGGCAAAATGTGTTCAACATAAACCATACATTAATGGTATAAACCATTAATAAAACAAGCAATGTAGGTCTGATAGTGTGACTTAAATATATTACTGTACCTGTTGTTCCAAATTTCATAGAACTATCTAGTTTGATTGCCAACTTTTACCTTTCAAGAAAGGTCAGGTCTGATTATCAATTTTTAACTTTCAGGAAACATCTCCAATTCCCCTAAGACGAAAAATTCAAAACCTTAAACAACGACACTTAAAAAGTTTGGACTTAGACTGCCAAATATTAATTGAAATACCAGCATCGCTGAAGTTAGAATATGAAGCAAAGATCAAAGGGCACCCCGGTATGCTTGTTACAATGATCAAATCAACAAGTCACAAATAAGGTGATTTTTTTCCTTTTATTATGTTCCCTTGAATAGCAGTTGGACCAGATCTTTGTAGGGGCACGCTCGTGGTAGAATGTTCAATGAACCAGTTGGTTGCTCTTTAATTCCATATCAACAGAATTGTTATGATACCTCTTGAAAAAGCATTCATGGGTTCCAAATGAGTGAATCCACTCTGGTTTATGTGGGAATATGTTTTACCTCTGGTTTAAGATCACGATGCACCACACCCTGGAGATGACAAAAGGCAACCACGTTCAATATCTGGACCATAATAGCCTTTGCATCACCTTCTGAGTATTTCCCACCCCTACAAAATTAATGAGAATACAGCCAATCATAGTATCAGATATAACCAAATCAATGAAAGAACAAACAAATAACCCCAATGATGAAGCCATAAAGAACAAGTAGGAACATAACCATACTAATAAAAGGAACACCTTGCAAGTATTCTATCTAAGAGCTCCCCTCCTTGGCACAACCTGAAATAGGCGTAAAACTAGTTAACTGCCCATGTGATTTCTGTGATAAGTATGCAATAAGTAATCCTTCCAAAAATTTTAATGTCAACCCAGGTAACGAAAGCTCCAATATACTATATGCTAGCCTTTGATACAGTAAATTAAGTTTCGACTTATGTCAATAGTCCTCACTGAAGTGTCAAGCAAATACTAAATTGACCTCAAACAATTATTACAAAGTCTAACAGCTAATGATATTTCACTAGTGATATAGGATCACAAGCAAAAAACAGTTTTAGAAGCTTACTCCATTACTATATAAACATTATCAAGGTCTTCGAACGCATCATAGAACTGTACAAGATTGTTATGTCCTGTCAAGGCTCGCAATATTTTCACCTCCCTTCTCACATCCTCAACTGCAATAGCTGTTGTCAGCTGACAACAAAAATTTACATCAGACGAGAATATTAAGTTTCATAACCCCAACTAAGAAGCGTAATATGAAATTTGATGAACATGCCATACAAGTTATTGTTCCGGACTAGAAACAAAAATCTTCACACGGAATTATTTGTCTTGGACCAAATAGTAACTAACACATAACAATCAAAATACAATGAAATTCCATGCCTTTTCTACCAAATTACTTCCAACATTCCTTCCTACCAATTCAAGTACAATGAACCCCATATGATCCATGCAATATATTCATGAAGCAGGACAAGCATCCGTAAAGTCTTTTCTCCTAAAGAATTTTTTACTCTGTCAATTAAGTGGCCAGAAGTCCTCTGGCTGGGGAATTAAGGTGCACACTTTTTTTCTCCTTTCTCTTTTCATTTCTTACGAGTACAAATACTATACCTCTTAGGAACTGATACAGGTGTACATAAAAGGGTGCTTAGCAACACAAGACATCACCAACCTAATTTTAGGATAAGACTCAAACATACTATACAGTACCATGAAGGGTTCTCCAGTATGAATAGAAAGTCTTTCTAATGATATTAGCATAGAGAAATGGAAGCATGACCTTCTCTTCTTCACCAAATTCGTATTCAGTGACTTTTTTGATTGAAATCATGAGACAAAAAATGAACTGGCTCGATTATGCATAAATTCACTGGTAGGGCCAAAATCTATTTTAGACAGATTATACATGTTCACTGGTAGGGCCAAAATCTAATTCTAACATAAATTAAACAAGTTGGGCAAGGTCAAGACACCAAACAAGTTAGGCACTTGATGCATTGCACACCCGGAAATCCATGAACGGAAGTTAAATTAGGGTTTCCAAAGCAGACACTTCAGCAACTCAAATCCCTTTCAACATACTTTTTAATATTTTAACCTAAGAAAGATCCATACTTTTTTTCCACTTCTATAAGACTAGAAAATTTTCAAAAACAAATATAAAAATAAATAAACAAATCACTATCATCACTGTGCCTCCCCAAGAAAGAAATAAATAAATGGGTGATGCAGTTTTGATCTTTATCACCATTAACTACATATACAATTCTCCCTGACTGAATCAATTTCAAGAAATCAAGACACCCAAAAATTTGTTCGATTTCAAAGCAAAAAATTTTGTTGGCATATACACATAAAAAACGAATATAGATATTCAGATAGAGGGTTTAGATCGAGGGAGCAAGGGGAAAAAGGTCAAACCTTGGCCTTGGGTATGACCTTCACAGCAACTTGTTGACCCTGAAGGTCACCCTTCTTAGACCTAGCCGAACAGGTATACCCAAAATGACCTCGTCCCACCTCTTCGCCAACCTCATACTTACTAGTAAACTGCTTCGAAAATCCAAAACTCTTATCCAACTTCCCAACATCGCTCCCCTCCGTCTCCGCCGCATTATTCGGCTTCACGGCCACGTGCCGCCTCACCAGCATAGCCTTAATATGCTTCACCGGAGACGGCGGCGGAAAAGGACGCTTGAAAACCCTCCGCGGCGTCGAATTGGCACTCCCGGAAGGTAGCGCCGGAGATTTCTTGGAGAAAAAGTAGTGAGCGGGGCTAGGACTGTAGAAGGGGAAGAGCGGCGATTTTTTCCCATTCCCTGCATAGTTATTTCCGTCTTCTCCGGCGACTGATTCATTCGCCGGAGTTCTCGTAGGGTTAGTGTTTTCTTCTTCTACGGTTTCTCTGGTGGCGTATGGATTGGGCTTGGGAGGTTTGGAGGTGCAGGTTCCCATGGTACCCGTCTGATCGGAGAGTTGAGACTCAGAGTTTCAATGGAATTTCTCGTAAATTCATTGAGAAAGACGGGAGGAAATAGAATGGTTCTCCTTCGCTGGGGTGGTGGGTAACATGGTATCACCGTTCACGTCAAGGAGTAGGCGGATGGTGGAAGAAGAGGACAGAGATAGTTGTCATGTGCAACACATTGATGACGTGGCGTCCACATGAATTTCGAGTAATTAGCATTAAATACTGTCACAAAGCGACAATGGTCTGGGTGTTGTGCTGTATATTTATTCATCATCCTCTCAATAATTTAAGGAAATATAAAAATAAAATAATAATTTATTTTCTATTTAATCGCATACACATCAATCTGTATGACTGTATATACATCTGTATTAATTTTTTTTGTTACAGGGTATTTAAGTTTGTATCGAATATTTTCTCGAGTTCGGATATTATCTACGAGTTCGAATAATGATCACCATATTCTAAATGAGTTTAAAATATATCCTTGAATAACAAGAGTGAACGGCCCTTTTTTTTTTTTTTTTTTTTAGCTAAAAGGTGTTCAGGCATTTGCCGACTATTCCTCTAGTTCAACGGTTGGTCCCCTTGATTTGAACTAGTATAGAACAAGTCTCGAAAGAAACAAGGATGACTAAACTGTGAGAAGAGATTGAACACGAGACTTCTGTATTATCAAATAACAGACTTAATCAATGAATCACCCTTAAAAATTAGAGTGATTGAACCAAATATAAAAAAATATTAAATTTGAGATATCGCTTGAATTCAATGTGATTTCGTATTTTTAAGTATGAATTATTTGCTAATATTGTCTATATTAGCAAATTAATTATTATATTATGTTATTCACTAAGCCGACAAAAAATTCGGTTAAATAACCGTGACATGACATTGTCCACTTCAAATCTCCAAGTCCAATACGCCGCCAGCAAACGAATAAGATCAGCCACACAAATGGAAAATTATATATATATATATATATCCCGATCCACAGGAAAAAAAAAAAAAAAAAAATCATAACAGTCAATTCTAGAATCAAGTCAGAAGGCCATGTTCATTACTTCATTGTCTTTTGTAGCCGTAAATTGGGAATTGATGAATGTCTATCGTATCGGACAAAAAAAAAAAAAAAAAATCAGACATTATACTTTTATTATTATTGTGGTATCTGCTCTTTAGGCCAATTTAAAGATCAAATTTCACTTCAAAAACTAGTTTAAATAGCTCTATAAGTGAGATAATTTTTTTTGTATAAAAAAAATAGTAAAAATAATTTATATAACAGTGATAAAAATATCCACAAAAAATAATAATTTTTTTGTTATAAAATGACTCACAAAAATTATAAAAACATCCATTGAAAATAATAAATTTTAGATGTACAGTACCAAATTTTTTTGTCGCTCCCATAGTCAAGTCCTAAATTGAAAGAAAATCTAGTTTGATCGTTTATCATGAAATTTCTAAATTCTCTTGATAAATGAATTTAATTTAAGAAACTTGTAATTTGACTCAAACATGTCCGACTCGACTCAAATTGATTGCTCATAAAATAATTTTAACATTATTGTCAAACAACATCTATTCAGAAAACTAACTACTATAAATTTATCACCAAATAGTTTAGGACCAATCATGCTTTTCTAGATTTTTGTTAATTTTGAATTTATAGGGTTTGATTTTATGCTTGATTTTACAGACTTTTGGGGTGCTTATCTAGAATTTGATTACTTTAAGATTGATTATTAATTTTGCATGATTTAACTTTTGAATTTTTTGTTGAAAACTTGAGTTTAATTTCTCTGAATCGAATGATTGTAAAATATATATCTCCAATTCTAACTTGAGTGAAAATCTAAACCCGATAATTTAGTTTAGTTTGTACTCGAGCTTAACTAGTCACAAACAAACTCAATTTACATATTATGGGTCAACATGCTAGATTCAAATAATCCCTTCTCCCCACCCCCTCCTCACATTCTTTATTGATGGAAAAATTGGATGCAAATAAAGTGAATGACAGAGTGAAGAGCGGACTAAATCACCCTCTTAAGACGATTTGCTCCTCCTTATAAAAGAATCAAAGCGCAGAAGGCAATAACACATCGTCTTCAGAATCCAACAACTCAATCTATTGACTATTGGTTCACTCATATCTGCACAATTGAATAAAGCGACCCTGCACACGTGAGAGTCTCAATATTTTTCTTTAATTCAAAGGCTAGATAACAATAGTATATATATATATATATATATATATATATATATATATATATATATACTCAAATATTTTTTGATATTTAATCGATGTGAGATTGAATTTTCACACATAAAAAACACACTTTTAATTAAAATATTCTAACACTCAGTAAAAGGAATGAACAAGTGGAGCAGAGCTCCCCTAATGTACATGATGATTTTGAAGAAGAACTACTCTCTTGTATTTTTTTGAAGAACAACACTCAGAATAGAAGAGGTATTGTTGTTCAAAATAACACCATTTTATGTATGTTATTTTTAAAAAAATAATACCATTTTACATATAAAGTAACGTCACTCATAATGCCCCCAAAAAAAGAACAAGTGAGCTTCATCATGACAAGTCATTGGAAAAAAAATTCGGTGGGATGATAGGACAGAGTGTTATAATTTGGTTCGTATCGTGTCTGACCCGTTTCCACTCGAACATACCAACTGTTCTGGTGTACTACAAAGCCCCACCCCATAACTCATTCCACACACTGCATATAACTCAACAGTGGAGTTGTTGCCCATCTCAAACTATAGACATATAAGTAAGCCCCGTTTGGTAACGTGTTCGTTTTTTAAAATCGGTCCTCGTTTATAAAATGGTGACAAAAACGAAAAAATAAAATCGGTTATCAAATGAATTTTTTTTTTGTTTTCTCTAATTATCAAAATAAAAATAAAAAACAAAAACGAAAAATAAAAACATTACCAAATGGGGCCTTATTTATTTATTATTTTAATTTGGTCAAAGACAGACCATCTACAATTAGAATTATTCATGATAGATAAATCCCTCATGGTCTGATTCCAAAAAATTGTTAAAATTGAAACTCAAGATGACTTAGAGTTCATCTATGTTACTACTTGATCTACTATTGAGGTTAAATTAATACTTTATTGATTCCACATTATTCGAATTAGTTCAATGATCAAATAAAATATGAAGCATAAAAATAGAGGGATGTTACGTAGATTTAAAAAGTATATTTGATAATCATAACCATTAAATAGGTAATGAATCTCAATAAATGTTGAGACTCACAATGAAATCAATGATTGTAATTTTTAAGTTTAATTTTTTTAAGTCCATATAACATTGCTCATAAAAATATTTTCTGTAAAAGTGTGCCCCAATTCATCTATAGCTATTGGATCAATAATAAGACCCATTGATCTAATGACCGTAGATAATTTAGTGTACATTTTGGTGCATAGTTTTGATGTACATAAAATTGCTCAAAGATGGATTGTAAAGTGTAAGTTTTGAATTTAAGTTTTTTGTTTGTATAAAACCCGAATTATTTGATATAAGCGATTCAATTCAAAATTTATCTTGTAATTATAAATTCAAATAGCACGATTCTCTTTTAAAAAAAGGGCTTAGTGCATGAGTGATTAGAGGATTTGAAAATGGTCAAATCTATGCAATATTACTCCTACATATAAAAAACCTTGTTCCCGAGATCGCAATAATAAATTATAATGTAGGAAATATGTATATTATGGGACCTTAAAAAAAAAAAGGGTATTCCAAGGAAATTAGAGTTTGGATTCTTTGGAATTTCTTTCCTCTTGGTCATCATTTTGTTGAGGTACACATCAATATGAGTGGGGTTCCCCAGTAAGTGTCATTGTTAGGGAATAAATAACCTCTCACTTTCTATACATAATCAAGTTTGTCTTTGAAAGAAAGGGGACATCAAATTTGACCACACCATCAGCTACAATTCAGACACTTAATCAATGCTCTTTAAATTATAATTATTACTTCACTTTCCTGCAGGTAATTCTAGATGTGGGTACAATATTCTTCTCCCACTTAATAATACCTTTTTTTTGTTAAATCGTATTAATTCGACCCGAAGGTGTTGTAGGCCGAGAAATATAAAATGATTGAAGGTGTTAAATAAGTGGTAAATGCGGGAATGTAAGTACTAGAGATTTTTTAAGTTTAAGCGATTCGCTCTGCTGAAGAGTAAGATTAGATCACTGTAATGAAAATTCTTGTTCTTTTGACTATGTATACGTATTTTTTGAGGTAAGAGATGAATACAGTCCATTCTTTTCTTTTTAAGGCAACGTACATGTATACCCTTTATACATTGGTAATTATTTCTTTTATAAGAGAAATGTCAAAGAATACTTGAAAAATATTTTGTGGTTAGAGATCTTTTCTCCATGGTGTGGCGTAATATTTTAGTAAGTGATAACCAACTGTCCAAGGTAGGGTTTTCAGTGAAAGTCTTCTATCATTTATGATAGTTTTCTTGTTAATGGTTAGCTTTTAGAGTCCCACTGTTGCTCTGGTCTCTTTCAGTTTAGCTTGGTACATGATGATCCGCCTATTCTATCTAATATTTGAACTATCGACCTGACTTGTTTATCATTTGAATTGACGTTTTCATTTGGTGTCATCACAAGCTATTTCGTAAGGATAGTTCGAATGAAAACTTTAGATATCATTACTTTCATATTTCAATTCTTGTAAAAGTGTCTTGATTTTATGTAATAAGTGGAATTGTTGGTAGATCGTATCGTATTATATTCGTATATAAATCAAAATTTATTCAATTCATACTCAATTCATTTATAGTTTTATATCATCGGGTTTGTGTGGATCTATTTATCTAACGAGTCTAATAAGTCTATACATTTACAACTCAAACCCACTAATACTCAATCCACCCTATTAATTCCATAAAGTCAAACCCACTAAAATTCAATCTATCCTATTAATTTCTTGTCGATTTCGTATTTAATATTGACGATTCTAATTGTAAAGTGAGAGAAGCTTCATCAGAGTATAAATGCCGTAACATGTCATGCACGGCACGGCGAATCTTCAAAGATCATTCAATACAATCGAAGGTCTATGTCTGTAAGACATTGATGTTGTTTTAATCAAACTTTAATATGGAGACATGGGCTGTGAGAGGAGAGCTCACCCGGAAGTTGGTTTTTTTTTTTTTTTTTTTTTGTGTTGGTTAGAAAAGGGGTGGAGGCAAGGAAGAACACCCAGCGATCACCCGGTTCCTAATAGGCCCTGATCGATGGGATCATAAGGTTCCTGATCGCGTTTGAAATACCTTTTGAGACTAGACCTAACTAGATTAGCAAAACAGTCAACTATCAAATTTTAATAAAAATTCAAGACTCAAACTCCCAACCTCAAAATAAATAAAGAGTAAGACAAGCATCCCACGGGACCACCTTTTTGGTGGTTCACCAGGAAGTTGATGCACTCTACTCTTTCATTAATCAAGAACGTGCCACAACTATCCTTTTTTCCAACAACCAACCAACTAATATAACTTATTTGGATGTGTACGATAATATTCGTGGAAGAAGATTTTACAAAGTCTTTATAACTTCATAATACTTTTTTTAAGGTTATTTCTTTTTCTTTTTTTCTTTATTAGGTATTGATAATAATCTCGTGTTTGAATATATTATATAATATTAAAAATTGAATTGATCTTGAGATATTTGTATTTTAAATTATAATTATTTTTTTAATTCCACAATTTTAAATTAAAATGAGGAGAGAAATATGTGTGAATTGATGAGATTGTTTGACATTAAAAAATATGTTGATTGAATTGTTTAGCACTGCCTTTTCAAAAAAAAAAATTGTTTAGCATTGAGGGTCGTACAGAGATATTAGAGAAGTTGATTTTTTTGAGGGAATTTTAAACTACAACTTAGTTTTTAAAATCTTAATAAATTCAAGTAATTCGTCTAACCCGAGTATAGCTATAATGTTATGAATTTCTTTCTAATGTAAAAGGAATTGCTAGAAAGTGTCAATTGCTTGACATAAAGCTCGTGGGGTGTCAATTTGTTTCATGTGTTTATATATTTTTGTGTCATTGTTATTTATATCGTATTCTAATTAAGACCCACAAATAAAAATTTTTATTTAATGCGTTTTAAGTATTAAATATTAATCTAAATAATTTATTATACGTATTTAACAATCGTATTAATTTTAGAATCATGTCTTATCGAGTTCAGGTTAAAAATATCAAGAGTTGACACCTCTAGGTTTTATGCCTGGACTGTTATCATCGGATTCGGGAGTTGTTATATGGCAATTAATTTCATGTCGGATCAAAGAAACCGACTTCCTCAAAAAAAAAAAAAAAAATACTTCAAAGCAATCACTTCACACAGATGCGTTCAAATTCAAATAGGTTGAACGGGTAAAAAGGTCAACCCAAATTATAAAACACTCAAAACCAAATTCAATCCTTACCCTTCAACCTCAACATTGTCTCTTCAACCTGAGCATTGTCCATGTTTAAATATTTACCCTCGTGTTATAGCTGGGTTGAAATCAAACTCAACTCAGGTTCAATTCTCAAGTAGCTTAAGTTCGAATTTAGTTACAGGTTGAACCTGAGTTAACTAATTTAGGTTTGGTTCAGGTGGGTTCCCGAAGAACCCGAGCCCTCAACCTAGGACATTTTGCCCAAATACAAGATATTTCGGGTTATCGGGCCCCACCCAATATTGACCCATAGACAACATAGGATATCATGTCACATACCAAGTTGTACATCCAATTCATTTACTCAATGTCCCCAGGAAATCTAAACTGAATATGTGTGTAAACAAATAATCTATCAGCATAAAAATTCTTGTCAAGGTGTTTGATTGAGAAGAACCAGTCTCTCTCACTCTACAGTACAGGCCTTTGATATTTTAGGCTCAATCAAAGTTTTCAATCTTGATGGGTGTAATCTCATCAGCTACGACGAAATGTCCCACGGTACGAGCAAAAAACACCATCTGTTGCTCCAGAGTGAACTTAATGTTTTCAGCCTGTGAAGAAACAATTAAATCAGGCTTTTAAACATATGTCTGGACTCTGAATTCTAATCCTAGTTTAAACCAAAACAATATTCCATGATTCCAACTTATTCAACGAAATTATCAGTCTGATACAATTCATGGGTCGAGAACTTAGTCTTGACAACCAATTTATAAAGAAAGAGTGTCCAAGAGTTCAAATACACACGTCTCAGCCCAGACTAAGCTAAATTGCATACAAGTGAGGAGTTTTAAGTTCTAAAAACGCATCCGCGTGAAAACCAGATGTTAAATTCTTGGAATTATATTTTTTATGGGGAGAAAGGGTTATGGCTAAAATGGAAAGTACTGATTCACAACTGTAAATAAGTGCGGATAGATTTACAAAATGTTATTTACCTTGCGAAATCCATGAGGCTCTCCTTCGTACTCCACAAGAGCAACAGGTAAACCCTTTCTGTTCAGGGCCTGATAGATTTTGCGCGCTTGCTCTGGATGCACGACCTATGACCAATTATGTTTAATATACACAGTAATATAATGAGGACAGTTTGGATATCCCATAAAAGGGGGTCATCATGAAGCAAAAATGGGAAAAAATGCTGGAGTTATTTCCATTTACACTAAATAACCGACTTTAGGGCATCCAATATACATATACACAACTAAATATACTTATCACAACTCAACAAAGCCTTCTGCCAATTCGTGTAGGCTTGGCTACACAAATCACATTACCCCATTGTACTCCATTAATGGTCATACTTAATATAAAGCAATCGTACTTTTTTTAGAAGTTTATTTAAAGTTAATTTTGGTCTTTCTTTACGCCTTCAATTATCATCGATAGCTATCACATCGCTTTTTCTGACTAGTGTCATAATAGGTATTCTATATATCTGTTCAAACCACTTATGTCGATTATCTCTTAATTTATCCCCTTTGTCTGTTACCTCTATGTTTTCAAGGATATTCTTACTCCTAATCCTATCTTTCATTCTTTCCTAATTTACCACAGATCCATCTCAACATTCTCCTTTTCGGCTAGACTCATTTGGTTAACATGTTTTTTAGATAAAGTATGACATAAATATAAGGGTGTATACATGTAGTCCAAATGCCAGCTAAAACAAATTCACTATTCTTGCTAAATAGAACAACATGAATAAAAAAACAACTTAGGGGAAGCACTTGCTGTGTAGCTGTGTACCTTGTCATCCAACCCTTGGAACAAAATTATGGGGCAGGAGAATTTATCTACAAAGTTGATGGGAGACCTCTCAAATAATGTGGCTTCGTCCCCTGTCATCAGAGGAAACATTGACATCCCAGTGTAACAGAGATTAACCACAAGTCAATGCAAGCACTTAAATTCAAGTATTTACCAGCAAGATTACTAATATAATGGCATTCAAATTTGTGCATATCTGCTCTCAAAGAGTTCAAATCAGCAATCTGCTCATTCCAAAACAGCAGACAAGGGTTAGTATTCCCATCTTTCAATGAAAACTGAATCTTTCTTGATGAAAATTGAATCCTCATCCTTGCGTACTCCCATCGTTTTCTTCTTTCTTTTTTTTGGTGGGGGTGGTTGAGGCGGAGGACGAAAATATATCAACCGAAGAAATAATAAACTCTCATATTACAAATCTAAAAGGTTGTTGATTTTTCAATAAAAAACATAGAACATGTCATAGGAAATACAAGTAAAAAGAAATGCAAAACATAGAGCATGAAATAGCTCTTAGGGTGCCCTTAAGAACTACGGAGTATGAGCAAATATCCCATCCAGACTATTTACAATCGTCATATGGTCATCACTACACAGAGAAAATCTCATAGAGGCAGCAGACCCAGGCCTTGACTTTTATCCCCTACTTTGATTAAATGATGTAAGGATAATATAGACATATTATATAAGTCTATCCTTGCACCATAGAGGACTATCATACATGAAAACATACACAGCTGAAAGCAAGGGTTTCACTTGTGGGGTATTCACAATCTAGTCCTACAAACTTTAGTTGATGACTTGGAGGACAAGCAGACAAAAGAGTACAGGTTGACCATTTGATGACAGTCACTCGCACTGTATTAAATCGTGTAGGAGACCTGTGGCAGTGACACATTAATCGTTATTTCCTTATTTTACCCGAAAAACTATGAATGAGGCATGCCTGGGTTAGTTTGCAATAATCTGACGATGCCCACATAGTGGAGATATATTTGTTAACATGGTATGTATATAGTATTCTTGTAGTAGACTAGGAAGGGAAGAATTAGGAATGATAAGAGAAGAAGAAAGGGATGAGAAAAGCGAAAGAATTTGATAAGAAAACAATATCAGTATTCAATAATAATCAAAGTCTAAATAACAACCTTACATTCATTCCTTTATATAGGGAAATTAAAACCCTAAAACAAATAAATAATGACATATAAACCCTCAAAAGTTAAACGAAAATACTTAAAAGATAAATATTAAAAATATCCAAATTACTCTCATGATTAATCTAAAATATCTATTCAATTCCTACACAATATCCATCAATTCTTTTATTAAATCAATAGGTTTCAGAATTTCAGTGGATAAATTAAAATATGAATGGAATTATCCAATTATATGAAGTTCAAGGATCAAAATTTCGTTTCGGTGCATAATTTCAGTGAGCTTAAAAACGGAAACATTTCGGTAATGTTTCAAAAACATTTCAAAAACATGATAGAAAAAAAAAATTTGAAAATTTGTTTCTTAAACATTGGTTGAAACAACCAAAACACCTCGGAATTTTGATATTCAAACAATGATTCGTTTTAATTTCCATGGAAACGGAAACGTTCTGGAAGTTTCAACCGTTTCGAAACGAAATTTAATTCCTTGATCAAGTTTATATATACTTATGCACATATATCAAACTATTTGGGCTAATTAGAAAGAATTTTAAGCTAGAATGGACAGGCATTGCCTAATATATATACCTACTTCAAGCAGAACAGGCCCTTTCAAAGAGAAAAATTTAAATCATGCTATCCTTCATGAGCAAATGAGCAAAAATGCATCACAATCAAGCAGTGGGACACCCACTCACACCAAACAATGACGCTCCAGCCTTGAATGTATCTCTGAATGCAAGAGAAGCCAATGTCGTATAACCACCAGCAGAGCACCCCGATATGCAAACCCGCTCACCATCCACCTTCCCATGATCCACCTTTACCAACAAATAACACCGTCGAAAGTCTCCTATATCAGTAGACAAAAAAAGAAGAAAAATGCAGGGAGCTGGAACCACGGGGACAAGGAAATTACCAAAAACTTAGCACAATGGCAACAATCATTGACATCAACGACTCCCCAAGACCCCAAGAGCTGTTGTCGATATTCTCTGCCGTAACCTTCAATTCACATTCATAATGCCTTCAGTATATAATAATGATAAATGATATCTGAAAATCAATTTGGTTTGTAGAGCCGACTCTAAAACTATATATTGAATTCTGGAAATTGGTGGAGCAGTATAAAGTTGAGTTTAAGCACCGGTTTTCACCAATAAAAGAAACCTAGTTTAATTCCATAGATATGAAAGCTAAAATCTAAAGAAACTGATTCAGTGTGACAACAAACCAGTGCTTCCTCTATAGTTAACATCCACAAATGCCCAGCCTCGACTAGTCCAATATTGGATATTAAAATTTAAAATTCCATGTGCCTCGTCAGTTGGCCCTCCTGTCACATCAACACATAATGAACTATGAATGACTTCAACATTGAAATAATTCATGTTGTTTTCAGGTATAAGAATCAGGAATATCATTCTTACAACAGTAATTACTCATTAGGACTTCGGTTAGTTCACAAATGGCAAAATGCAAACTTCCCTAACTGTTATCAGCTACAACTGGTAAGAAGAAATAACTGCTATCAGCACATTAACTACTTCAGTATCCACCTGTGAAGCTGCCATAGTACTATGAATAGCATCTTCAAGAAGAAACTTATTACTACCTTTGTTAATGCACGCACGGAAAACCTCACTAACCTTTATCAGCTACGACTTGTTAATAAGAAATAGCAGCTATCAGCAAACTAGATACTTCAGTATCCATGAGTGAAACTACCATAGTACCATGAATATCAACTTCCAGAGGAAACTCATTCTGGTAATATTCATCTTGCATCACGTGGCAGATTACTTTTTAGCTCTCTCTCTCTCTCTTGTGGGTTTTTTTTTCTTTTATTTATTTATTTATTTGGGGGGAGGCTACAAAACAGATAACATGACTATATTTTTTGAGTGATTCAAATACCCTCATCACCTGCTGATGAACATTTAGCATGAAGAATGCCATAATAAATGCTCGATTACGTAGTAGCTACTGAAGCACATAGAAGGGAGTCCATAACACTATAGGACAGTAAAACATACCATGGCTTTCCAATAGTAGTGGAGGTTTTTCTTCCTGATTGGCCTGATAATGTGGGTTGCAAGGTGGGTAAAAATATGCATAGGCATTTTGACCAGCAATATCCGTTGGAAATTCAAAGAACTCTGGCATGCTAAAATATGGTTTGTGCTTTTGACTCTCTGAAGAAGAGGACCATATAGTCTGAATACTAACAATACTCGACTTGTGATCATCTAAACCCAACTGCTAACAGAAATTGCAGTTCTTGAAGTGAGTAATATCACAACACAAACCAATCATATCCTAATATTGTAACAGAACTAAAAGTTGCATTTCCAAGTACTTATACAGAAGAAAATGAGTTAAAATCAGGAAAACATGCCAAGAAATGAAAAATGTTACCTTCACCAATGACAGCGGACAGACGGCAGATGCACCCTCAATGTATAGGAAATGACCACTTGAAATCTGAAAAAAATACACAAGGCTCACTAGAATTAAACTTCACAAAATCGTCACAATTATACCTCTTTATTAGTCCCATTATGATATGAGAAAAAGTAGGTCAATTAAGAAAAAAGAGTGACTGTCAATAGGCAACACTTCAAACTTACTACATTCGTTATATATGATAAGGAAACATCAAATACTGACAAAGAATTCTGAGCTTCATCTATAACACCTAGATATGATTTTCCATTCTGCCTGCACACCATCATTTACAAACATACTTAGTGAAAAGGGACTAGAGAACTGTCTGATACAATAACCATTGCGATAATGAAAATGAATAAAGAGAAGACACGCTTTATAAAAAAGAGACCTGTAACTGCACACAATTATGTTGGTTTTCTCACTGCTCTGAAAAAAATCATAGGAGCTGATTCCAAAAACCCACAATGGTCGTGTGAACTCTGCATCCATAGAATAAACTGCTTGGACTTCACATGTGTTTTCAATCTGTGCCAAAGATGAATTGTTGACGAATTGAAATCCAGTTCATAAACACATGTAAGTTTAAGTTACTAACTTAAACTTGTCATTTTATTCAAATATCATAAGGAAAAATTATAATATTGTCAGATTCAGAAAGTGTTTTCATTTGGAGACTCAAAACAACTGAAGATCATGATAATTAACAATCCATGACCAAAAGAAAAAATGAAAAAGATGAATTGATAATGTTGCATTTCTAGAGACTGAAAATGCTCTACAATTTAACAACTTCCATATTCTAGAAACACGTCCGTAGGTATGTGACCACAAATTTTTGTGCATGTGCATCCTCAGGTACCTGCTCTAGTCGATACCTAGAAATGTTCAGTATACAGGTCCACATAGTGGGAAAAGAATACGTACACTTTGTCTATAATAGTTCTAATCTGATTTTTTTTTTTTTGGATTACAACGAACTATAAACGTACCTGGGCTTATTTCTCTAATATACATCCTCTTCAATGAATTCAAAAAAATTAGATTTGATAATGTTACTGTGTACAATTAGAACCGAGAGCATTCATCAAGAATAACAAAAACTCCGCAAATTGTTAGTCAGCAATATAAGGTATACATTTAACAATGGGATTAGCATGGACTAGGGGTGCAACTCGGGCGGGTTGAACGATCAACCCTAAGTATATAATCTTCAACCCTAACCCTACCTCGGGTTGGGGAACTCAACCCGAGCATTGCTCGAGTTTAATTCGGGCGGGCTCAGGCTGATGATTTCGGACTGATTTCGAATAATTTTACGGGGTTCAATTCGGGTAGAGCCTAAAATAAGTTTGTTGTTCTAAACCTAATACATATATTACATAATATTCACCTAAATTAACAACCAATAACTTCAACCAAATTTTTAACAAGAGAGGTTGAGAGAACGAGAGAGACAAAGAGAACGAGAGAGACAGAGAACGATAGAACAAAAATAAAAAACCAGTGCTAATCTTTATATATATATATATATAATTTTTTTTTTAATTTGTCGGGTTCGGGTTGAACTCGGGTTCACGAGACCTTAACCCGAGCCCAACCCAAATTGAATTCGGATTGGAGTTTTTTGACTCAAGCCCAACCCAAGTATTAAAAACACTTGTCCAAGTCCTAATTTTTTTGGATTGGGCTCGGGTTGCCCAACCCAAGTTGCACCCCTAGCATGGACATTGAAAAGCCATCAAGTAGACACGTTATTAGCTAAACACAAAAATTTATGAGATGTACAAAGTTAGTTACCCATTAGCAGATATATTTCAGAACTCATTATTTCCATCCATAATGAAAATTATCCTCCATAAAAACAAGATTTAAGTGTGTACTTCATGTAGGGATATCAGTGGATCGAAGCGGGGGCGAGGAGTGTAGTCTTCATCCCCGTACCCGCTTAAAAAAACTCCGTTCATCCCCAATACACCCCCGTTAACAGTTATAGTTTTTATCCCCATTCCCGTTCACGGGTAAATTTTTAAACCCCATCCCGGTCCCCGCTTCTCCCGTACCCGCTTAAGCTACAGCCCAAGTCCAAGCCTAAGCCCAAGCCCAAGTAACATAATCTAAATTTCTAAATAAATATAATATTTTAAATAATCCAATAACATTCTAAATAATCTAGTGAATAATCTAGATTGCAAAATGTAAAAGCCAAAACAATATAGTATTCTATTTAAAGTGTCATTGGACCACAAAAAAAGAAACGAAATTATTAGAGATAAAGGAAGAAAAGGAAACTAAAATTGAACAACAAAAACGATATCACTACACTTGAAGTTTCCTAGAAGAATATTTGTTATTACAATTCATATTACAACTATAAAGTGTTAAAAGATGAAAACTTAAAATTTCGCTAATTCAATAATTCTCTCCATTTCTTAATTCACTCTAGCATGGAAACTCATCAACCTCCATTCACAATATTTCTACCCACAATGAAATACAAAACTATCTTACTCTCTCTTATCTATTTTTAGAGCATGGTCAATCCAAATTTCTAACAGTTTCAATCAGTGAACACAAATAGAAAAAAGAACAATCAGGAAAAAAATTTGATAAAATTATCACATAGCAATGTCACTTATTAGTTTGATTACCAATTTCTAAATTGATCGTTACAGTAAATATGTTTATTTAGGGCTTGGGAGTATATATATATATATATATAACAGGTAGCAGGAACGGGGGCGGGAGTGGGGGCAGGGTAAGGGTAAGTCCATCCCCGCCTTCATCCCCGTGCGGGTTTATACGGGTATTCCCGTATATGTCCACTGTCCAATACGTATTCTAAATAAATAAATCTAATATTTTAAATAATCCAACAACATTCTAAATAATCTAGATTGTAAAATATAAAAGCCAAAACAATATAGTATTCTATTTAAAGTGTCATTAGACCATAAAAAGAGAAACGGAATTATTAAGAGAAAGGAAGAAAAGAAAACTAAAATTGTACAAAGAAAACGATATCACTACACTTGAAGTTTCCTAGAAGAATTTTTGTTATTACAATTCATATTACAACCATAAAGTGTTAAACGATGAAAACTTAAAATTTCGTTAATTCAATAATTCTCTCCATTTCTTAGTTCACTCTAGCATGAAAACTCATCAACCTCCATTCACAATATTTCTACCCACAATGAAATACAAAACTATCTTACTCTTCTTATCTATTTTTAGAGCATGGTAAATCCAAACTCCTAACAGTTTCAATCAGTGAGCACAAATAGAAAAAAGAACAATCAGAAAAAAAAAATTGATAAAATTACTACATAGAAATGCCACTTGTTAGTTTGATTACCAATTTCTAAATTAGTCGTTACAGTAAATATATTTATTTAGGACTTGGGAGTATATATATATATAACAGGTAGCAGGGGTGGGGGCAGGGGTAAGGGTAAAGTCCGTCCATCCCCGTACGGGTTAATACGGGTATCTCCGTATACATTCACCGTCCAATACGTATAATTCATCCCCAGTCCAAATGGGACAGATTTAGACGAATACCCGTTTTTTCCCAGTCCACTATCATCCCTAGCTTCATGTCGTAAAATAGCATTTATGACACATAAAGTGAAACCTTTTCAAATGTCAGAGAACCGTAAACCAACATGACATAACTATCTCTTATGGAACACCTTTGTATACCCTTAAGGCCAATTTTGAGCCTTGTTTTATTACGTTAGCGATAACAATATTTACCATACAAAAAAACCACCACCAACTTATTTATGTGACAAAAATCCTCTTTAATTACAAAAATCGTTTTGTTAATAAAAATATACAATTAGAACCAACACAAAAGGGAAAAAAATAGTAGCAAAAAGCATGACCTATATATACCAAGAACCTAGGAATCATGGATACTTTCCGGAGGCATGCTATTGTCAGACACGTGTTTGACACGGACACATGTCAGACACGGCCGGACACGTGTCTGACACCGCTAGAGTGTCCTGAATAGTGAACCTAGTTGAATACGTTTAGGACACAACCCTAAAATTTTTTTAAAAAATTGTTGACTATTAAAAGAAGTGGGATTGCTATTTTTTTTTAAATATAATTTTTTATGTAACTTATATATTATGAATATTAATTGATATAACAATATTTGACAAAAATGACGAATATTTATTTTGATCTATTTCAATTTTAATCAAAAAATTAATATTATCAATATTGATTTTTAATATATTACAACTCTATTATTATTTTAAAAAATATATTTTATTATTTTAATAGCCGTATCTTTACCGTAATGATGTCATATATTTTTAAATTTTATTGTATCTCCATATTTGTATCGTATCAGATACGACACTCGTGTTCATATCCGTGCTTCCTAGCCGAAAACATAAGACACAAATTTAGCAATAGATATGGTATTGAAATTGAATACAGCCTCAAAAGACATGTTATAGGTTGAAGATAAAAGCTAAAGAGGTCGCCAGAGTGTATTACCCATTTATAAATATTCCAGAACCCATTCTTTCTATCTGTTATGAAAAATAGTTCCCCTGCATAAGCCAAACATAATGGTTAGAAACGAGGTCACTAAATGTCCAAGTTAGTAGTCGAGGCTGCAGAAGCTGCTGAACTGATCCTCTTACCTTTGGATGACCATTTAGGTTCGGTTGGAGACTCTACAAGTGAAGAATCAGCACCAGCAACACTGATGCGCATGTCTACATCTCTGCATATAAATCATTCAGAAGATAGTAAAAGTCTAATATGCATGAGCGACAAATTCTATTATTTGGTTCCAATGCATCAAACAACATGCTGAAAACAAACAAGTAAGTTTGTCAAGGACCAAAGCAAGTGGGAACAAGTACAGTTAATTCGTATAAACTTACTCAGGTCAATGACTTGCCAGCCAAAAGTCAAGACAAAAACCTACTAACAAGAACGCTGCTAGTTTTTGTCATTGCAGGTATATGGAGTTGTGGTTTGGAGAGGTTTATATTTTTTGGTTTGGGAAGGGTGGGGGGTTGTAAATTTCAAAGGCCTCCTCATTATCTTCATCCGAAGAGTAAATAATGCATAGTGATTAGAGAATGGCAATACCACTGAAACATATTGTCAAAACAATAATTATCAATCCAAAAACACACTAAAATTTAACCTGTTGACATCCAGGTTCACATAAAAGTGCACAATGTTTTCTAGTTATATCTAGCTCATACTTTTGAACATCATAACAAGTAACATTCATAACAGTGAACCATAAATCAATACAGCTATAAATTAATAGCATATCAAGTACATCTCCTAGAAAGTGAATTGGGAACATAATCATGAAACAAATTGAAAGGAATCAAAACTTTTATGCAAATGTTTGGTTCTTCATTGCATCCATTAGAATTCACTCTAGGAAATCACCAATCATTCGCAAAGGAAAACAGTTCCAGATAAGGTACACTACTCACCCATTTTCAGAAATATAACCAATACAAAGTTCTGCTTTGTCCCAATGCATGTTGGGGTGACTCCATTCGATCCAAGCCAATCTTTCCCCTTTTGGGTCCACGCGTGGGAAAGCATAGAAGTCATCCCCACTAACCAATACTGTTGGTTCTGAATTTACAACATCATGGATCCAATATAGAAGCACCAGCAACCATCAATCCCAATTAGATGATAAAGAAGCACAAGTAATCTAAATGTTGATAAACAATGACTACAATGAATTACTTACCTTGAATATTTTCCTCATGGAGACCAATTGCTACAATTTCTGTGGTTGGATGTACACCACTTCCTCGATGATCTACCCGAACGATATTATACAAGAAAATATAAGAAAAGTTATGTAAATGCAAAAAGAACACCAACCAACATCAACGTCAATTACTCTTATCCTGATTGATTTTTTAAAAACAGATCTCCTTCAAAGGTTCATTGAGTTCAGCTATCACATATTGATCTTCTTTGGGTTGGGCATGTATATTTGGGGCTTTTACTCAATAGCATTTAGAGACATACCTTCTCTAACAGCTATGTAACGAGTAAATTTTGAATCAAACACCCCATCGGCATAACGAACTACCGGCCCACCATAATCTGGAGTGATAGGAATTGGAGTTGAATCTGCCAGCGACCAATGAATTACCAAATCAGAGAAAAGCTAGCGCAGATTTCACCAAAAATAGCTTGATACTCACACTAGAACAAATAATTGATTACAGATACGTTCATACTTCATATACATAAAAAAACTAGCCTCTAGAGTTGAGAAACTGTTTGTACAGCCTTTGATCATCATAATTTGAGAAGATAAGCAAGTCCCCAGAAACCCCGAATGCGCCACCACCGTACTCTTGAACCGTAGTCCTGACAGAGAAACCTTTCGGTGTGATATCAGTTGGTTCGTCTCCGGGTTTCTCTGATTCTCTAACAAGAACAGCTCGCCTAGTGTTGACAGACAAAAAATTTATACGTGTATGAACTGAAAGAGAAAATTTATGCGCTGTTTGGTTGCGAAGAAAATGTAAGAATGAAACATGAGGCGTACCCAGATTCAGAAGGACGAGACTCGAGCCATATGAGACGGTTGTGGGGGCCGACGGCTAAGCCTTCCAAGCGCTTCTCGGCGCCGGAGACTAAATCGGCGGTGATCGGCGACTTCCACGACCCGTATGGTGCTGTGATTTTATCCTTTACTACTACTTCTGAAGCTGAAGCCATTCTCTATCTCTCCTTAACGGCGGTTCTTTTTTCCTTTCCTAAAACACTCTCTCGTTTGAAAGTTCTTTTTTCCTAAAACTCTCTCCCCCCCCCCCCCCCTCCTCTCTCTCTCTCTCTCTCTAACGGTTCTTTTTTCCATTTTTAGGAAAGTTTTAACCAATTTCTCCCTTGGACCAAAAAATAATAATAATAATAAGATATATTTCAACATGAAATGCCATTATAAATAAAGGAACGACCCGAATTTTGTTTCTTAATTTACAAAAAATTAAGATAAATAGGGGTTTGTTATAATTAAAAGATTAGCAAAATAATTTAGATCCATTCTAAATAGCCTCACTTTCTCATAATCTTGTTAATTTAAGTTAATCTTTAGTACGGTCAAGAGATAATTTTTAGATAATTATTTATAAAAGATTCAAATATCTTGTTTTAGGGCTTTTTAATGATAACGTTGATAATTCTGATAGAATAAAATTGTTCAAATTTGTTTATCAAATTTTATATTCTAAGTAATGTATTAAAATTTTAAACATTAAATATTTAGTGAAACTAATAAATTCTATTAATGAAATCACAAAATTTGAATAACAATTTAATCAGTATAGCATCGATCATCCTGACGATACTAAGGGAAAATAAAAGAGTTGTTTTACAAAAATTATCTGACAAGTCAATGCCATCCAATGTGACCGGCTGTCCATGGTCTCTTGATACATTTCCCGATGCTTTTAGGATCGGATCAATTTTATATTTTTATCCTTATCAGGTATCACTTTGTCTTCTTTTGAATTTTTTATTTTACAGTTTTAATCAATCCCATAAGACGAGGGATAAGAATCTGATGCATATAGAGTTTCATTTATTAATTCGATCAAAGGGAATTCGATTATAAAAAAAAAATTGAATAAATAATATTAATTGCAATAATAAATTTCTCATAAAAACTATAATTTAAAACTACTCCTATAATAACTGAGTGAGTCTTACGGGTGTTTGAATGCATTGTCTTTTCTACTAAATATACTTTCTTAATGCATTTAAACTAATAGGTACCAATACACTGCATATTCATGAAATTTAATATTTTATATTCAAACAGCAGCTCAAATCCAAATCCATATTTCATTGGAAAAATCCCTTAAACTATACTAACATTTATACCGGTAAATCAAACACCAGTTTTAATCATGACTCAGGTTTAACCAAAAAATGAGATTCAAAGATAAGATTAAACATTCAATGATGTTCATACCCATGTTTAGTATGTGCAGAAATATACGATTATTATGATAATATATTTGTATATAAATAATTATTATGATCCTTAATCAATTTGTATATATAAAATATATAATATATATAGGAGTATAAAAGTCATTTGTATGTTAAACTCGTTAACCCATATATGAAACCCACCCCCGAATTTCATGGAACCCAAGTATGTTAGTTTTATGACCGGGCCAGATTTCAAACCTTAGACTAAATGCATAGTTGTCAAACATGGGTTTAAAGAAGTTTATTCTCCCCCCTCCAAAAAAAAAAAAAAAAAAGACACACACCAAACAAGCCCTAAGAGATATAATTTGTACTATTTAAAACACAGTGCCAACAGATAAAGTGGGAAAAAGAAATGTAAAGGTTGAGCTCAGAGCAAAGGCTTTCATCCAAGACGACTTCATGGCATCCAGTGCCCCGATCAGCTGCCAAGACCAACCAGTGTCATCGCAACAATGTCCAGCCTCTTGGGCAAGGTGAATACAAGAAGGTCAGCGTAAAACTAAAATTTGAAACTGCATCAGGACGTCAATAATCACTGTGAGCTATGTAGTGACCACAAACTGTCTTCAAGACATTTCTATAAAAGCTGGCTAGTCACCTCCCTCATCATGGCATATCATGCGTGACCAAAATTTTGCTGCACCAGCTCTTCATCAATTGAGCAAGCATTGCCTCTGCATGACAAGCAGAAAATTTGTGAGATGATTCCACTTGCTCGTCATGCAAGGCAGATATTTGGATCTTCTTCGTCAGAGTCAAACTCAACCTGCAAGCAAAGGATAGGCATTGAACTAATCAACTTCACCCAGTAACAACTGTTGAAAACAATTATAATCAAAATCAAGTCAAAATACTTTAAAATCCCAGAGCCCACTATGAGCCACAAGCAGTAGCAAGAATGTGCTTAGTATTGAATGAAATACTCGAAGAAGAAACTCACATTTTCGTCTCTGAACCACCCCCCATGGCAGTCACGCTTCCAACCAGCAGCAATGAACTTGAGTTCTCTTTCTCGATGTTCTCGAAAATCTGATTGCCGCGACACAACTTTCTTACTAGCTGCTTCTATTTCAACAGAACAATGCTTACTATCAGAAGTAGACTCTCCATTTGTGAAATGACTCCGAGTTTTGGCATCACAATATTCAAATGACGTGCTTTGCTGTGGAGTTTTGTTGCAAATTACCTCCAAAGCAGCCTTCCTTGTCCATTCAATCAGTGGTTTGCTAGCCCAACTATGTTGTTGTGCCGATGTACCATTGCCTGCTTGTGCCAATGTACCATTGCAAGCAATGGAGATAGAACCATCTGACAAGGCTATCCTCTTATTTATCTCATCTTGCCGTGATAGTTCTCTTTCCTTAAGCTTGGACTCTGCGACACGATGGCGTGATCCTTTCACATGCATCTGCAAAATAACTTTCCAACAATCAGGAAAGTTGAGTTATAGAGAAGCACTCAATCAATAGGATTATTCAGGAACTGGGTGAGAAATTAACAAATGTGGAACTGAACTTAATACGAGATTTGTTCAGTGCCCCATGATCCCCATTTTAGGCAGGTCACCTCATAGACATTAATCCGTGAATTTGAAATAATTCAAACATCAAATCTGCAGTTAAAATTCCCAACAAAATTTAGGATTAATTTCTAAACACCCCTTCAACTATGACCCGATATCACTTAGTCACCCTTTATTGTTAAACCCGACAGGTCAACCCCCACAAGTATTTCGTTGTATCATTTAACCACTCACTGTTAGTCTGATGTCCAGAATTTCTAATTCTTATACCCAAACACCCCATGTTCTTGAACTGAACAAATTTAAAACTATCCTAAACACCCACCCATATCTTTCTTCTTGTTCTTTACTCTTCCCCCTCCCCCTCCCTTTTTCTCACACAATCACACCCAAGTACACAAAAGCAAACTCAAATACCCCCCCGGGTGCCAGCCCACACATAATCACACACAAATACAGACGCAGAAATGTACCTAGCAATCCCTACCTACTTCCATATCTAGGTTCAGAGTCTCTATACACGGGTTAAATACTAAAGGTCGAATCCCACTTGAAACAAGCCTGATTCCTGTAATAGAAATGAGTAGTTAATTTGGCATGAAAAACGGCCCAAATATGGCAGTGAGCATTAGCAATAGCAATAGCAAAAGAGGAGGGGCTAAAGGACATTCTGTTAAATTTTATTTTCTCTTTGAAATATTCGATATCTATCCTCAATTTCTTTAGAAAAGAATCAATACATATCTGACATTGACAAGTCTGAGATTAGCAGTTCCAAATCAACCAAGTCTAACTAAAGCATATAAAGGCTCACGCCTCCACATTCACATCCAACCATAATACCAAAATTGCCCAATTCAAAGTAACTAGAACTGTGCAATATGTTCTGGTTTTAGTCTTGTTTTGATCACAAATACATGGATTAGAGCCGAGCCAATAAGTGGATAAATACTGATGGGACATTTTCAGATATTCTAAGATGAAGACACGTGTCCTCGGCATCAATAAATTCTTGTTACTGTAATCACGACACGTACCCGTCCGATCACAGGTCCCTCTTCCCCCGAGGTACTGTTTATATAGGGGTCAATGACACCCAGTACGTTACGTACCAACACGTATCCCTCAGTCGGATATGGGGTACATCGGTCCCTACATGTACCACTCCCCTCAGTACCGAGATGTACCCGTCCAGGATGGCGTTCTCTGCTCCTGCAGAGGCTATTGATGTACAGGTCACTAGCCTAGGCTAGGCTAGGTTAGCCATCATGACCTCGTCTTACACAATTGATGTCAGAAGGCACAAGAAGGCAGAAGACACAGCCAATGGAGAATGGGGCGTGTGGCATATTGTGTCACATCAGAGACAAAAAGACCAGATGTCCTTGCTGACACACGACTTGGGAAAGTAAGCATTTAATTAGACCCATTCCCTTGATGAGACAGCATTTAATGCAGTAAGGCTCGGAAGTGAAAGGTAATAAATGTCCCTAAGATTGGACATTTATTACATCCTTGCCAAGAGGAGCTCATTAAAAATTCGGCAGGCCGATGACGCAGCATTTGTTACTCGGGATCCCAAGCAGTTAAGAGAAGACATTCCTCATAGGAATCAGTGCGCACGTTGCCCATATCTAATGATCACCTACTGACCACGCTGACAGAATTCATGAGTTTTTGAGGTATAAATACTCCTTACAAAAGGCAAGACGGTATGCAACGAAAAACCTTTTCTCAAATCTATACACAATGTTTTCTTCTTCCCCTCTCTCAAAAACTGACTTGATCGTCGGAGGGGATACGCCGAAAAACGCTCCGGCGCCTCTCTAACTTGTCTTTCTTTGTTCCAAGAACCTCCCTCAACCTTACTGGGCCGCTCCTTTGATCCACGAAAGTCACCCATTACCGTTCCAGGCTGTTCCAAATAGCAAGGTTGACCATTTGATTGACTGACTCGAGTTCACCACGGGAGAGATCTGTTCTCGTGTTTATATTGTGCAAGATCCTGCACGCACAATCTGGCGCCGTCTGTGGGAAACGACTAGTTTTCCTAGTTTCTTCTCTATAAAGAACAGTGACTATGGTGAATACTCGACAAAAAGGGAAAGGTCCCCAGCAAAGAAGTCTTGAACTACGAGCTCCATGTCATAATGGAGGGAAGGATCACACTGATGGGAATAGAAATGCCTCTGTTCAGTCAAGAGGGCTTACTCCTCAAACCAGTATGGGCATCAGGTCAGGAGGATCCGCCCCCTTGGCTCGTCAACTGACGGAAGTGATCGAAGAAAAGTTTGGGGATCGATTACAATAGTTGGAAAAAGATAATGTGAACGTCCTAAGCCGGCTCAACGAATTCGCCGCCTCCGGCGAAGGGTCGAGGGACTCATTCCTTTCTCGTGGACTCCCCGCCCGGGAGGCGAAAACGAAAGATCTGAGGAATCATTTAAATAACAAGGTAGAAAGCTCCAGGACCCCAAAGCGACCAAGAGCCAACGAGCACCCTCTTAACGACCATTCAAGGAAGGCAAGACCTTTAGCCCTAGACGACCTCCAGCGAGGATTGTCAAGACAGAGGAAAGGAGATGAGTCCGAGGAGGATTCAACCCTATCCACACGACGCCTAGGAAATGGGGGACCTATTGATGAACTCAGAGACTTCAGAAGACATCCCGTTGGGGAGGAAGTTGATCTCAGAGCTCGGTTGTAATCCAGGAGAAAGGACAAGGTTGTCCAGAATGATGTTGAAGATGAGGTCATGCAATCACCCTTTACCAGGGATATCGCAAAGATGGATGTTCCAAAAAAATTCATCGTGCCAAGGTTCAAAACTTACGATGGACGGTCCGATCCCGAAGCCCACCTCAGGCAATATAAGCAAATGATGTCCCTGTATCATTCAGACCAACGGTTCCTCTGTCGAGTGTTTCCCATGAGCTTGGGGGACTCTGCGATGAAGTGGTTCGAGGCTCTTCCCCCCAACAGCATTGGATCATGGAAGCTGACGAGGCAATTCCTAGCCCGATTCATTACGGGGAGTAAGCGGCCTAAAGACGTCGAATCATTACTGACACTCAGACGGAGGAAATCTGAGACCCTTCGCCAGTACATCATCCGGTACTAGAAAGAGGTTAATGAGGTAGAAGGCTGCTCAGAAGTCATGGCAGCGACGTCTTTCAGGCTCGACTTGGCAAGGGACACAGACCTGTATCGATCCTTAACCAAAAAGACTCCCTCGGATATGGGCGAGCTGATGGCCCGGATAAACAAGTACTCTAGGATCGAGGACGAGATGGAAAGCAGCAAAGGCAGAACCCTCCAACCTAAGAGAAAAGAGAGGGAACGGGAGGATGCTTCCCGAAAGGGACTGCTACCCCCTCCGGGGGGGTCATTCAGAGGAGTTCACACTATGTTCAAGGAACCCATCTACAAGTTGCTCCATAAGATCAAGCATAAGTCATTCTTCAAGTGGCCGCCCAGGATGCAGAGCGATCCCTCCACCCGTGATCAAAAAGTCAGGTGTTACTATCACCGAGATTTCGGCCATCGCACCAAAAGCTGCAGGGTATACAAATCTTTCTTGGAAAGATTGGTCTGAGACGGATACTTAAAAGAATACATAGAGCCCAGGCTGGAAGAGAGACGCACCCCTATCCCGACCGAGGAGCCGGACAATGTCATAGATGTGATCCATGTATGTCTGCTAGATCGCCCCACGTCCAAGGAACTCGAGTCCGATCTCAAGAGGGTAGCTTTTACAAGAAAGATAACCGAGAATGATGGGGGGCCGCCCAGCAAAAGGGCCAAGATTGGCGAGCCGAGCATCACGTTCTCCGACTCGGACTTGACGGGCGTGGTGACTCCTCATAACGGCGCCCTTGTCATAACCCTGAAGATAGGCAAGTTCGACGTCAAGAGGGTGTTGATAGACTCCGGAAGTTCCTCGGAAGTGATGTACTCTGACACTTTAAAACGGATGGGTGTTGGCCACAAGGACCTCACCAAGGTCAGGACACCCCTCATCGGATTCAACGGCTCGTTCGCCCTGCCCATAGGCAAAATCACATTGCCAATTGTCATAGGTCTCTTCACCATCAACACCGAGTTTGTCGTGATTGATACGGACTCTCCCTACAATGTGATCATGGGACGAGCATGGCTACATGCGTTGGGAGCGGTGCACTCCAATTATCACCAAAAACTAAAATTCGCCACGCCAAAGGGGATCATGGAGATCTGAGGGGACCAAGCGTCTGCAAAAAATTATTTTTATTCAGCTGTTAGAGTGGGGGCTTTCACCCAAGAAAAAGGGCGCGCTCCGGAAGAGATCCTGGAAAAATAGCAATCACAGTCCGAGCGTCCAAGAATGGATGACCCCGGATTGACCCGACAGAACGGTTGGTGGAAGACCTCCGAAAGGTGCCCTTGGTGGAGGATGAAGAAGAAAGATACTTCTTAGTTGGAACCGCGATGCCCACAACCGAACAGAAGGAGATGATTGAGTTCCTAAAAGTAAATGCAGACGTGTTCGCTTGGAACGCAATGGAAATGACGGGAGTGGACCCCGAAATAATCACACACAAGCTACATGTTGACCTGGCGCACAAGCCAGTAAAACAGAAACCACAACGCATGGCCCCGCACCACGCCCGCGCAGTCAACGAAGAGATCGATAAACTCCTGGAGGCCAACGCCATTCGGGAAGTACAATTCCCAGAATGACTGTCTAACACGGTCTGTGCAAAGAAGAAGGGGGGAAAATGACGTGTCTGTGTAGACTTCACTGATCTAAACAAGGCATACCCCAAGGACGACTATCCCCTACCAAAGGTGGACCAGCTAGTGGATGCCACTGTCGGATATGAACGCATAGACTTCTTGGATGCCCG